GTCAGAGTCCCTGCGGACGAGAAAACAAGCGAGAGACCATGTTTACTGCCGTTATTAAATGATTTAACAAGAGGAGAAGTGACAAATCGAGCGAGGGAGATGCATATTAAGGCAACCAGTGAGTGTAAACAATTAATATCTAATAGCACGAAATATTTCAGTGCCACTCTGGAAACTATGCAATTTTTTTTGTGCTTGAATATTCAACTTCTTTCCTCACGATTGAGGAAAGAATTGTTTCACAAATCAGTGAATCTGGAGCGTGTTCCCCAGGATAAACAATAGTTGGTACGAACCAGCCTTCCACACCAACTGTGTTGATAGTGACTCATGCTACAATACCAGAACAGATCCAAATCATCTGCCCACTGTCCATCTGTGTTTCTCTCTTTCTCTCTGCACATTTGGTGGATGCCCCAATTTTTTAATGATCAGTTACATTCTGTAGGATCTTTTGTGGTAATTCTCCCCATGATTTAGTCCTCCATCTTTATTGGACATCTGTCATGAACGCGTAGGAGCTAAACTTTCTGACTACTTGCCAATACATTTTACCAATATCCTCAATATTTTAAGCAAAATGAATTTGCTGGACAAAACTTGCAGTCGTGCGCTCGACTTGCAGTGTAAGATGCAAGAAGTATGCAAAAAAAATCGCGAGAATCAATTACGATCAGCAGCTGTCCACCCGGCCGGTCTATTTGTCACCTGAAATATATAAATTACTTCTCGAACATGGAAAATGATTTTGGTAGTAGGAAGCTTCTTTCAAAGAAGCCATTGTATTTTTGCTATTTAAAAAACCCTCAGAATAATGATGGTGAGTGTAAGAAAAACTGCATTTATTCATCAGGTTTGGTTAAAGACTGATCTGTGAAATTACAGAAAATAACAAAGAAACGGTGCTACCTTCTTTTGCAAATCACAATTTGAGCTGAATGATCCCATATAGGAAAGATGAAAACTAAATCTAAATGTGAACTCATGTTGTCGTGGGAACGTGAGGACCGACTACAACAGCATTGTTTTGCAGTCTAAAGCACCAGACAAGAGAGGTTTAGGTTTAGAAATGTACAAATCCCAGAACAACAACATGAAAATAAATCAGGTGGGAGGTGTGAGGCGAGATATGTCTCTAAGTGGCCTCCTGTCGGAGCAGCTCACAACACCGGGGGAGCAATTAGACTTCAGTGCTGGATAAAGATCTCTGTTCATTCCTAACAAAGTAATACTCGTCCAATCTTTAAGGGGCCACAAATGTGTTCTTCAGAGATTGAAAGTTATCTGAGGAAAGAGGATCTATTCTGAGAAAGGCAGATGTGTGGAGTCTTGTTTGGTTTAACCAGCCAAGTCGTTGGGCAGCAACAGAGCGAATGGGTTTGTTCTTTTTCAGCAGGATGTGGAAGGTGTTTATGAGAGAGATGTAGAATAAATTGCTAGTTGTACACAGTGGAGAAATGTAGCAATTATTGTGGACTTCTGCTTGATTTATGTTGAGTGGCAAAGGGGTATTTTCCCAATGCAAATTGTGTTACGTTTTTCTTCACACAATATATGAAGGATTGTGTTGATGGTGATGAGCGTACAAAGCAGACAGCTGTGATATGATCTGAGGTTCACGTGCGATGGCAGTTGCACATCGCTCTATGGTTGAGGTTTGAGAAACATCGTGGTTTATTTAAATGTCGATGAAGGCAACGTGCTGTGGCTTGTGATTGGGGGAACATTTGACAATTTAAATCAAACAAGAACACAATATTTCCCCACTCTCAAAAGAGATTTTTTAATGGCTAAACATACCATTTGAAAAAGGCTGCTCTCACAGAGAGGGACGTTTCAGGGGATGTTCTGACACAACAGGATTTAGGATTGCGGGAAGCGCTAATTGCTGAGCTCCTTTCATGACAAATTCACAGGCACAAAACCTGAATCCTCAGTTACTGATCTCAAATGGCACCTCCACCAAAAGCCACGTTTCAAATTTAAAATGATCTGAAGGTGACAGTGCAAAAACTGAAGCAGCAGAAGAAGCAGCAACTCTGGGGTTGCTGGGGTTTTTAATATTTAAATCAGAGCGGTGCCAGAGCCAGCTGCTCTTTACTGGACTGAGCTGCCACACACATAGAAACACACTAAAATACACGTGTGTTTGCATGTATGTGTGTTTGCATGTATGTGTGCTTTAAATAGACAGTGTGTTTTCTGCTTGACTGATCATAGGGAACTGGATCGGTGCTTTTTCCTCTGCATTCCCTCAGCGAAAGTTCATCTGCATGCTTATGCCTTCCGAGTGAGTGTGCGTGTTTGTGTGTGTGTGGGGGCGTTTTTGAGTCCTTCTGAGTGCGTAAGAGTGGGAACGTCAACCCCGGGCTGCTCCATGATGTAATAGTGGTTGATTTTCAACAAATATGATGATGATCCAACTGTCTTTCCTAGATATCTCTCTCTGCATTAGAGAAGGTTTTGTAACGCATTAAACACACACACACAGAAAACGCTGTAAAAGACAGCATACATTCCTTATCATTAGCGATGTAACAACTCACTCCAAGAATACACGGAACGTAGATTGATGCACGTTAAGTGGAACCATAGCTCACAAGCGCAAGCAACGACTGGACACAACAGGGAAGCCCCCCGAATCCAGCTCCTGCTGCTCAGATGCTGTCCAGGTGCAGACCAAGAGGAACAAAGACAACCAGTCATCGTCCTCCCTCAACGCAAAGGACACCATATTATCCGAGCAGCGGCCGTTCCTTATTCATACACAGCTCATTACTTAGCGACGCCCTCCCACTCCAGCACACTGATGGGATTTTCACGGTCCATTTATGGGACAGGGAGAGGTGAAGAAGGAGGATGGGCGGGGGATAGGGGTTGTTAATTAATGGAAGGTAAATAAGAAACATGCACGACGGGCTAAAGGGAGGCAGACGTATAGAAGGTGAATGAGTCAGAGAAGAGAAGAAGGCGAAAAGAGGACGTAACATGTGACAGATGAATGGCTGCAGGCTTCCAATCACACAGACAGAGAGATTAGTCCCGATGACCCACTTTGCAGGAGACAGACAAAAAATGGCTTTTGATTTACACTTATGAAGTGTGGGTGTGATGATGTTACGCAATTAAATCTGAGGGTTTTACGCAATTAAATCTGGGGTTTGAATTTTAAAAGTTTTAAAATTCCAACCGCAAAATCAGATTCCAGAGAAGAGAGAAGAGAAGTGAGTTGACCCCAACCACACGCACACTTAAATTGATGAAAGATTCATAAAAAAAATGGACTAAATGATCAATCACTTTAATCATCCTTTGATGAGACAGGCGGGTGATTTTTGGCAGGCAGACGGGAGAACGGAGAGAGGACGAGCTTGGGTGGCATCGGGTTTGTCTAGTTTTGTTCCAGCGGACTGTACGGTGAATGATTTTTGTGTTTGTTTTGGAGTCATCAATGTAGCTGTGCTTGAAATGAATGTAAGTGAGTGCAACATTAATTCAACTCCAATGTCATTACTGCTAACCATCAGATTTCCATAAACCTTTAACAAAACATAATGTTGTAGATATCAGACTTTTGTCACAGACCAAGCACATTTAAGACGCAAGGGTTTACCACCCCAATTTCTGTCCATCTGCACACCAAAATATCTGTTTGGCAAAAGCCATTTGTGGAAAAGTGACCCTTTCGAATGATCATAGTACAGTATGTACAAGGCCAGGCCATTTTATTTGTACAGCACATTTCAACAACAAGGCAATTCAAGGGGCTTCACATTAGACTATTAAACACCTCAGAGATTTACAAAAAGTTAATAACATACAATATAAAAGAAAATGGGATGCACTTTCCAGTTTTCCCAAATCACGCAGCTCAAGTGGTTTTCCCCCTGAACATATTTTTATCTGCGCACAACTTCATGGGAAAATACCAATCTTAACTGTGCAAATGAATCAGGGCCAGACTTTAGTTAAATAGATAGTGAGGGAAGAATCTCTAAGATCTTTTACATAACTAAATGTATGAGTCACCAAAACAACACAATAAAAATATAGTTTCTTGTTCTCTAAGTATTAGCAGCAAATTGAATTAAAGCAATTAGAAGTAATAATTATGAAAAATGGCTACCTTCAGAGTTGGTTAACAATGTTTATAAACTCTTATTATCTTATACTGATTGTATCAACAAACAATAGCGATTAAGGTTGAGTATAACTCGATTTAAACATTTGCAGCTTTCAAAGTTAGTTTTTTTCATAGTTTTTTTTATCCCTGGTTTGATCTTGCCTGAGGAAACTCTGCTTCCCACTCGACAATGACTACTGACATGTCACACACACACACACACATACCCACACACATGCAGGCATGGTACATGTGAACCAGTAGTGCGCGAAATAGCAACACGACGCTGACATAATCAAAGAATGACTCATATTGCACAAACACACACACACCAGGGTTTTACGCCTACAGTAATTATTTCATCTGTGGCACAGTCAGGGCTCTCTGATTTACGATGTGCTCCATTTAAACTCAACACAGCACTGCAATTGTTTATTTTCTGCTTTTACTCCTTTGCTTTGACAATTTTTTTTAGATGATTTACCGTAGTTAGCACCATTATACAACCAACACACATGCAAAGGCCTGTGAGAGGATGACGGCTGCAATACATGATGATAATAACAAGACTTTGAATGACACAACATGTCCCTAACGGTGTGTGTGTGTGTGTGTGTGTGTGTGTGTGTGTGTGTGTGTGTGTGTGTGTGTGTGTGTGTGTGTGTGTGTGTGTGTGTGTGTGTCTAGCCCAAGTGTGTGGGGGAGAGAGAGAGAGGGAGGGAGAGACACTGTGTGCAACTGTGTGTGATACCCCTGGAGCTTTGGGTTTGGGCTTCAGCCAATTGCTAATTCTACCAATACAAATGTGGCGTTAAAAGCCATTTAGGCCTGTGGGCTGATAGTGTTCATGAGAACGATTGGAGGGGGGTCTGCTCACCTTGTGTTGTTTCCACATCATGGGCAGCGTTTTCACGTCGTGTTTGGCGTGTTTCCCCTCCTCCAAACACTTCATGCACACCGGAGCCTTGCAGCTGTAACAGTACATGCTGAAGTTTTCCGCTTCGTGGTCCACGCAGGTCGCCGGTTTCCGCGCGGTGGCGGGCGGCAGCTGACCGCCTCCGCCGCTCGCCGCACCGCCTGGGGCCGCCGCCGCCTCTCGGTTCGGCGCTTGCGGCGGGAGCACGAGCGGTGCTTTGGCGAGCGGAACCGCGGGACGGGTGGCACCGCTGCTGACACGCGTTACAATAGTACACATCACACCGCTCGCACATCATCGTCGCGTCCACCGGGTTGTGGTCACACAGCTCGCACTTCTACGTCGGTGAGAGGGAGGACGCCGGCGCAGAGGCGCGGCTGTTCTGGTTGGACCGCGTCTCGATGGATTCGAGCAGCCGGTTCCGAGGGAAACCCCGCAGCCCCCGCTCGTCCAGGGAGACGCTGCGGTGGCACAGCGGGCAGGTGAGGGAGCAGTGTCGGTGGTGGTTGGCCGGTGGAAACACCCGCACCCCGTTGGGAGACTTGAGCTGGCACGGCGTGTAGGAGCCGTATCCGCTGTCCGTCTCGCTGTACAGACTCATCTTGTCCATGTCCAGGTAGTCGTAGTCAGAGCTGCCCGAGGCTCGGCTCTGCACCGGGGTCTCCCCCTCCGGGGTCTGGACGGTGATGTTCCGCACGCAGGCCAGGCAGACATTGTGGGAGCACGGCAGGAGGATGGGGTCCTTGAAGAGAGAACCGCAAACGGGGCATTTTAACTCTTCCTCCATCGCTCCCGTCTGTTTCGGTCGACCGGGGAGAGGGAGGGGGGAGAGAAGCAGCTTCAATGGAAACACTCCAGCACCGACTGACACGGACAGCTCCCCGAGCGGCTCTGCGCGTGCGCAAAGGGGGCGGGGATTGTGGTTGATTGATCGAGGTAATTTAAAGGCTCTGGAACACCACGGATTTTAGGATTATCGTGGGTATTAAGTATTTTGTCCAACACATTTTACTGTTGTATTTTTGTGAACTATATTAGTACTATTGTAATTGTCTAGATTTATTTATCTCAATGCCTGAAGTGCCTGAAGTGCTGTACGATTTAAATATAAACTCGAATAGTTGAATACAATCATTATTTGTCTTGTTAGTTTAAAAAAAATGGGCCATGAGCTAAAATACCTTAGATGGCTCATTCATCTACAACAATCGATTAGGGCTACAATTTATAATATTTAAAAATATATAATAATAATAATAAAAATAAAACGTTTTTGAGTTATTGTAGCCATAGTCACTTGTACAGAGTAAAAGTGGTAAAGTTACCACTATGAAAAAGTGAGATTCAAATAAGGTACTTTAGAAAAAAGAAGTTAAATCAGAGACAGGTTTATAGTGACCGAACTATAGCACACAACAAAAGATTAAGAAAAATAAGAAAAACATGAATTGATGACCATTAACTAATGAATGTTAGGACCCCTGTTCCTGACAGAGGAGACAGATGCTCAGACCGGATGGTGAAATCAGCTCTCTTCGACCCTGTGACCTTTTGTATTGTGTGATGATGGCTTTCTCTGTAACTAAATGTTTAATTAGAGCAGCCGTGACTGAAGTCCCTCAGGGCGCTGCATTAATGCCACCCACTGGGACAGGTCTTGCGTGTTAGCATCCCATTGCCTGGGATTTTGATCTGTTCCGGGGAGAAATAAAAATTCACTTTTGAAAGAATATTGTCCAGTCTATTTGCCTAATTTAACATAATCTAAGACTCTCTTTTCCGGAATAGAATTGTGTTTCTTCTTTTTTTTAAGTCATTTTGAGGGCACGCAGATCATCTTGACTTAATTTGTGAATATTTTCCTGATCCTAAAATTCTTTGTAAATTTTTTTAAATGTTTGTACACCATCCAAAATCAGATCGCTAATCATGGGAAATTTCAAATAAATCCCTGGATTAGCATTGCACAAGAGTAAAAACGGGAAATTTGAGATGATTTTGTCTTTCATTCCGGTGAGGAAACTGACCTTACGTTTGACCTCTGGCTACAGAACTTAAAATAATAAATAATAATAAATAAAATTCCACATGGATAACAAGGTTGGACATTCAAATTCCCATGTCAGTTATTTCTTGAAGCTAACGTTGTTCAACAGTTGTGTTTGGACCATAAGCTCCTGAAATGAACAGATTTACTGTATATTGAGTCTGACTGCGTGAAGATGGCTCTTTAACATTGTCGTCGTGGCGCAGGGGTTAGAGAAGGCGTGCTGGGAAACACAAGGTTGGTGGTTCGAGTCCAGGCTGCCCCATGTTCCATGTCGAAGTGTCCCTGAGCAAGACACCTAACCCCTAATTGCTCCCCGGGCAAAATGTGAAAAAGCCATGGGTTTAAAGTGTAATGCAAGTCGCTTTGGATAAAAGCGTCTGCTAAATGACATGTAACATAACAAATGTTTATTGAATTGTTCACAGCACTAATAGAAAGTCCTAATAAAACAGTGGTGCTGTCTGATTTTCAACATGTGGATTTTCTGCCATTTCCATCACAATGAGAAGTGTTTTCTTGATAAATAAGATTCCATGCTTTTCTTGTGTTCAGAATTCATCAGATGAACCAGGAGAGCAGAGCAAAAAACACTTTGGACAACATGTTCTTGAGTCAAATGCAAAAGCCATCAATCAGCTGTTGATTAGATGTTCACTTGGTTGCCGTCGGGTGGCAGCATCGGTTGGGACGCGGTGATGCTGTCCGGCCGTTCACCAGGCTCATTGGAGGACTCTGGATGACCTGTGGAGAAAGGTTCTAGCATTCCCTGCAGCACTTCTGCCACCATGTAAGTCAAAAGATTCCCCCCTAACCATGTTATGGGATTAAAGCTCTAAACGGGCGAGTGGTACTGTCACAAAGTGAGAGAGGACGACGATTCACTTCACAGACGTCTTTGAGAGGCGAGATGGGTTGTAGACGAGAGGTCTGACGAGGTCACAGCAGTCTCTGGAGAAGAGGTTTGCACAACAGGTTGCATCTTGTCTGGACGTCATTAAATGCTGTCAATACATTTTGCTGCAATGCTAATGAATGTACTTGATGTTTGCAGCTTCTCGTTTTGAGTAGATCAGTACTTAGTTACTTCAGATTTAAGCAAGATGAGGCTTGAAGCAAATACATAAACACTTATACATTGTCTTTTATCCTAGTAAAAGAAGAATGAAGACGATGAGATGAACACTCCAAAGAAAGCCTTTTCACTAGAGCTTTTGCTGATGAAGAATCCAAACAAGTGTCTATTCATCACGTGAAACATTCCCTGTATATTCAGATTTTTCCCTGAATGAATTTCTCTCCAATAATCCCAACAGCATGATGCATCTTCTCTGAGGATAAGCTCATAACTTCTCCTGACCCGAGGCTTTCCTCGAGCTCGCGATCACATCAGAGATTATAATGAGATGAGCTGTGAAGCAGAGAGAACAATCATGTCCTGAACAGAGTCTAAAAATATCTGAGTCTGCCAGCCTGCCGCTGCTGGGAAACATTTTGATTAGAGGGAGAACACATTTTTTTTTTTCATGTTACAACAACACAAACCAAATTGTTTTACCTGGTTTCACTGAAGGAACAACTGCAAGGCAGATTTGTCAAATGATTGAATTTAGAAGCAAAACAGGGTGTTGAATGCATAGATTATTTTACAAACACACATGTCACAAAGGGGAAACATATGGATTGTACGATGTTTCCATGGACATTAAGCTCAACATTATACCTCTGTAAACAGTCACATAAACATCATCATGTTCTGAGTCGTTTACAGTGAGAAATAGATTTTTAAATATTTGTTCAACGTCTACATAACATCTAAACTACCTAAGCCGAGCTGCCACAAGAGGGCACAAATAAACAAGGATCAAGATTTTTTTTTTTATCTTTTGGTATCTCAACTTACTTATTTTGTAATGTCACTGAAAATACAATGTGCTGAAATGAAGTCTCTCCATCCACTAAAGATTTGAGGATTTTAGTTTAAACACAAACGTCCTTGCTGTCCTCCACTAAGTTTAAAGGTTAAAGGTTTTGGTGTATCAATTCAAATAAACCTGTGGTGACTGGTCTACCGAATATGTAGAGGATTAGATCAATCAGATCCTTTTGTCACCTTAATTTCTTATTCATCAGTTCTCAAATTGTCCAAGGCCTCAGTGACTGTGCAGCGCTATCAGAGGGCAATGATGAAGGTAAGACATGTGGAGACATTTGGGGCAATGATGAAGGTAAGACATGTGGAGACATTTGGATTCAGAGTACTTTGCACATTCAGGGACAGCACAGGTGGGAATAGTAACATCATTTGTGGAACATGGATGGTATTATTTATTCTACCTGTGCTTTTCGTGCTATGACAACTCAGAGCGTCTGTTGTAAAAAGGTCTTTCAAGCTGATTCATTTGGGATGGAAAAGAAAAGGAAATCTTTGGTGCAGAAAGAAAAAATGGGAATCTTTTTCAAGCCAACATGTAAGCCAGCTCCCAGCTGCCTGCCGATGCAGCAGAAGAGTCCTGTTTCTGTTACAATGAAACAATGGGAGCTTTGGGGGAAGAAACCTGCTGTCTGTGTAAGTTATGTTTTGTTGAGTGAAATAATACCCCTCCAGTTACTGCTCGTCTGCCCGTATATGTCCTAAGAGTTTGCTGTGGCTCATCAGAAAAAGACGGGCAGCTAGAGACTTTTGAATAATGGGAGTATCAGTCGACTCTCTTTAGGTGTTCCATTCCACAAATTTAAGCATTTAACATATTTGCACACAATGCACACACGTAGACTGTATTTATCTAATTTTGTGGTGATTAGTGGCCCCAGATATTTATTTTTAACTTCTCTTTTTGAGAATTGTGTTTTGGTCCATTACATTTAATCAAACTAAAGAAATATTTCAATTCCAGTTATAAAGCAACAAATTAGGAAAAAAACAAAGGGGTAAATACTTTTGTGGGGAACTAAACAGGAATGCAGCCGTTGAGGCACAAAATTCTCCTCAGTAAATATCTGCATTGTTGTTCAGTGCAACATCTGGAAATAAATGAAAACATAAGATTGTGCATGAAGATCTTTATTCAATTTCATGTGTATTGCTTCAACAAAAACTTGTTGAATGTTCTAACAGTGAACATTAACCATCATATTTCAGTCATTCCTGTTAATCTGTCCTGTGCTAGAATACTACTTAGTGTCTAATAACAGTTTAGTGCCGTTAAAATCAAAGCAGATGAATAAATTCATATTTTGGTCCTTGAAAAATGTCAAACCTTTTTGATGGTGAATAGATACATAATCCATTGGGATCAAATTTGTGTAAGCATAATTCATTCTAACTAAATTTCCTAGAACTGGGATGACATTTGCACAACACCATTCAGAAAATGTGAATATATTCATCAGCTGCTGGTCTGAGATGTGACCTGATTATATATAAATGAGTGCACACACACTGAGACAAAACCACACTTCAAATGGGCCAAATGGTGTGAAAATCCCTCATCCCTCATCCACAGATGAGGGATTTTCTACTGACAATCAAAAATTAGATCCTTTTCAATCTACGCCAACTTCCAAAGGCTTTTTGATGATAAAAACCGACTTTTACACCTGCGCCTCCTAATGTATCCTATTCCCGCTGTTCTGCAGGATGCATTGTGTAATTTCTTATCCTGCAATCTCAAGACGGCCAACATCTAGCAGTTATTAAGAAAACGACGCCAGTAAAATTGCATTCCATTGCCTTTTCTGGCAATCTCACACCATCGATATGGTGCTCTCTGGGTTGATTCGAACCGGCCTGGTGCTCTTCCTCAGGTCCTGCAGCTGCTTGGCGGGCTTGCCCACGCCCTCCTCGAACCTCCGCTCCACCACCGGCAGCACGGTGTCGTGGAGGAAGCTGGCGTTCTGCATGATGAAGGCCTTCTTCTCCGGGTCCTGCTCGCAGCGCAGGCTGTAGTCCACGTGCTGCACGGCCACCAGGATGATCTCCCTCAGGCTCTCCAGCAGCACCATGTGCAGCTCGGAGAAGTAGAGCTTCAGGCCTTCCTCCAAGAAGCTCATCATCTGCTTTGTGAAGGCCACGATGGTGTAGCTGAGGTTCACCCAGCAGTCATCGCCGGTGTACTGCTCGAAGCCGCCGATGCCACAGCCGCGCATCTCGTCCTGTGGCGGCAAAGGGGGGTATTGTGTTATTAACAGGGATTTCACAATGCGCTGGTTAAGGAAGTTTAAATATTAGTTGTACAGAAACAGATCTCCAGCAAGCATTCTTTTTTCAATTCAATCGATCAGTGTTTAGTTTATAAAATCAAAGATAAGAGTGAAAAATACCCATCAACACTTTCCAAAGTCCGGAACTGCGACTTCCAGTTCCAGTCAAAAGCCCAAAGATATTTAATTTAAAGTTCTATAAAAAAAGGTATTAAGGCAACAGATCCTCCCACTGGAAAAGCTGGATTCTCTGTACAGCAATACAACAATTAATGATCGGATTTTGGCCCTCAACTTCATCACCACTGACAACAGAAATAAAAACGACAAAAGACTCCACCTTGAGTTTGGCCAGAGCCTCGGGGGTCATCAGATTCATCCTCCTCCACATCTCCTCAGAGTTCCGGTGCTTGGTGGCTTCGATGATGATGTCGTTGTAGCTCAGCAGGGCCGCCTTGATGTCCTTGACCAGCAGAGACTGCAGGGTGAAGGTCAGATCCAAGCCGATCTCTGTCAGCTGGCGACAGTGCTCCTTGGCCACTTTCACACACTCGGCCGCTGTGGACAGGCTCTCCTTACTGTCGAACACCTGGTGGAGACAAAGATTGAGCCCTTCACGCGGATATCTCTCCGTCATTTCACAAGAGTAAACAAATCAGTGTATGAATGGGTGTGAATGGGTGAATGATGTCATGTAGTGTTAAAGCGCTTTGAGTGGTCAGAAGACTAGAAAAGCGCTATACAAGTACAGTCCATTTACCATTTATCCCCTGCCTACCTGCTTGCTGAAGGCGTCCACAAACATCCCCATGGCCGATTTGGACCAGACCACGAATGCGGAGTAGCAACCCGTGTTCCCGGCAAAGTCCATCGCGAACTCCTTGGCCGTCTCCAGCAAGCTGGTGAAGAAGATGTTGCAGAGCTTGTGGATGTAGAGCAGCGTGGCTCCTTCTATGCGCAGCTGGCGAATGGCCGTCTGGACCGCGGCGGCCCGGTTCTTCAGGAACAACTCACAGGCTTTGGTGGACTGGCCTGCAACAGAGGTTCTGTTCACTGTTCTGTTCTGATTGCACCGAGTTCTGAATCGACTATGTTTATTATTGTATTATTAATATTTTGTCTCTTTCGTCCTGGATATATTTGTTAATGCTGATATATTTGTTAATTTGACCAAAATATGTATATTTGTTGTCTCACTTGTTCTGTTATTGCTTCTGCTGGGACAATTTGAGCTAAATAGCCAAGAATTCATGCCTGCCCTTCAGCCTGTGTCTGAATGTTTTCAATCTGCAATACTTTACTGGAGTCTCAAGTGTGATAACTTAAAAATGTCTTTCCACTAAACAGTACTGGTAATATTCACCAGAACGTGGTGATTGGTGTAAAGGTAAAAAAAAAAGTTTCCAACAAATATGAAAGTGCTGCATTTCCTCGCTTACATGACAGTAAAATACCAGTACAGAGTATGATGACCCAGTTTTCTATTAATGAAGACAAAAAACATGTTGGACCTAGTCGGATCAGCTGGGACACGGCCCGCCGTGTGGCTTTGGGTCCACCACGGAGTGAGCGATCTGGAGACAACTCGAACACCAAAACCTCCGTCAGCTGCCGCACGCGCTCATCCACCTTCAGCCTCAGCTCTTTGACCCTCTGGGTAACCGGCTGGTCTCTCAGATACTCGTTGAGCTTGTCCAGCAGGTCCACGGCCCCCTCGAAGTCTCTCTGGGCGATGCACACGTCCAGATCTTCTGGCAGCTCCTGGATCCACTCGAGGCCAAGATCCACACTTTCTCCGGCCACTGCTGACTCCTCGTCCTCCTGCTCGAAAGGATTGGTGGACACCTCGGCCCTAACGGGAGACGTCGGGGCCTCCTCCTCTTTCTTGTGATGGTCCTTGGTGACTTTGTTCTTCTTGGTTTCGTCCAGGATCTCCAGCCACTCCTTCTTGATTTTGCTGTTCTCAGCCTGGAAGATGCGGCTCTCTGGGAACATGAGGATCTTGAACATGTCCTTCATGGGAGGGTTGTCCTTTACGTTGACCACAGCGAAGCTCTCCAGGTCGTACAGGGCGTTGTACTTGTACTTCACCGTTCCTCTGCGGTTCGGCAGCCAGGTGGCGATTAACAGACAGTCGTTCATGAGGAAGGCATGAACCTTCTGGATGGGGGACATGTTGTCGACATCAAACTCCACGAGGTCACCGTTGTAGACTAGGTGCCTCCCCGGGGTGTCCATAATGTTTTTACCCCCCTCCACTTTCTCCAGCAGTGAGGTCAGCGTCCTCTGCTTCAGCTCCTCCGTTTCTTTGGGGAATGCAGCCTGCATCTCTTTCGAGGTCTCGTCCTTGTCTGTGGACAACAAGGCCTGAGTGATGCTCTCCATGATGCTCTTTTGCTCCGTCAGGATGTGACTCAGCTGGTACATCTCGCTCTCCAGGTAGGAGATCTCTTTGGCCGTTTCGATGAACTGTCTGTAGTTCTTGTAGACATTTTTCTTCAGGTTTTGAGCCGTTTCGTCGGCCAAGTTTTGGATTTTTTGACGATGCTCCTGAAGATCTCGGTCGCCATCGGATTGCTGTGACAGCTGCTTGACGTAGTTTTGCGGGTCGAAATTTGGCGATTCGAGCAGCTTCCGTAGTCGGTTCCCCGTTTCCGTCATCCTCTGGTGTGTGTGTTTACTTATTTAGACCAAATATTGACAAATTGGTAAGGAATGGAGACAGAGGAAGCGTTCATCTGTTCACATCCGCTTTCAACCCAAACAGGAAGCTGTAACCGGTCACCACCCTCTACGTCACGGAAGTCAGAAAATTAAATAACCAAAAAATCACAACAAAATAAAAGTCTTGTAAATGCAGTTTCTAATAGAATTCAATATTTTTCTAGAACCGCATCACGGTATGCATAACATTTTCTAATTTACCCTGATTCAACAGCTAACATTGAACTGCATTCCCAGAATCCATTGCTAGGATTTGAAACGAGCGAAGGTTTTGTCAAGTTTGCAGCAGTTACTCGAATCTAGAGCTGGAAATAAGTGTCATGATAAAAGTAAATATTACATCAATTTAGATTGAACCCCATTTGTCTATTAGACGGAGTAACTAACAATAAACGAATAACCAATAATTTTACTTTTACTATTTACAAAGCGAAACATATCCGTAGTTATCAAACACCAACTCCAACAAACAGATCAGTTACTCACTGGAGGTTTTATTGTGAAATCCTTAACGGATATTGTTTGGCTGCATTGTGACAGACTCGATACAACAACTGTTATCGTTAGCTTCAGGCTGTCAGTCAGCCGTAACACCTTCTTCTGCCATGAAGCTATGCGTGATTTGAATTGAATGCTTTTAATGGAATCATGAGTCGAACACAAATACAAGAAGTATATATCTCGGACTGTTTACTGGCTTCAGTGAATTCGTCACTTGTTAACGAGGGCCCTGTAAAAGCTGCATTAGCTTGTTAGCTTCGTCAAGCTAACGTAACGTTACCCAAAGCTACGTGGCTAGCTGCCTCGTCTCCCATCACCCTTTCACTGTTTCTGCTGTGATGGATGAGGACTTTTTACTCGCCATACGGCTGCAAGAGCAGTTTGACAACGAATACGAAACGTCGTCGTATTCATCAAACAGCGTTGAGGACAATAGCTTCGGACACCGTAGTAAGAAACGGAAAGTGGAGGTAGCTGGAGGTGGCAGAGATGTTGTTCCCTACTGGAAGCCGACTGCCCAGCCCGAGAGGCCGCTGTCCATCGTGGACGCGTCCTGGGAGACGCTGGACCCCAATCCCGACGTCAGAGCCATGTTCCTGGAGTTCAACGATGTCTTCTTTTGGGGGAAACTCTACGGTGTCGAGGTTAAGTGGAGCCCAAGGATGACACTGTAAGACACTAGTTGTGTTGTGATGTTTTGTGTTGTTATTGTTGTCATAGTCCAAAACCCCACTGACTTGATGATGCAGCGTTGCCCCTCACTTAAAAATAAAATAGTGTTTGGTGTAACGATGGGATAGAAACGATGGTTACACTACCTCAACGTTTAAGGGAACCAGTGCTGCTGGGTGCAAATGATCTTTTTGGTGGGGTTTTACGTTGGTCTCTAATGTATTGTGCTCTTTCTGTGCTTTTGTAGGTGTGCTGGTGTGTGCTCCTATGAGGGCCGAGGGGGTCTCTGTTCAATCAGACTCAGCGAGCCCCTGCTGAAGCTTAGACCAAGAAAAGACCTGGTGGAGGTGAGGTGGATTCTCACACCAATCTGTCTTTAAGCAAACAACAATTTAAGTGTCTTATTCTTTATTTATTATTTGTCATAATAAAGCAAATGCAAACAATGAGCATGGCTGTTGTTGGCACATTACTGATCTATATAGCCACAATTTTGCCTTTAGCTCCCCCAGTCCTTGGTGTGGATGAGTGTACGCGTTATGGAGCTAGAAATGCAAAAAAAAAAACCATGTCCTTCCTTAGACTGAGTGCATTTGGTTAATAATTATTCACCATTTTATTTTTCGTCCTCCAGACCCTCCTTCATGAAATGATCCACGCGCTCCTGTTCGTGACACAGAACAACAGAGACCGAGACGGTCACGGCCCTGAGTTCTGCAAGCACATGGACCGGATCAACGATGCCAGCGGGACGAAGATCTCTGTAGGTGGATCTTCAGTTACACGCCTTGCAGCTGATGTTGTCTCGCCACAGCCTTCTGCTGTGATGGCAATGCTAAAGTGACCTTTCTGAAACCTCTCTCTTCCCTCTGCCCCCTTGTCAGATCTACCACAGTTTCCACGACGAGGTCGATGTGTACCGGCAACACTGGTGGAAGTGCGACGGGCCCTGCCAAAACCGTAAGCCCTATTTTGGGTTCGTGAAGAGAGCCATGAACCGGGCTCCATCTGCTCAGGACCCCTGGTGGGAGGACCACAGGAGGAAGTGCGGCGGTACCTACAACAAGGTCAAGGAGCCTGAAGGATATGGAAAAAAAGGCAAGAAGGATGAAAAAAAGGATGTGAAGACCTCAGAGAAAAAGGCCTCCGGGAAAGAAAAGCCTTCAAGTATAACCGCAGGTGATGAGCTCCCTCCTCTGGTGTATTTCCTGCTGTAAATCCTATAAACTCTAATCTCTAAGGGGGATAAAATGTTTTTACCTCTACTTTTAAAGCAACTCTTTAGGTTGAACTTCTACTACATTTTTTTAAGGAATTACTTCAAAGCAAATACTGAAAGTCTGTTGCCTGAGTCATATTTCTACCTTTCTCCCTCCCAGGCTCTGCGTCACAGGACATAAGGAACATTATCCCATTTACCGGCAAAGGCTTCCTTCTTGGAGGACAGTCCCAGTCGTCCATGTCTTCCTCCCCATCTCCCACAGCGGCACTACCTTCCTCTCCAAAGAAACTCTTCACCCCTTCGTCCCCGGCTAGAAGCCTCGATTCTCCTGCCCGCTTCAGGCCAAACAACAACGGACACTCTAGCGCCTTTACCTCCATCAGACCAGCTACCTCCACAGGGAAGAAGCCGCCTGTCAAGAGGTCTGTCGGTAACACAAGAGCTTTTGTCAGCATCAACGGCTCGCCGGTCAAAATCCCCAAACCACATGGCGGCGGCCGTAGCCAAGAATCGTATCAAATTAAACAGAAGTCCATTGAGGACCTCTTCAGCATCAAGTGCATCCAGAGGTCAGCAAATCAATCCTCCACCTCAAACCCGGAAGCTGAGAGAGATTCTTTGACTTTAGCGAACAGGGCAACGAATGCGTCAGCTTCCTCTCCCACAGCCTCTAAGCCTAGCGAGACTAGATCCAGCCATTCGGGATTTTCCACAAAAACCCAAGGTAGCCCTGCTATCCCAACGCACTCCAGGTATTTTAGTCCTTCTAATAGCGACGGCACATCAGGTGCTTCTTCCACAGGTCTGGCGTCGAGGAAGAGGCCATGGGACGACCTCAGAAGCCCGTCGAGCATCGCCGACTTCTTCCAGAAGACGTCGCTTAGCGATTCGGCAGCACCGAGGGAGCCGATGAAGACCAAGTCGCCCGCGATGCAGCAAAGAACTGCCACTGCCTCCTCGTCCTCATCTACCGCCTCTCTCCACTCCTCTGCAGGGCTGCTTAGTTTTAACCCCTCCTCTTCCTCTTCCTCGTCTTCTTCCTCTGCATTGACGGTCAGCTGTCCGGTGTGCCAGGCGAAGGTACAGGAGTCGAAGATCAACCAGCATCTTGACTCCTGCCTCTCCTGATCAAAGAGGAGTGGAGCGAGTCGGTGAAGGAGGTGCTGCAGAAAAACAAACGTTAGAAGGTTTTATAGTTAAGTTTTAGTGTTCCGTTGGAGTTGGACAGTTTTTTACTTCCAGGCCGGATTGTTTTCTCTGCGGTTATCTCTCTCTCAGCCCTGTTTTACACGTTGTGCCTTAGTTTTTTTATTGCAGACAATATCAAAGAGATTTGAATCAATGACAAATGCAAAACTTAACATTCCAGTAAATTCGGTCCGATGATGAGTAATAGTTTTAACATCATAAACTGCGTGTTTTAACCGTGTTGTATATTTAATGAAGGACATTTTCATAGTGGTCTTCCTGAGAGTTCATTTATTCGGCATAATGTGAAAACAGACCAATTCTGGTTCAAATCTGTGCGTGTTTGCAGAACGGTTATCTTTGCCTCCTCTGGGGCAAATGTGTTCTTATTGTCTGATGCATCCACCAACAAATCTAAATCTGCTGCCCTTCGGACTGCAGGAGATGCTGACTGACCGCTGCTGATCTCTGGGAATCAGATTTCATGCTCGCCAGCTATTTGTTTCTGCACTACATCACATTTTCACTGCAGGGTCAGGCAGTTCAGTGGGATCTGATTGTGTTCGGTCCTTCGGTAGTACTGATATACTGCTACACGTTTTTGTTGACTTTTCTATTTTAAGGGAAAGCAATAAAGTTCAAAATGCTACAACATTTTAGTTAATTTTATCTGTATGTTCCTACTTTTCACTTATGGTTTTAAGGAAATAGTTAAATATGTTTAAATTGTTACCAAATAAAATATGTATACTGTACATTGTTTTGTATCGAGTGTAATTTATTTGGGTATTTGACAAACTTCTCACAATTAAACACTAAACTGTCAAAATGACAAAAGACTGCACCATCAGCTGTTTCTTGTAGAGTGAATCAAAGTAGTCACAGCGCTGATGCCCCCCAGCTGATCGTATAGTGGTAGGAGCTGTGCTGGAAACGGGGGAGAGGAAAGGGCAGACCCAAAGTGGCTGTGACAGGGGAGGAGGGGGAGGCCAGAGGTCAGACAGCTGGAGGCCAGCTGCTGATCAGGACCACACCCGTCTGTGCAGGAGAGGCCAGAGGCGGTGACGAAGCCCCCCAGCATACACACATCCCATTATACTTCACAGACCTCTGCCTATCATCATGTTGCATGGGTGTCACTCGGTGCGGCGAGGAGTGAAGCCGCCAAAGAAAACATATTTCCTGATGATGGGGACAATAGTTTTATTTTAAACCAACAAGTAACTACAAACAATAACTGTCAAATAGATTCCAGTGGAGCATGAAGTGCACTGCATTGCCTCAGTGGAAATCAAAGTAAAAAGTAGGATGGAAATATCCAAATGAGATCGAATGAAACTTTTGCAACACAGTACTTAAATACTTTTCTGGCTTCACTGGGAGGGAGGAGGGGGCGCCTTGAAGGCAGGAAGATGTTTTACCCATCCGGCGCCTGAGGGACAGGAAACCTCCAGCACATGCTGGTCACCACTGGGCATGAACACACATACATAGTTGTATTCCTATTGTTGACGTGGCATCTGCAAAGGGTGAGTTTGTGACTACGCTATACTCCCATTGTCACTAAAATGAGCTCATTCTGATCCTATTTCCTTCAGCAGAGGAAGCTTCACGTCAGTGACAGCAGCTGCTCTTACAGGACACTCTTCCTGCCTGACCTGCTGTACTCTGACACGCTATAGGAAGCATGACGTCCAAACACACGCATGTTCACACCCCCTCCGTCCTTCCCTGAAGACCTATTGTGTCCCTCTGACAATGATGCATACCACACTGGCTCTGAGTTCAATGCGATGTTGTAGCGTTGGCTAGATGCGACTGAGGCACACTTTGGGGTGATTAGTTCCAGTATGGGTGGAATTTTTTTGTTCCCTGCAAAGATCAATCATCAACAAATTAGTTTTTTGTTATATTTTTTGACGTCAAAGATGATTCGCGTTTGTTTGACCTTTTATAGTCTTTCTTGTATAAGATGAATCATTATTGTCATACCGAATGGAAGAAGTAAGACCTGTGGTTTCATCTGTGATTTAGAGTGCAGTGAAACCTCAAATAACTCATTCATTATGAAACATTTTCTATGCGATGGAGAAGTGGAATCCTTGCTGTCTCTATATGAGTAAGCTAATTAATGCATTTTTTTGGCCTTGAGCAATATATCGCTTTCCAGCACAGCCGTAAGCGGATATCTTTAGAGCATTATTAGCCGGCCATTGCTAAGTGATCCAAACCCGCGTGCTTTTCAGCAAGGCAGATTAACACAAGCCTTTTCTGGCTATCTGCATCCCCCCGGGGGGGCTCCCCTCATGTGCCTAATCCTTTGATCTCAGGAGGCAGTGACGACGATGATGGTGGTGGTGATGGTGGTTTTGATGGTAAAAGCTTAAAGAGGGATCCGTCTGCTCATAATATCCTCACACAAAACAGATTGCCCTTGATCGGTGTCTTTAAAATGTGCAGCTGTGGACCATCAGCTGATGGCTAATTGTTTTGAGAGCTGGATTAGGCCGTACATCAGGGATGCTGTTTGAAGGGCAAACTGATGGCATGGTAGTGTTAACCATTAATAGTCCCTGTGTATGTTCATCATACATCTTATAACACAACTAACAGTCTTCAGGAAAGACCAAGATAAAGCTTCATATTTCATTTCAGCCTCATTTTTATTTCTTGTTAATTTGATAAAATTAAGTCATCTCTGTAACAGGTGTCTGCAACACTCTGCAAACCAATGTTTATTTGCAACAGGCATGAGATTATTATCTTTGCATTTTACTCCGAAGAAAGTAAGCGATTATGCAAAACATAAAAAGTTGAACTATTTCTTTAGTTAATCAATTACATGAAGCACACCATGTGCGTCTAGGAAACGAGTCAGGTTTGAATAATTTCAGTAGTGATTACAAATACTCAAGGCGCCATCCATCTGCTCTGTGTGTGTGTGTGTGTGTGTGTGTGTGTGTGGTACAACATGCACCCCTTTTGCAGAGGAGCGTGTGTGATGCTTTTGTGTGTTGATTTCAAGGTTATTGATGTGTTATTGTTGTGACGAAGCTGCAGGCTGGGGGGGAAATGAAGCTCACCATCTGTCCTTTATACTCAAAACTATTGTCCTGTGCACACACATTCCCTTCATGACCTCCAACCCAGTCTGCTGGGGAAAATCCATCAATGAGTTTTATTGTAGGGACTCAACTATACACAATCTCATATCAAACCGGTAGGGAGACATTCGTTCCAGATGTTTATTGCAAAAAAAAAAGATCCTTTCTTTCCTTCCTTATTCAGTGAACTAGAATACATTACTAACAGTTTCTATAGATGATGTTTTGTGATTAAAAACACTTTCATTTTATTTTATTTGGTTCAAAGTGGGAAAACTGAAAATTGTTGATTAATCTAACATAAAAGTGTCTATTAATTAATCAGTATTTAAAAAGTGACAGCCAAAAGTATTTTATAAAAAACGAAGGAAATGTGTATCTCATCTCTTATATAAACAGAGACATAGCCACACTTCTAGTGAAAATGCATGAACATGATCAAAAGACCATTTTCCTGCCTAAAAAGTATTAGCATTGGCACAGTCGCCGTGTTAAAAGGGCAGAAAGCGGATTTGACCACTTATCCACACAATCAAGTAGGTTTAGAATAATAACTCATATCTACCGGAAATTAGAATTCTTAATAAAAACTGTTAAATTAACAATATAAAAGGCATACAGGCTTTATAAACTAATCATCAAGTATACTATATTTCAATAGTTTTCAGTATCGACCAATTAAAATGAATATCATGAGTGCAAAACGAACATATTATGGTCTAACGCAGTAATAAGTCTGTTCAGAATCATAAGAAATGGGGGATGGTGGAAAATGCTTTAAGAATTCACACGTTTTATTTTGAATCCGCGTACCGGAAGCTCAGCAACTCAAATCCGGGTAACTTGAGCTGTCGCCAGCCGCCCGGGGCAGATTTTAACCACTACTGTTGCTCGGCCCGGTCGCTGCGTGAGTCCGCCGCTCGTTCACCACGCGAGGACTCGACAGTCAACTCCAGTGTACACACACACACAAACAAAACATCTGCTTTCTCCGCGAGCAAACTCCCCCGGGGACAATGAACGGTAAGTCGTCGAACGGTTCGCCGGGTGGAATGGCCTGTATCGAGGGTCTCCCCCCGCTGCCGAAGAGCCTGAGCGGCTTGCTGAACTCGAGCGGCGGCTCCTGGAGGGACATGGAGAGGATGTACGTGAAGAAGACCATGATCCAGGACGACCTGAGCCGCGGCAGGAACAACACCGACAGCCTGCTGACCCACAAGCCGGCCAACCTCGACGCTGCTCTGGCTCTCCTGCGGAAAGAGATGGTAACCTTTCAGGGAGTGTTCTGGGATTATTCCCCTTGACGAGAGAGAGAGAGAGAGAGAGAGAGAGAGTGCTGCGTTTCACCACCGTTTAGATCTCCATGCGCTGCACATTCGAATGCGGCCAAATCCCCCTTAGATTATCTGTTAGTTTGGCGTTTTCTGGGCTTTGGGCAAACTTGCACGCCTCTTTCTACGAAAAGTGGATATGTTTGACTATTAATATAGTTTCTTAATTAATTCGGCCGTCATGTATTGACCGTTAATCGCAATAAGTGAGTGAAATATCAACTTTCAGGTATGAGATCTCGCTTCCTTGCGATCATAGACACTAGTAGACAGGACAGCCGAACGAGCCACAAATGATAATTTTTGTTTGCTGTTTAGTGAATGGTATGTTGGCCAAGGTTATGGAAATAACCGTATTGATTCAAGTGTATATCATCTAAAAGGCGAACCATGCTCAGGAACAGCTTTCCAGTGGATTAGACAAAAATAGGCTTGTGCTGGTTCCTATTCAAAGCTTAATTTAATTAAGCTTCAGTATCACAGTTTGTATTCTTCACCATCTCATGGTCAACATGTAGTCAGACACTTATTACGCACTCTTTTACACTTCAGCAAGGTCTTTATTGCAGAAGCACACCTGATTGTTTTTCGTAACACACAACAATAGTGTGTTTCCTCATAGCCAGTGATTAAGATCAGACTGTTGCTAAAACCCCTTTGATATCTGGATTATGGCTGCAGGCTTTGCTATTTCCGCTTCCATGATTTGATCTCACCGCTTAATAAATAGTTTCCTCCTTGCGTAAATGCGTAAATGAATTACGTTGAGTTTGAAGTTCACATTGTCTCGTCCATGTAGTACACGTTTCAGACGTGTCTGTCCGCTGCGGTTCGTCTGGGAGACGATGCGCCGACCAGTAGAAATGCCCGTTTCAACCAGCCAGTGGAATTGTTTTTTGCCTTGAATTATTAATGTTGTAATGTCGGGTAGTGTTGCAGATAAGGATGTGTTATCTGATAATACTTATGGACTAACTCGCCATTTAAAAAAAAAAAACATCAGGCCTCACTTGTTTCGTCTGGCCAACAGTCCAAAAAGCCAAAGATAGTCAAATTCCAAATGCAAATTCTCACATTTAAGAGAGGCTGTCAAAAAGTATTCTTTTTTACTATAGAAGAATTGCTCATCTATTGCTTTTTTGACTGACAGAAAATTCACCAGTAATTCTTTTGATAAATGAGGAATGGTTGAGATGCGCACACTCACTAACGACTCCTCAGAAAACGTATCCTCTATTCATTTCGGATCTCAACGCCGTTTTCCCTGCAGGTGGGTTTGCGTCAGCAGGACATGTCGCTGCTGTGCCAGCTGTGGTCGCTCCACGAGTCCATCCAGGAGTACAAGGGCAGCTGTCAGGACCTGAGCGCCGCCTCCAGCCTCAGCCTGATTGAGAACGGCTACTTCGACGAGGATGACGAGTACTACCCGGAGCCCGGCGCCACTCCCACCGACGAGCAGCCGGACGGAGATACCGAGGGCGGCGCGGCAGCGATGGCGGCGGCCAAGAACGGCAGCGGCAAGGACGACAGCTGGGACTCCTTTCACGTTAACATCTGAGGCCTCGTCCTGTGGATTTTTCTACGGATGCGTACATATTTCGGGGGGGAGAAGGGGTGACAAAGACGTCTCTGGAAACCTTTGTGTTCTCCAAGAAGGAACTGGTTGGCTAGACGTAGCAGCTTATGGTACGCCGTTACCAGACTCCAGCTTTCACTTCAGCTTCTCCTCAGGTGAAACACGCCCCTGCTGGTGCTGCAGAAGTGTTTTTTTGTGTGTGTGTGTGTGTTCTGTGTTGTTGTTTTTTGGCAGCGTGACCAGGAGCTTCAATAGAGATGGATTGTGATCCAGGACTCCGCTTACTAAACATTGGGCAATATATATTATTTCTTTTTATAAAAAGCTCTGCTGCTGCTTCTATATCAAGTGATTTCACTAGCCAGTCACCCCTTTTTCGGCAGGACTTTTTTTTTTTTACATATCCAAAATATATGAACAAAGTTGTATTATTTATTGTATAATATAAATCTCAAGATATTTGCTTTCCGTTACTCTCCATGGAAGTTTTGAACTACAACTCTACCCAGGTGTATGGGTACGTCATCTACTGGTCTGGGGATCCCAGAAACCATGACTCTGCAAATAGACGTTGTGAGAATGTGTGTGTTTTTACTTTTAAGGTGGTGAAATCCTTAATTTCCATAAAAGCAGACGGTCTGGACGGAGGTAGTCAGACCGCAAGACCAGCTCAAGAGGAGAAGACTGCTCCCATTGTAAAGATGCTCTCACAGGGTTCTACATGCAGCAGATATGTGCTCTGAGAATGTTTTAACCTGAACCTTTTAAAGCTTCTGGTGCTTCGACACATCACAGGCAACTTTGAGGTCTGTTGTCATAGTTACGGCCATCATTTCCATCGATGTTAACATTGCGGAGTTAATCCCGCAGAGATGTGGAAGTCGTGATGGAGGAAGTAACATGAGCGCTTAGGTCTCCGTGTTCTCTCCAGGTATAATGTGCTTACTAGCTGCAAAAGTTAAGAATATTCAGGGGGAAAACAGAATCATTTTCCACATAACCAGCTTTGAGACTGTTCTTCTTAACACGCTCTATTGGATACATTTTGAATTGAGATGCTCTGATTGGCCGGGTTCAAGTAGTCACACAATTTACTCACCGTGACATTGCCGTCAAGTAAACAAGCATAAATCTTTAGGACTCGTGATGGCCAGCGATAGGAAAAAGTTCTTTTGTTTGAACAAGTTTCCTTCCCTGCTCGCTGTGGCCTTCAACACCGAGCTGCAGGTCAACGCGTGGTAGCAGCTCTCTGCTGATTACAGGGTACTTTAGAACAGATCTCAACAGGATCTCACACCAGGCAGAACATTACCTCAGACACGTCAGAGACCGATGTAATGTGTACTATTAGTGTTTAAAATGTAGAGTTTACCAGACGATACGGGTCGCTAACCAGACTGTAGCAGCAAGTGGTTTTAATTCATCTCCATGGATCTCTGCCGGCCACTTGAGGTGTTTTTCATTGAAACGCTCCACAGAGGCAGCCCCCCCACCCATTACGCCGCACCATCTTTTTCTCTGACATAAAGTTTAAATATTTCTGCTTCACATCCGAACGGTCTTCCTTCATCTCTTAAACTCCTCAGCGAAGAGTTTAGCTGAGCCTAAAGTGTGTCAGGTTTCCCTGATATGGTGTCTCCGTAGATCATGTGGCGCCACCTGTTTCTCGGCCGGTCCACTTTTCGCGTGCCAGTGGGACACAAACCAAAGAAAAGGGCTGCACTCAAGACAAAATGTATTTGGTTTGAGGGGCTGAATAAGCCGTTAATGAACTGCTCTGGAATGGTTCAAATGTACAGTACATAGGAACATGTGTCTTGATTGTCTTTACAGTTCTTTTTCATTGTGGTGACAGTTATCGCCACTTAGTGACTGAAGTGAAAGTCTGTTTCTCCACGTTTGATAAAACGCACTCTGTATAGCCTCAGATGGTGTTTAAGTAAAGTAAAATGAAGTATCCGTCACTGTGAAAAGAATTCCTAGGAAGCTCTAATCACACAGACGTGACTGCAGGCGGACGTCAAACAAAACCACCTACTCGCTGCTTGTTCCCATCAGGCAAATTTGTAACTGGAACCCAGAAACTTGAACGCAGTCGCCAGTGGAATGTGATCCTACCGACCCCATCATCTAATCAATCGAGTGTAATGTTAACTTCCTTTTATTTGTCACCCATGTTCTCCATCCATAGAAGGTCACAGATCACGTTTTGTCTGTAACATCTTGGAATAACAAATATTTCTGGTCTAAAACAAAGAATAGAATTGATGCAGCGTGAAACATTTCAGCTTAAACACGCCTCCGGATTGTTTATTGGATGTCTACACAATTAGTGCCTTTTGTAAACCTCCAGGTTTCAGATTGTTCCACCTGTTGAAGAGGATACACAAGCTGTTATATTTTGAATCTCTTTGACATGCACTTGGTTAAAGATGATTAAAGATTAATTTAGTCAAAAATCCATTTGAATCTTCCACCTGAAGCAGCTTCAACATCCACAACTCGTAACCGCCTTAAAACCAGTCGAGTCACTTGCGAGTTGAGCTACCCGGCGCTCCTCACTTGTTCACAGGTATTCAGTGATGGATTACGCTCCTGTTTGTACAACTAGCTGGTCCTTTCTGCACACGCTGCTCCTGGTTCAGTTAGCAGCACAGCACCACAGAGTAAGAAACTTTAGGTCAAACACCAGGCAGCTGGTGCCTGCTTCTTCCTAAAGCCGCCACTTTGCACCAACTTTGAACAATTGCACTGAGAAATCCAATTGTCAGCAGAGAGGGGCTCTTCTTCTACTTAAAGTGGCCTCAATAGACTAGAATGCAATGCAATCACAAAAGGCCCGACGTGTTCGAACTGAAAGGCGGGTGTATTGCTGCGATGAGTCACGTCCTCGTTGTTGACCTCGCTGCCCGTAGCGAGTGGCCGTCTCTAAGGTTTCTGGGGAATGTGGGAAGGCGCCTATAAAACAAACAGGCGAGCGTCGGAGGTATTGAATATCGAGGAACCTTTTTACAGCCCACCAATAGCTGTGACAAGCTATTTTCTGATTGTTAACCACCTTTTTCTAAGTACCACCTGCAGCAGTTCAATTTGTTTGAATCTGAGATCGAAATGTCTGACTTCATATTTATACTGTGTATCGTTCATCATAATCCACAATTAAATCACAATAGAGGAAAAAAAAAGGTGTAACTGTATTTTGTGTTGCGTGAGCAGGAGTTACAGATCGTGTTGTTCCCACCCGTCATTGCTCTTCTTCCATCTACAAATCCCCTGCTACTGTTCAGACAATGCTATCATAGGTATTATGCTCTTATCAATTAAAAAAGTGATTCCATCCTGTTTAGGTTTGGAGGTTTTTTGTTTTGTTTTGTTCTCCACAAAACTGAACCAATTGTTAGAATGTAGCTGGAGCAATGGTTTGCCCATCGTAAGCACAGAACAGAAGATTAAAAGTAAATTAGTCAGAAATGGATCAATGACTACTTCTGATTTTGGCATATTTGGATTCTAATATTATTTTATATTTAAGGATAATTTTGAATGCGGGAGTGTTGTTTTATCTCTTTTAATTAAGTAAGACTAAAATACTTATTTCACCACTGGGAGTTGCATTTGTTTTGTGTGTTGCTCATAGATCAAAGTATCGGACACATTTTGACCCAGCTGAAGATGAAAAATACAACAAATGATTAAACGATTAAACTTCGCCCCTAAAAGATGAAGGTATGTACCAATCCATCAAATAGTTGTTTTCATTAGCAACATCCATAAAGTCATGTCGTATATAACGTGGCTAAAGACAAACAAAAGGTATCGACCCCACTGAAACTCCTCTCTCAGAGCGGACGGCACTTCTTCTCCCTCTCTCTCTTTCTGCTGTCCTACTTCTTCTTTCATTCGGATGAATGTGTCTCTCTCTGACCTGCATTTGAATGCACCGATCTGCATTTTGGTCCCGGGTGGCTGCCACGCCGGAGCAGTTCCGCTGTAATTGATCATTACTGCAGCAGGATGTGACGCCTTTGATGTTGCAGCTCCTCACGCTGGGAGCTGCAGATGAATCTCTGATGAAGATAACGCTGTTTATGTCTTCAAACTCCGAGACTCTTATTTAAATCCTCACACACTGAGACTGGAGAAATGGGTCACGCAGCAGTAAGCTTTCTCTGAGTCTGGATGTTCTGTAGTCAGATAGGTGTTTTCTTAAAATGTATAACAGCAATGTAATAGCGAGCACTAACGGATGAGTCACCGAGGCAGTCTGCTCTTGTGAACCGTCGGTGTAATTGAGGATAACTTGCATGTGCTCACACATAAATATTCACTCCACTTTGATTATCTGAGCTGAATACTTTGCAGATTAAGATTAAAACTAGATTTCTTTTATAATCTTATATAGAGAACACCGGGTTCATTATACTGCAAATCGAAATGCTCTTAAAAATAGGTCAAACCAGCTTTTATACAAAAATGCTCCGAACATATTTAATGCAAATGTTATGCATGCCTAATTTAGCGTTTCACATCTGAATTTAAATGATATATTCCTCTTACAACTGGATAGTTTTACTCAAATAAACCATCAGTTATTTGAATTGTATCGTCAATGTTGTAGTGCTTTGCAATTTACTGTCAATGTTTTTAGTGCTGGCTTTGAAATAGGTGCAATTTTATTTTAGTTTGACATGTTTTTGTTAAAGAGTATTCGAATGCAAAAAAAAAATGGTGTTCATCCCATGTTGGTCCTTCCGCTCTTCCTTTCAGTCCGTCGATTTCAAAAGCGGAAACTACGCCGGTTGAAAAGCCGAGTCAATCCGCTGTGCAGCTCTAGCTGATCAGACGTCAAATGAAAGTGTTGAACACAAGTAATCAAACGGCTCCATGCAATCGCCGTGTCTCTCTAGCCTGCTTGGCGTGCAGCCCGTGTAGTCCACTCCGTCCCTCCCTCCGCTCCGCGCTGCAGTCCCGCGCTGCACCGGTTGAGCGCCTGTTGGCAGATTAGAGCAGATTAACATAATCTTGACCGAGAGAACAAATCCAAGGTGTGCATCCCTCTCTGCCCCCTGGGATACAGCCTCTGTATCGGGCGGTGGGATTGCCTTCAATTCAAACTGAACATTCGTTGACATCTCGGCCTGCAGGCCGACGTCATCTACAACCATCGACATCCGTCTGTCATACCGTTGTCTTGAACGTAGGGTCTCAGGGACGCCTGGAGAGAATGACTTCAAATTTGGCCCAATCGTCCACTCGGCCTCAAGGATCAAAGATCAAGGTCACCGTGGACTCGATGACTCGATAATACCCGTACTATCATACTTCAAAGACCAGTCACAGTTGAGCTCAGATTATGCTAGTCGATACACATTGGCCAAGTGTTTTTGTTTAATGATGGATTAGTAGATGAATCCTACTTCAGCTAAGACCTCCAGTCTATACTTATTGCTTCAATAACCTCTTCAAGGTCATTTTTCAGCAATGGCAAAGTGCACCAGCAGAGTATATTGACTCCTTGGCTTCCCCCGGTAGTCCAGCCAGGTTAAAAGCCAGTAGGTGACTGCTGTTACAGTAATCTGATTAGTCAGCACCCAAAGGTATTTGAACGACACACCCGGATTCCACATTTAGAAACCGGCTCAGGACTTTGTTCTGTAGATTCCAACTGGGTGAAAAATTACTGCATTACAGTTCCATTCCTTTGCTTATTTCCAGCGACATTTTCTAATGTTGAAATATTGAACAGGTAGGCGAGCCATCTGGAAACTGGAGTAAGTTTCAGCTGATTCTGCTAAATGTCTTTGTTAAAAGTTACATACAAGCTTCCAGACTGTGTTGATCTCCGCTGAGACTGCAACACAGATCCGCCCAGGGTGAGGACGCAGAAGACATTCCTCACTGGTTCGCTGTCTCCTCAGCTATTCCCCGGCCTGTAAAAACATGTGCAGAGGCAGCACACACACAGACTCACTCACCAAATCAAATCCCACACAGATATAGTGTTTGAATACAAATATTGTATTTACTCTCGTCATATTTTCACATAACAGACAGCCTTTATATACAGAGCGTGTCTCTGAGGGTCCACGGGAGAAGTTTGTTTCACGTAATCCATCACAGGAGTCAAAGTCTCTGGCAAACTTCAGGGCACGGACTGCGTGTGGCATAAAGAGACGTTTCAACAGGAATTTGGCTTGCAGTAAAAAAAGAATACGTTAAAGGTTTGAATCTGCGTTGAATAGTACACGTGGAGGATACCTCCTCTGATGAATGTTAAAACACAGGACTTTGGTGTATCAACACAATTGAGCAGTTGACGGTTTGGAAAGCAGAGTGTCACATGACGTGCAATCTTTGAGAGGACGTCATTCGATCTTCTGGGGCGACTCCTCAGTCAGTAGGTGGTTTTGTTCAGAAAGAATTCGGCCTCGCCTCTCGTCACGGGTCCGGCTTCTCGGGCTGCTGGGGGTCAGTTCAGCTGTCCCTTTAATGAGGGACATTCCCCAGTCTGCGCCGGACGTTTGCTCTACTGATTGAACGTTGGACTGTTTACAGACAAATACATTCCAGGGAGAGTGAGGGGAGGTTTGGGAAAGTTTACCCACGTGTTCCCCAATGTTTGCTTCATTACCTCGTTCACAAGATCTGGCAAGTTACCTTGGGAAGTTAAATCTGAAAGCATTTGACCTATTTTTCTTTAAAATCTGCAAAAAGCAATACATGGTTGAACCCGCATTAAGGGACAGAGACTGATAAAAACACCTAATAACCACACATAATACTGCCCAGCCTAGAGTAAATATCTGAGCATGGGATGAAGCCAGCTAAACCTAATTCTGGTTTTATTCTGCTGGTTGTAACAGAGGATATATGTGATATTTCGTTTTATCATGAATCAGCAAACATTGTTGACATTGCTGCATACTTTTGTCTCTTAAAAAAAATCCACCAATAAAAAAAAAAACCTTCAGAATTGCGACAGGAATTCAATTTGAGGGTTTGGTGTGGTGAGGTGGTGCTGAAGAGCTCAGGCTCAAAGTCTGAAGAAAAAAGAACTGCGAGAAAACGCCTTTAAAGATGTTTTTGGAAAATTCAATTTTAAGACACCACAGTAATTTCAACAAATTAACAAATATAGATCCCCATGGAGCTTCCCCATCTCCTTTATGACATCATAAACATTACTTGATCATTAAAAAAAATGAATTGTTAGTTGCAGCTTAAATAATGTTAAACTAATAAACTAAATGTGGGTTACTGATTCAAAAATCCAATCCAACAGGAACCTTTCACAATGACACGTAAAAGCTTTTAGCGTGGCTAACAATTCTGTCATCTGGCATTCAATTTATCCACTAACCCCCACTTCATGCTCACAATTCAACCTGTGTGTGTGTGTATGTGTGTGTTAGGATAAGCATTTCACCAATGAACCAAAGAATGTGGAGCCTGCCGTCTGGCTCCTATCCAAACAGAGAAGCAGTCATTGTCAAATCCCAACCCGAGTGTCTGCGTTTGAGTCCTCTGTGTGGGTCTGTCTCTGTAAAGCAATCACATCAAATAGAACACCGAGGTCTTGAGCTTGTTGTGTACTGCATTCTTCCAGAAAAAAAGACCTATCTTTTTCCCCCCTCTGTAAAGAGCACATCAAAATAACAATGTCGCGCTCCTTTTGACAGCCGGCTTCAAGGAGCAAAAAAACAACCCTCCCCCCGGCCCCCGCGTGTAGCGTTCATTAAAAAAAGACGGCCTCTCTCTGCCTCAGGTCCTTGACCACTTGTCACTTTCTGCGAACAACCGCCATTGGGTCTCGTTCAATCGAAAGCCAACACGTCCTGGACGCTCCATGGAAGCCGTCTACAGGCCTGAGCCACGCAGGTCTCCGACAGCAGGCCGAAACACACGGCCGCCAGCGACACGCGTCTGCTGCAGTTCAGGATCACTGGAGGAGGGATGGAGGGGGGGAGATGGAGAGGGGAAGAGAGAGAGGGATGATGCACTTTTTACAGCAAAGGGTTCGGTCTTCAAGTTAAATCCCAACGCGTCTGTCAGAGATGCGGTCGGATTTAAAAGGACGTCTCTTGTGAGGAGTTCAGTTTTTTCCACACTCGCCCAGCACCTGCTCGCCCCCACTGGCACATTGAGTGGAAATGAGCAGCAGTGTGACAACACAGAGTCAAGAAAACCAAGCAGTGGAAATAGTACATTTATCGCTCTGTTGCATTTGGCAATGGGACGTCCTGTAATTAGTTCTTCATGAATGTGACGAACAGAGCCTCCCAATCAGCGCAGCCGACCATAAACTCACAGCCAAATACAACGAGCAGATTTATTTTTCCTCAAAGGAATAATTATACAAGGTCAGTAACATGGACTGCTGTTATGTAATGTATTTGTTTTCAAAGTCTATGTGGAAAGGAGCACAAGAGGGGAGAGGGGGGGGTTACAGGCCGAGAGAGAGAGAGAGTTGGCTGCCATCTGCTGGTGCCTTCAAAGAAGAACGGAGCACCAGAAGATGTGTCTTACGAGGATGAACGTACCCTTTCCAATGATGTTATGGTATTAAGTCCACTTTAATAATGATGCGTTCACATATTTAGTCTTTGTTATGCCCGCAGGTGAGACCATCATTGGTCATTCAACGTTGTCCGTGACCTGAGATGGGCGCCAGAGGGGCCGGCCCTCAAGTGGATGCGTCCTCTTACCCCTGATGGCCTGCGAGTTGGAGGTGAGCACAAACAGCTTGATGAGGCCCAGGCAGAGCGGCGAGTAGTCGTGCTCCCAGATGACGGCGGGGATGAGCAGCACTTTGCCGTAGCAGGACAGCAGCAGCGCTCGGAGCAGCAGGCGGAGCTCAGGGGTCCCGCCGCGCAGACGCCCCGTCGCCGCCCAGAGGAACCACAGCGCGCCGCCGCAGAACGCCGACAGCTCTGCGCCGCAACAGGGGCGGACATGGAAGACGCGTAGAGGTGCATTTAGTGATGGATGACTTTTTAATTAGTCAAACAACAGGTGAAACTGCAGCCTCATTTAGGTGGTCGGTAAGATTCAGCGCGTACCTGAGAAAATTACTTTTAGGGGATTTGCCACAACAGTTTAACAAATTAGGTAATTTATTGAGCTAAAAAAATCTCTGGTTTCAACTTCTCAAAAATTCCGTTTTCATAAAGTATTCAGAGACTGAAAAAAATGTGTAAGTAGCAAAATGAAGAAGCTGTGCAAGTAAAGTTCCCCACTGCAAAAAAACTGCAAATACACACAAACACATATATGTATATATATCTATATATACATATTTTAACTCTTCTACAAATGGTATCTTTAAACACAAACACTAAATAAATAGCTTTTTTATAAGGTAATAACACAGTGATGTGCTAAGTATAAAATACTATTATCGATCTCCTCTGTAGCTGTCTGTGAATAGAAACTATGAATACAAAAGCCATTTGGAAACAAACAAATGTGTTCGCTGTCACTAAAGATGGCATGAACATAGTTGCATTATTCTCCTATAGGAAAACACAGCATGTTGCATTCACGGTCCCGTATTTGTCTCTGTTCAAGCTCTGATTTCAAGATAATCTAACTGGTTACAAGTGTTTTCAAAGGTACATTCTGGGTGAGGGTGATTTCAAATTGAGTGCGCCATTTCACTTGCATTGTTTAGCAAGCAACGCACACATGCGTATAGTTTGGAATGACGTGTCTAATGTTGATAAGCAGGTAAGGTTATTTGAAAAAGAACATTTTCAAATTTCCAACTTAATGTGATTGAGACTACGTGCTTACGGTTTTGTTTGGCTGGTCAAGAGATTACTTAACATCTAACTCATGCGTGAACGCTGTAAATGTCCTTAGTCCCATTGCACCGTCGACTTGAAGCATCCTGGTGTTCCCAGAGGCTTGACGGCTCGGTTGCTCCATGCAAACACTCAAAAACGTAATGTAATGTGCAATGGAGCTCTGGTCGGATGGTCTTACCCAGGGCGGCCAATCCAAACGCGCTGTAGAAGTCCCATTCCTTGGCGTACCGGATGATGTCCGCAGGGTCACCGCTCTGCTCGGAGCCGTGGAGGAGGGACCAGCGGAGGTAAGCCTCACACAGCAGGCAGAACACGCACAACTTCCAGTGGATCTGGAGAGGTGAAGAAGACGTACAAACACACACGGGAAGTACATCTCAAGGTAGGTCCCTGACTTTGTAAAGGTACCATCTTAATCCCAAAATATTCCACTAGAAGTAAAAGGATTTCCGTCACAATTGTTTTGTAGTAAAAAAAATTCCTTCGGCAAAATTTACTTGAATTAACAAAATTTAGAAGTATTCATTATGCAGTAAAATCTCCCCCTTCAGCGTTCAACCATCATATATAATATTTATGGATTAATATTACCGCAGCAATAACATGTGTGATTGCGTTTTACTGCTGTACATGTTTTAAGCTTGTGCTGATTCAAATTCCTTTATATACTATTTGTACAGTAAATTGTACTGTAAATTTAACTTACAGTACAATGTATTTTATAAAAATCCTTATAGGTTTGTGATGTAACTTTCCTGTGCAAACGGGTGTGTGTTTCTCAAAGCTCTAAAAGAAACACCTTCAGCTTCATTTTCCAGCTGATCTAAGACGCCTTTAAATTAGTACAAATGTAAATAGGCCTATATATAAAATCAAGATTTCCATATTTAGAGTTTTAGTTTTAGAGGGAAAGGATCTTACTAAAGCTGGTAACTAAAGTGGTCAGTTGAATTTGAATTGAGGACTGCAGAGAGCCTTCACATCTTCCGCCGCAAACTAAAGACACACCTCTTCAGACTCTACCTTGACTAAAGACTAACAAATTGTAGCACTAAAATGTACTTGTAACGTCACTCATCTTTAGCAAATTGTGAATTGGCTTATTTGAGGAAATTGCACTTTCTTGTTTCTTGTTCTCCTGAGTTTGTACCCTATGGTTGAATGCATTTATTGTACGTCGCTTTGGATAAAAGCGTCCGCTAAATGACATGTAATGTAATATAGAAGAGTAAAAAAATACACTTTTGGTATATATAGACATGTATAAAGTAGCAAAAAATGGAAATACTCAAGTAAAGTACCTCGCATTTGTATTTAAGTACACTACTTGAGCCAAAGGCCTTTAAAAGAAGAGTTTAGCACAAGGCCTGTAAAAAACACATCGAGCACACAGTCATTAGAGATGTGAGGTCTGCAGGTGCAAGAGGGCTATTTTACTTACATCCAAGGTTGTGTTGAACAATATGTGTCTGAAAGCCTGCGTCTTGCACAAAATGGCATCAATCAGGATGATAACGGGGTCATATTCAATGTACTTGTCCACTGGCTTCTGGCACGACTCCTGGAGACACACGCGCGCATAACGTGAACAGCTGGTAGAGAGACGGATGCAACTAACGCTATTAATCTGTAATCTGTTAATAGATGACACTATAATGTCAGGGAAGTTATCCTAATAATTAATAGAATAATGTTCAAGTAAGTTGTTCTCGTGTCAGCCCATATACGCATACAAAGGTTTTACAGGTTAGTTTATCAAAAGAGAAACTGCATGTTTGAGTCAACCACTATTAGCTAGCATCGTAAATTTAAAGCAGGTACTCAAATCCAAGAGGCCAATAGTCAACGCACACATATTGTTATCTTCAGGATCCCGTTACTGTAATCCCTGTGTAGCTCCGGTGCTTTTTCGTTGCATTCAACACACCTAAAGATATCTGTTTCCATTCTTCCCATTGTAAACTGCTAACTTTGCTGACTACAAAACACCTCGAGCGTTGGATGGAAACAAGCGGAAGTGACACTTTTGGTACAGTCCCGCCTTCAAGATAAAAGTCTTTATTTTTTCAAAGAGACCCCATTGCATTCTTTAATGACTGTTTTTACTTCTACTTCATAGATCATATTTAAAGTCGAAAAATGGAAATCTATTAAGATCAATAAAAAATGGAAATGCAACTTCTGTTTTGCCTATATACATATAATGAATGCGTCGATTGGAAACGTATTCCTTTATTGTATTTTTGGTCGCCCTGTCTAGGTACACTGGACATAGTTTTAATTTGAAAGTAATAGCGGAAACAGTTCGTTCTTTTCTGAACACGTAGGGACTGGAGGGACGGGTTTGACAGCCGAAAGGGATGTAGGGAAACGTAGTTTAATCTTTCTTCCCGGCTCTTGTTTTTTTCTTCTTCACCCTCCCGGAGACTCGCGAGTGATGGGGGGCCGGGGGGCGTGGTTGGTTCGGTTTTGATCGAGCCGCAGCAGCTTCCGCTCTCTCTCTCTCTCTCTCTCTCTCTCGCTCTCTCTCTCCCTCTCTGGCGTCACACATGTAGCACAACATGGCCCCTGCCAGCCGGGCTGTTGTTGTGGTCGCGCTCTCGTTGCTGTACCTCTGCCGGACCGTCTTCTCCTCCGAGTATTTCTCCACTCTCACTTTGTTCAACAATGAGCTCCACAAGCAGGGATGCAGCTCGCTGTCCGAGTGGGAAGAATACGCGGCCGACTGCGGTAAAAGTCTTCGTCTTTTCCTCCTCGCTGTTACTTTGCCACGTCTTCCCCAATTCCAACTGTCACCCGGCTAGCTTAACCGCGCGTAAGCTACCGCTAAGATGAGCTGATGACAACAAGCGGTGACAGCCCGGGGGGAGTTAACTCGGATCGGCTCTCGTTCTCGCTGCCGTGGAGGTTAAACGCGGTCTTGAAACTAAAGCTAGAAGAAAGCGAGTCGTAACACAGCAGGGAGAGTATACAACATCGATGTGTGCATAACCGGAAACTCACTTAGAAACTGCTGCTGTTGGTTTAACTGTTCCCCCGAGAGGTCATCAGCGAGCTCCATTCAGAAAGATGCAGCACTGTGGTGGTGCCTTGCTCGAAGGCAAAATGCCCCCAAAGGAGCATAAGTGAGAAAGATTCCTCTGATTAGGCATTTCGCTTCTAGTGGATTTGGTGCATCTGCACTATGTCACAACACGTGCACCCTTTAAATATAGTCTATTTATTTTTCTATTTTGTGAAAAATAATACATACAATACTCCAGCAAACCAGCAATCTTTTTCAATAAAGAATGGGATCATTCACTGTGACCTACATATGTGACATTTTAGACAGTAAAGTTGCATGACTGTGCTGGATCAGATAAGATAAATATGGTGAAAGATCAAGAGTTGTTGTGTCAGTGTGGGTCTGTTAAGTGGAAGCATGGGGCTGCACCTCCTCACAAGGAGGACTCGTGTTGTACCGGTCAAACAAGTTGCGTTTGTCTGCTGCTCGACTCGTTTTAACAAACCGATCCACATCAGAGCTATACAATATTTTACCACACGCTAAACGTAACTGATTAGACCTTAAATAACCTTAGTGTTCAGGAAATATGGCCATAAATCATCCACCTAGGATATTCGGCAACTTTGGATTGTAGCATGTGCTTTGCGTTAAATTGATAAAACATCTTTCACTTTAGTCTGGTGTGTGTGTGTGTCGGTTTTAAACCACATTGCAGACATGAATACATGTCACCCTGAAGAGACTCAGACTAATGTAATTTTAAAGGAAGAAAGTAATCATCATCCTCATTTTGTCCTTTTAGAGTCGTCCATTTTACAGTTGGAAGACCCAGACTGTGAGGAAGGAAGCAACCCCCCCTGCGAATCAGTCTTCTCACTTAATGCAGAGAAGATCCTGGTGAGAAAACACACACACACACACACGAGTTGCTTTTATATAAGCCACAATTGCTTCTTTTCTTTGTCTTGATAGCATCATACGGTGCCAATTTGTGTGACAAATTTGCTGTTCCTTTTATGTTTTAATCAAACTATTCTCTATTAATAATTAATTTACATTTTATTGAGGAACCTCTGGTTGATAGTTTCAACTTTGACGTACTTGTAGTGACACACTACTGAATGTACTGACCACATGCAGAGTGTACCTCCTCATACCAGTTCACAAAATAATCTGTAAATGGAAATTGAACTGCATGCCTGAGTTCACCCCAAAATGAGTTCAACCACATCTGTTACCCTTTTACTTTCAAGACGTAGTAAAGGCATAACATTGTTTTGTTTTTAGTAGTTTAGTTTCTGTATCAGTCCAATTTAAAGTTAAGAAATAAGACGTGCAGCTTTTCCATCTAATGTCTGTGAGTGTTTGGCTGTAGCTGCTTCTGGTATCTGATGATCTAACTGGGGCATGTTTTTGTCTCGTCTTTTTTTTTCCTAAACTGCTGCCATGGCAACATTTGCATGCTGTCAAATTTGAATCCTGTAATGGTGTGATGCGCTCGTTGACCCTTCTGGATGGCGCTGTAAATACAACGCGAGCCTGCGAAAAAGAAAAATAGCTTTTTGACGCACACGCAGAAGATTTATTGCGAAGTACGAAGCAACCTTGACAACGGAAAGGACTTTGAGGCCTTATTTTTTACATGACGAAAAACAACAGGGTCTCATTTACAGCCTTTCCCTTGCCTCGCCTTGCCTTGATCTGCGTATCTCTCTATAACACCTGTACGTGTAATCCCTCTGCCCCTCTCTCAGAACCAGGCCAAGTTGTTTATAGAACAGAAAAAAATCCCCTTTCCTGTAGATAACCACAACACAAACGAAGAACTTGGTAGGTTTACATTTTCTAAATCCGAATCCTACTAATGTTGAACTGAACACACTGCGAGTGTCATCCTCTGCTCCGTCTTTTGCAGCCATAGGCTACGTTCTGATCGGCAACGGCCTTTATGACGAAGCCATCAAACACTTCTCACTCTTACTACAGGTGTGTTTCAGTAGAGAAGCAGATGTTCACTCTCAATGTATCATGTTTTAATATCGCGTCATCTTTGCTATTTTCTCACACAAAAATATGAATATTATGTGAAGATGAGTTTTGACTTTGATTCAAAGGGAGACCCAGAGCTAGTCAGTGCCATCTATGGGCGAGGGATAGCGTACGGCAAGAAAAGTCTACAGGTGAGTGATTTTTAAAATGTATGTAATTATTTATTTCCTTTACCGCCCGATGTTTCGGAAACTGTCGTTGTAATTTATGGAGCTGTACTCATGAAGCACTCTGTGGCTTTGAAATGTGCCATAGAAAGACATTTTATTCACTCACTTAACTTTGAAATACCACATTAAATAGAAGCAGCTTTTTCTAAAAGCATTTACAATGACATAAAGAAAATAATTGAGTTATAGCTGTTTTTCAGTTATGATAATTGCTCTTTAGTATAGGAAGGGCTTTTTTTAAAGAGAAAATCTTGCTTCTTGTAACTCACACCATTCAACAGTGTGCTCCAGTCAAGGTTGCTCAGATAATTCCCAGCAGTTGACTCGTACTTTATACTTTTTGAATCACAAAGTGCTGTTGGGTTTGTGATTTGTGAGTTGATCGACCTTGCCAAAAATGTGAAACGTGAAACGTAAAAACGATTTGGCGGCATAGGGAGTCGTTGTCTGTATTCATTTTCTCGTTCATCCTGGATTTTTGTGACCGCAGCAGTTTCAGAAAGACGCAGACTGACTCGGTGCTCAATGCTCTCTCAATGCATGCAAATCCAATCCGCCAGCACTGCGGCAATGAGCCTGTCCCCTCAGAGAAACGACCGCACAGCAGTTTTTGTGTTTTTCGGTGTACTAGTTCTGTTCATATATCAATGTTTGTAGCAGCAAAATGTAATTGCCTCTCCTTCTTGTGATCTCCATGCCAGGATATAAAGAATGCTGACTTGGCGTTGTTCGAGCTCAACAGAGTCATCACCCTGGAGCCCAGCTGGCCGGAGGTCTACGAGCAGAGGGCAGAGGTACAGAGCTGTTAATAGTCGAATAATTCCTTGTGTCTGTGGCCTCCAAAGCTTCTAATGTAGTAGTAGTTCTAAAGTGCTACGACCTCTCGGCAACAATGTAAAAGGTTCAGCAGATCAATTTCTGTGCCACTTCCTATACCGGCCCCTGTTTCGTGACACTGTGGCTTTAATCACGTGCACAGGAAGCAGAAAAGAAGTTCACATGGTTACAAGAGTTGTAAATATTCAATTTTCAGTTCAGTAAGTGGTTTCACCCCCTAAGTAAGAATGTCACCGCCTGTTTGAGAAACCGTCTTTGGCTCTTTTTCGAGGCTGTTTCCTCTTTTGTGAGCCACTTGAATCTCTGGCGTGATCAGTCTGAAGTGCAAGACACTCAAATGTAACAACACAATCTGGATTTCATCCGGACTGAGACCGAATGTCGCTATATGTCATCTGGTTTTACACATGGTTTTACATGTTATTAAACTCGTAATATGCCACGTTTTGCGCATTCTTTAAAGTCTTTTTAGGGTTTGGGTTCCCTTTTTCTATAGTCTTCTGTAGATGAAAATCATGCAAAATAGAATTGTAACCATAACAAGTGCATCACATGCAGTATTTCATAGAACCCGTTTATCTGTAAGTCTGTGGGTTTCACGTTGAAGAAAAAGATCACAAACTCCTTTTCAGCTGGAATGATGCAACCAGCTTTTTCAAATTTGCTGAAAGAGCAATTTCATTACATAAGAAAAATAACCAAAACAGGATTATTCAAGCAATTAAAAAAAGGACGTGGCTATCCAATGCTATTCATTATTTCTTTGTGCTATGACTTTATCCTTAAAATACATTTTGTGCCTACGTATCTTAAGATCCTGTCTCCTCTGGGTCGCATCAGCGAGGCTCTGAATGATCTGACCAAAGCCATCCAGCTGCAGCCCTCAGCCCGTCTCTACAGACACAGAGGAACACTGCTCTTCATTTCAGAGGTTTGACCGTCAAATGTCCTTTTTTAATGTGCACGCGCACGTTGCGGGCCGTCCTGCCTCCGTCTGCTGACCCTGTGCTCGGCCTTCCCACCAGGACTACGTGGCAGCTATGGAAGACTTCCAGCAGTCTTTGGAGCTGAAGAAGAATCAACCCATCGCCATGCTGTACAAAGGCCTCACCTTCTTCCACAGAGGAATGCTCAAAGTAAGTGGTTCACTGCTTCCTACTTTGGAAGATTTAGAGACCATTTTTTCTTTAAACAAACCTCTAAATCTGGGTGTTTGATGGTGTGAATTGAGTCCTAACAAAATTACATTTCAGCAAATAAGGGTAAAGATTGATAATAAAATATACATAACGACTCAGAATAAGGCTCCTGGTGTGGCACGGACATTTTACAATTCAGTTACAGTTCGTATTTTCAAAGTGTAAACTCATTGTAATCGCCTATGAGCAGCTGCAAGGGAGTATCCGGCTCTGGAAGCAATTGCATGTCTGATTTTTGGGTTAAGATAAGTTTTCAGAGCTTACCACATTCAAAACATCTCAGTAGGACGAGGATGTCGTGTTTAGCACCCGAGTTTCCTGCATCTGCTCGTTGTGTAGGCAGTAAATCAGAAACCAATGTTCAGTGCTCACTGGGAGAGTTGAAATTTAATATTACTTCAATGCCTTTTTAAAACGTGAGACATCCAGAAGAAACATAGCTTAGCACGTAATTGTAGTTATTCACAGCAATAGTGTTTCTCACACTTTGACACATTGATTCTAGGTTGTGTCTGCAGCTGCAGTTTTTTTTCATCTGCAAGTCGTTTGCATTTAGTTAAGTCACGTGTGTAGTTTTCTTTATTTATTTTGGTTGTGTTTATTATCTCTGCTAATGAATATGCTGACATTGGAGCCAATGAGCTTCTCCTCAACAAAGTCAACATTGCACAACTGCCTTTTATCAGTATAATTTCCAAAGAAAATTGTGTGAATGTGCCGTTTGTTTAGCTGCACGCCTCATTGTTCACGTGATTAAAAACTAACAACTACTTAGAGAGATATTTCCTCGACGCTAAACATTATTTTATACTGCTGTGTGGAAAGAGTTTGTGGGCACTGAATATATCTGACACAAGATACAACAATCTGCCGAGTCTGAATTTTTGGTGCATCCCCCATGTTGTGCAAGTTCCTCTTGTGTTGTCACTCTGAAAGGTTGTTGGGTTTTTTGTCGTCAGGAAGCCATAGAGACATTCAAAGAGGCACTGAAGTTGAAGTCTGACTTCATAGATGCCTATAAGAGCCTTGGACAGGCCTACAGGTACAGCCTTGTTGGTATTCACTGGTCACATCGCACCTTTTTTTCTTTTTTTTACCCAATGAACACATTATGTTGCTTCTCTGTTCAACGAATTGAGAGTACTTCCCTTCCCCCTCCGTCTCACTGACGACATGTGGACTGTCGCTCTCTTGGTTTTTCCTCTTCCCAGAGAGCTGGGCGATTTTGAGTCGGCGATGGAGAGCTTCCAGAAAGCCCTCATGTTGGACCAGAACCACATCCAGTCTCTCCAGCTGCGCGGCATGATGCTGTACCACCACGGCTCGCTGCAGGAGGCCATAGGCAACTTTAAGGTGGGAGAATCCACAGCTTGGTCCTCCATTCCTCTGTAACCGTGATCTGAAATATTCCTTGAGACTACAGATTTAAACTTATTGTATACAGAGTTCAGCAAACTTCATCTTCCCGTCTTTGGTTGCTGTTTTTGGTTTCTCTGAACGTCTCTCCTCCCATTGGTCCACCAGAGGTGTCTCCAGTTGGAACCCTACAACGAGGTGTGTCAGTACATGAAGGGGTTGAGTCACGTGGCAATGGGACAGTTCTACGAGGGCATCAAAGCGCAGACTAAAGTCATGTTGAATGACCCTCTGCTGGGGCAGAAGGCCAGCTCCGAATACCTCAAAGTCAAATATCTCAGAGGTCAGTGTCACCGCATGCAAACACAATAATGGACACTAGTTTTATTCACACTACTGAATACGCTCTTGTATTAGTGAATCCTGTGCATGTAAACTATCTAGAACATTCCAATGTTTGGTATTGCCTGCTCAGATTAAAGTTCCTCCAGAGGTTATACCACAGCCTTTTTAAAAATAAATTGGTTTGGGTAATTTTTGATAAATTTTTCATTCTGATCTGCCCCACCTTGTTTTCCTACCAGAGTACTCTCGCTACCTGCACTCGCACCTTGATATCCCTGTAGCGGAGTACAACGTGGACCTGGACTTACCAGGGAACTTTAAGAACCACTGGGCCAAGAACCTGCCGTTTCTAATAGAAGATTATGAAGAACAGCCGGGCCTGCAGCCTCATATCAAGTAGGTGTAATGGTCTGTCGAACGGTGATTCACAGCTGGAGCTCTAACCGTGGCCAAAACTGAAGAGATTCATACATCATGTCTGTTTCATTTGATAATATAGTGTCCTGCACTGTAATGAGTGTATGTACAGCTACCACCTGTTTGAGGCAGATGTTTTTATTCCTGTCAGTAAACTAACTACATCTCAGAAGGTTGACGGGTAGCCAGAAAATACAGTCCATGAAAACAACAACTGAACAAAGTTCCCCTTCCTCGTGTTCCTGTGTTTGCGGTATGCAGGGACGTGCTGCCGCAAAACTTCGACAGCTACAGCAGCGAAGTCCAGAAGCTGATCTGCTCGGCCGACCACCTGGGGGCGCTAATGCAGTACGACACACCGGGTTTCTTACCCAACAGGAGAATACACAGAGGTACTACTGGTGAACGCTGCGGTTCACAGGAATATTTTTTGCATTAAACCCGCAGCGGTAAGAAATGAGATGTCTGCACTTTTTCAGCCATGGGTTTAGCGACCCTGGAGGTGATGCAGGCCATGCATCGAACATGGAGCAACTCCAAAGTGCGAGTCAACGGCAAGACCAGACAAATGCAGTGGAGGGACATGTTCGATATAGCGGTGAAATGGAGGAGGTGAGGGCTTTCAATTTTCTTCTGGTGTTACTTTCTCTTTGGAGAAAAGCAGATCATTTGTTATGTTATGATCCTTATAGCTCAGCATCTATTAACGCTTTAATGCAGTGACCTATAGACACTATTTCGTCACTCAAAAGGGGATTTAGTATTGAGTTAGCGCCTGTCTTAGTTTGGTTTGGCGAGATTGACGGCAAAGGCCAAAAGACTTAAATGTGTGTTTTTTAAGTTCTATTCATCTTCAGAAAATAACCCTTATCAGGTCTAAACGGTACCTCATATACATCAGGCAAGTTAGAAGTCAGTCATCCAAATCAAACTATAACTAAGCTATATTTTACATATATTTGTTTCCATCAATGAATCACTGATGGATTTCACAGTTAAGAGACTGACCGGGCTTTCCCTGTGCTCGTAGGATCGCGGATCCAGACCAGCCGGTCCTGTGGTTGGACCAGATGCCTGCCAGGAGTCTCAGTCGAGGCTTCAACAATCACATTAATCTCATCAGGTAACGTCGGGAGCACGTCGCATGCACTCCTGAGCACGTAGACCAAACGGGATGTTCTTTTGGCTTTGCTTTGGGCTTTTTCTCAACTCATTTGTAACGCACATCTAATATATAAATTCCTTGTAAAACGACCCAGTTCCTTCAGTTTTTAACTCCCAGTGGCCTCTGCTCTGACGAGCTTGCAGAAAGCACTTGTGAATATAAAAGCATCTTTTTTTGACAGTCTGTTGAAATCCTTCTTTCTTTTTTTGCTTTAGGGGACAGATTATCAACATCAGGTATCTGGCATACTTCAACAACATCCTCGACTTCATCAAAGACAGAATACTGGTGTACCATGGGTAAATAACTCAAACGTCATTGCGTTTCTTTGAATTAAGAACGTTTTATTCTACCCTGGGCTGCAGTCAAGTGGACATGCTCGCCTCCTGTACGCTTTACCCCAGGCTTTATTCATTTTGCATGAGAGTATTGAGGAGAATCTATAAATAAATGTTTGTACCTCATACGTATCCTCCGTCTCTTGCTGCTTCTTTAATTATGTTCCTGCTTTGCATCTCAGGGCGTACAACCCACGAGGACTCTTAGAGGTCCGTCAGGCTCTTGAAAATGTGAATAAAGTAGAAGATCTTCTTCCTATAATGAAGGTAAGGATGAAAGTCTGGAATCATAGTTGGGAGGGAAGTAAATAGAGATGAAGATCATGTTTAAATTATCTGGATTAAATGTTTAGATATCACACTCTCAACTCAAGGTCCACTTAATTAATTCAGTAATTTTTACTCCTATCACATTATCCGCAGACACAAAAAAACTTGCTATGGAAATAAGTAAGTGGACACTGTTGAGATTGTCGTCAACCGCTGTTTTCAAATTAATAAAAATGAACTCAAATTTATTAAATGTTTTACTGGGATTGACCTCTGAAGCGGCACCATTTCCTCTTTTTTATTGTGGTTGTTTTATGTCCCGTAGTCATTCAGCAGTGAAAACCCAGAAGGGTGATCTGTGTGTTTTCTTTTCATCTCCTGAAGCAGTTCAATAGTAAAACCAGAGATGGCTTCACGGTGAACTCCAAGGTGCCGAGCATGAAGGATCTTGGGAAAGAGTACGACGGTTTTACCATCACGATCACTGGGGACAGGTACGAGGAAACAACGTGGGTCCGTCCGTTTGTCCTCTTTGTCTTGGGGTCTTTGAAGTCCTCTGGCACTTTGGAGAAGTATTCTCTTCTTTGATGAATCCTGTCTGATCTAATAAATCCCATCTTCATCTAAAATGTCCTTTTTAAAGATAGAACTGCACATTTTGGTCTGGCCTTTTTATTGGCACCGGTCCAATGCACACAATCATTATTGTTTTTATCAGCATCGTAATATACCAAACGTGTCTGGAAGATTTCTAGTAGTCTTGCTTTTTTTTATGGCGTATATAGAATTATGTAAATGTTGACAGGTTTTTCAAAACAGCCGGGCAGTTTCCCGCCTGTTTGAGCCGTTAGAGCAGAAGGTTAGAGAGCGATTTTATTGATTCCCACCAATGAGCCGTCTTCTGTGTCGCAGGGTGGGCAACATGTTATTCTCTGTAGAGACTCAGACGACAGAAGAGCGGACGCAGCAGTACCAGTCTGAGATAGAGGCCATCTACAAAGACCTCACCGCCAAAGGAAAGGCTTTAATGCTGTCCACTGAACTCGGGGTAAGATTTAGCTTTGCACTTGACTGGAAGCTTTTATTTTTCCTTCTTTTGGGGAATGAATTAGGCATTACCTACGTAATAGAAAGTCAAATCATGTTTATTGCAGTGACTGGTGACATGACCGTTATATATAAATCTTAACAATCTATAGAAAAAGGTTACCAATGAGAACAGTTCTGCAGATTATTCAGAGGAACCAGGATGTTGTCAATGCTACAAACAAACTTCCATTCACCTCAGTTGTGTCAGGGTAGAGGCAAAACTATTAAGAGTCTAGTTAAATCAGCAAGCATTTTTAAGAATAAAGCATTAAAAGGAAAAGTAGTTGGTGACATTTGTATCTACATACTTTTCATTATGGTAAACCAATCCTTTAAAATAAGTCTGCATGCTTTATTGAAGCAAATCTTTGCTCAGCAGCCATCTGTTTTTTTTAAAGTAAATATTTCATTTTATTTCAAGTTTTCAGTCAGCATGGCAGCTGCTCAGTTCCCCCTCAGCAGCCGACAGTCTCTTCTTCTCGCACTCAAATTTCAGTTTTCTTTAAAGGCAAATTAGGGAGGGAATTCAACAAATTCTCAGGAGAATCTCACAGCGATTTTACAAATAGATCACTTCACAGGATTAAATAAATTCTCCTGCTGAGCACTATTCTGTCCTCTTGCTGATTCATGTAGATAGTTGGGAGAACCATGTCCCTGTTGTTGTAACAACTTGATGAGGTCATCGCCTCTGCTCTGAAACGGATACCTTGACCACAAAGCAATACGGGACATCAGTCAGTACTCCTGCTGCAGGCCAGTTTATGACTTGTGATGACTTTTTTTGTCCTTACAGGATGCAGATGCTGTGTGCAACCTGATCCTATCATTAGTGTATTACTTCTGCAACCTCATGCCCCTCTCCAGAGGATCCAGGTAATTTCTACATCAAAACAGCCGGCGTGCAGGCGTACAGTGTGAATGTTTATAACCAATGGGGCAATGGGAACTTGTGTTGTTCTTCGGGATGGGCTGTGACAGGTTATTGCCAAAGTAACTTCTTTGTTCTGAGTTCCCTTATTAAGGATTCAACAGTTGACATTAAAAGCAGAACGAGGTAAAGAATGATTGCTTACTAATCACTGCCCTCAATCATCACTTATGACCCACTGGAAGCGTGTGATGGCTTCTGTATCCGCAGACCCTCTTTCCTCTGCCTGTATTTTATCCGTTTATTGTCACATTTTGCATTGTTCTTGGCGTCTAAGAGCGCATCCAAGAGGAAGCTACAAACCTGGCAGACACACTGACGAACAAAGGCCAAACATAGTGAGGCAACGCGCCTAACGGGAAGGATTCTGCTGGCGAATTGCATTACTCGTTTGCCTTTTGAAATATGTATTTTCTTTCTTTTCGGCATGTTTCAGGGAGTGACCTATTACTTATGCCCAAAGGACAACATGTTCTACCTTTCCTTTTTTTTTTAAAGGTGCTTTTCCTGCTGTGCTTTTCCTCAGTGTGGTGGCCTACTCTGTTGTGATGGGTGCGCTGATGGCCAGTGGGAAAGAGGTCATCGGAAGGATCCCCAAAGGAAAGGTAAACACGAGCGACTGTGTCGGCCTCTCGTTGGGTCCGACCAGGTAAAATGTCTTCTGAATGACGACGTCTTTAAAAAAAAATTTTTTTTTTAAAACTTTGAACAAAGCGCAAGTGTGAGATGAACGTAAAGGTAAAGCATGGACAGAGAAAGTGAACATGTTAGAAATACAAATCTACAAATCAAGTACGAGACACCGAATGAGATTGTTTCACGTTGTTATGGAGCTTCTTCTCGTGGTGCGTCAGTCTGTAAACATGTTCATCCCAGCAGAGTTAAAAACACAAACACAGTACTAATTAGACCACCTCCATCCCTCATGTTTTTTATCCTTCATCCATGCCAACTGCATCAATGAATAACCAGCTTTACTTAAAGTATGTGAGGATGTGAGTAGAAATGACATTTCAGTCTGCACTTTGTGTTTGATTAGAACAGAAAGCTCTTTTCACTATTTTTTGTTTTTCTCCAGCTTTCATATCTCTTTTTGTCACTCGGCAGCTAAATATCACAGGCACACGGCTCCATCTATATATAACCGTAAGCAGCGTTTATGTAAAATGTGTGAATAACAGACGGCTCTCTTTACTCTTAACAGCTTGATACGGTCGACACTGTGTAAAAGTCTGAAAGGGTGTTTGTGTCTGAGGGGAACCACTGTATGTAAAAGACTATCTCCAACTCCTATTATGTTTCTTTAGTATCAAGGGTGTACATTACACATGAGTCTGCCAGCCGGTTTATTGATAGACACAAAGCGCATTGTTTAACACATTTATTCCAGCCCTCTGGAAGAATATGCTGGGCTGAAATCTCACGGTGCCATATCCGCTAAGCAGACACGTTGTTTGTTGGCAGAAAAAAAAGAAATCTGATCAGCTCATGAAAAGTTCACTCAAGGTCCCCTTTTTTTCAGCCATAAAGCTTGTTGGTTGCTCTCATAAGTTCTCAAGTTCTAGTTTCTGTTTGATGGGTGTTAGAGAATAAATATAATTACACTACTTGGATAAAACCAGAGAACATCCTGTACAGTAAAAAAAAAGCTCAATGTGCCGTCTGTCCTGCGTATTGCTTTTTGGAAGGACGTTGGGTTCAAAATAGGATTTGTTTATGTATTCGTGTAGATTTGCTCCTATTGACACAAGACGGCTGCGTGACCTCCGTCCTGCAGCTACTTTATATATAGCCTTTGTTCTCTTGCATGTCTTATTTATTTTTTAACAAACAAAAGTAGGCCTAAAGTCAACCACTGCTCTAAACCGTATTTGCTGGATGTTGTTTCAGCTGGTGGATTTTGACCGCCAGGACTACACCCAGTCCAGACAGCTTCAGTAAAACCTCCAAGAACTGCCTGAATCTCAAGAGGTAGGACGACGAAAAACATGTCCGGCTATTTTCTCTTCTTGGCTCGGCTCTCATTGCTTTTATACTTTTGTATAAAACGTTTCTTCCTCCACAGTTTACCAAGTTGGTACCAGAGTCTTCCCTCCGTAGCTGAGACCTTCCCGTCCTCCAGAACGATGATCGAGGTTCTCAACACGGACTCGTCTTCGCACTGTCCAAAGAAGTCCTAACACACCTTCTGTGGGGGGGGGAATCAGTTTAAGTATTTTACATTGGGGAGAACGAAGGCGCCGTCGTCTCGTGCACCCCAAACCAAACTGGATTGATTCATGCTCCTTGGCTCTAATGGTGGCCGTTTAAATTTTAAATTAGAAAGGACTGAGAGGATATTGATCCAAATTCAAAACATAATTTCAAATAGTCTTTTTGGGGAGAGTTTTATTAGTTCTTGGGAAAGCTGACCTTACTTTGGTATCAAGTTCTCTGCCATCCTTCAAACACAAGTTAGAATTCTTGCACCGCCTGCTGGTTTAAAATGCAGCGCAGGCCAATGGTGTCACAAGTCAACTGGGAACATCAAGCCAGATTTGTTTCTTTTTCAATTAGAATTTCCCTTCACAGAATACATGTAGTCGTGTTCAATCATTTGAATTGTACTTTTTGTTCAAGTACAGAAAATACCAACTTTTTTTGGTGCTTCCACACCCAGAAAGATGACAGAGAATAAAAGCATTAGCGTTTGGGAAGCAGACGCGATTCGGTCCACCTTCTTTTTCTGTTTCATAGGCCTCATCAAACCGGGAACACACGAAAGCACACAGTCCTCAATCTCCTCAGCCTCTTTTTGTGAAGTAGAAGTTCTTAGAGATTTCAGTTAATTTATAATTTGATTAACAGAAAACGGTCTGATTTTTTTTAAGTGACTGACCAAGCACAAATATCAGATTTATTCTTTTTGTCCTGAGTTTTATCTCGTTTTTAATTGAAATAGATTTGGGACAAAATAAAATTGAACCAGGCTCCTCAAAAATTATATAAAGTATTTATTTATGTAAAGATGATAACTTGTAGGTTTATGAAAAGAAAAAATTGTGATATTGTATGGATTCATTTCTACAAATTGAAATGGATCATTTCATTTAAACTTAAAAATGGCATAAGCAGCCAAATTCAGTTTTAACAGTAATCATCCATGCGGTTGTTTTATAGAACTTGATTAGTTGAAATTGTACCTTTTTTTTTTTTTAAACATTGGTAAAAACCAAAACCAAACGGAAAGACTTCTGAATGTTCTGACAGTTGGATCTTTTTAAGGATATAGATGGGAGTGGAAAGACACTCCACACAGTTTTTGTCTTCCTATTATTCGTTTAGTCCGCATCATCTCTGGAGTTTCTTTCAAATACTGTCCCTACATATGTGACCGAGTTGATTCTGAAGTTTACAGACCTCTTCATAGAACCTGGTCAGAAAAAAAAAATGGAAAATAAAACATCCTCCTCTGAAAAATGAAAGAATTCTGCAGTAGTTCTTAATTGAATCACCAGTTTGTTTTCCTCATTTAATTATATCAACAGTACAAATACAAACTAATTATTCCGTTCAAGGGCACATCTGATTTATTTCCTGCATTGCTGGCAGTCTGCTTTCTGTCACTTGTTCATCTTCATGATTGGGAGACCTAGTCATTAAGTGCTTTGGTGGAATCTTGAAGCTTAAAACTTGAAGGAGGATTTTTTTTTTTATTGAATTAATGTTCAGCAGTCAATAAATTTGGTTGACAATTTTAACTGGCTCTGTTCCTTTTTTTTGGACATCTTGACTAAAAAATAGAGACTGCTCAATCAGATAACATAAATGCAACCATTATTTTATGGGGATTACACACTAAAGTAGAGCGATAGTCCAATTATACAAATTCAACACTCTTGATTTGTACCTCATACATTTTAATAATTGTATCTGATTGTAGTAATTTATATTTACTTGATACTTCATGTCAATTTTGTGTATTTTTATGTCTACTAATTTACCTTTAGTCAGTCTGCAATTAACCGCACTGGTTTTCAGCCATTTTACAGTTGACATAAGTAGGTAATTTCTGTTTTACGGAACTCTACACAAAGATGTTGCTTCATCTATAAAGTTGCTGCTTGAGGCAGAAAAACAATTTTAGTCCCTAAATCTTCAGGGTGCCTTGGCAGTATGAGTGAAAACTACGATTGTAAAACAAAGCTGTTTCATGTAGTACTGTACACTTATGCTTGTGAATAAGGTATTGGTATTTTATTTTACATGTTTTAATGGAGAATATTGGCAGTATGGGTATTTTGTGTTCGTTTGTGCAAACGGTTTGTGTTACTCAACAGCCATGTCATGTCAGCACACAATGTTAGATTGAAAAACCTAACCCTAAATTAACAATGACCAAAGGTTCAACTGACCTTATTCAAAAGGCTTCTCACCACGACCCAAGTACTGTTCCAAAGTCCCACTCCAATAAACAATGACGCAATTCACTTATTGACTGTATCAATAAATAATACAAGTTGCATTTATATAAACTCAGAATGATCTCAATCTATTTAGAGGTTTGTTCACTGCGCTGTTTTTTTGGTTGGGTATTTGAGTCAGATGTCCACATGGAAATATTTAAAAGATAGTAAGTTAGATAAAATGCCATATGAAGACTTCTGTACTGTATCTCAAGTGTAGTGACACGTGTTGATTTTGAATTTACATCACATGCGATCTCCCATTATTGTCTATTCAAGTAGTAATGCTAAACGAACAGTTTAGTGTTATTAAAACAGTATGTAGATTAAAAAAGCCATTGCTCGTGATTCCGTATCCTTCTGCGCGTACCGCATCCCGTACAAGGCTTCACCACGTGACGTCGTCACGTGACCGCTGACCCCGGACTTGGCAGTTCGCGCTGGCCGCCGTCGGTCGGTTCACTAGCGGTTTCTGGTCGCAGGTGAGGAAGGAGCCGGTGGGACCATGGCCGAGGATGCGACTGTTGTGTCCGAGGAGACTTTAACGAGTGCTCTGGCTCTGATGGTCAACTTGGGGAAGGTCCTCCTAGAGACAGCCAAGCACGAGGCGCAAGGTAGGACCGACCCATGTTGACAGTGAGGGAAAGTTTTATTTACCAGTTCTGTGGCCAAAAAAAGCTTTTATAGGGGTAGAAATGTACGCCCGCACGGTCTTCTACTCTGTATCACTAAAACATTCAACAGACTGTTGGTTTTATTCGCACAGGAAGTTGTATTACCAGTTCGGCGTGTTGCGTTCTTCACTAATGGTGTAATTGCATTCAATAGCTGTGCTGCAAGGGGCATCGGTGCTGCATTCATTAGTTACTTTGCGAATAATCGCTAACATAATATCCCGACTTTACCATTTCAAACAACACCTCACAGATAACGTTTTGTGTAAAGCACTAAAATATATCTCGTTGTCTTTTGTTTTCACATGTTACGAGTTCTTCGTAATGAACACTAAGAACTCGGGAGAAATACTCTCAACACAGGTTTTCCGAATATCCGATGAGCACCTGAATGCACCACCGTCTGCACAAAGCTCCACTCCGAATCCCCTTTTGTTAATATTCAGGATTCATATATTTGTTGTCATGTCTACATTTGCTGTAGTTGCTGTAGACATGACAAGACCCACGACTGACTGCGTTGCACAGGGCAACGTGCAACGCAGTCAGTCGTGGGTCAGTATGTGTGTGCGCGTGGGTGTAGTGGAACTGTTATCGGTTGGATTTTCTGTTCTGGGCAGTGCAGTGTCCACACCACACTGCGACTGATGTGGAAAGGACCCTCTCCATCGTACCTCTGTAAAAGTTGCTGTGCATGTGCAATGGTGTGTGTGCTGCACATCATCTGAAAACTTGATGATGCTGGTGTTATTCTGGGAGTCTACACAGGTATGTGAAGAAGGTGTACAGCAGGGGCCTCAGTACGCAGCCCTGGGGGGTCCCTGTGCTCACAGTTCTTGTGTGTGCGGTTGCCAACTCTGACTAATTGGGGTCTGCCTGACAGGGAGTTCAGCACCCAGTTGCAGAGGGCAGGTGTCAGTTTGTGTGGGGTGACTGCATAGGGGTCCTTGAGGGTTGTGTGGACTGCATCACCAGTGGACCGCTTCTGGCGTTACACAAACTGCAGCAGGTTTACGGTGCCTTTTTAAATTGTTCCAGTGTTTTACATCCGACCAGCCTATGTGCCAAAAAAAAGCGCAAAAAAGATTTCACTCCAGTTGATGTTAATTAGATTATAAATCTTTGTCCTCTCTTATCACCTACACGTTGTCTAAGAAGCAACGTTTTTTTATTGAATTCCTTGGTTCCATACCTACTAGCAAGGCTAGAACGTTGAATCTAGGTGAAATAGCACATGGCACATAGTTACCCCGCAACAAAGACAAAGATATTTATGACCTTTTGACTATTTCATAAGCTGGCTATCACGCTGGTGATTTATTAAAGCAGATCAGTGGTCACTGTATTAAAGGTGTCGTAACGTAATCCCCGTCGTGCTTATCGCCAACACACTGAAATTTCACAAAGCAGCATGACTCAATAGCTTGGATCCTTTGTTCCTCGTGCAGAGTCCCTGGAGAAGTTTGTCCCGTATAAGATCACCACTTTACTCGGCCTGATCACCGCCGGAGCAGACTTCTACAGAAGGTGAGCCGCGCTCTCAACAGAATCATTTGACCACATCATGGGATAAAGTACAATAAAGTCAAACCACTGTTGTATTCAAAGTTAGACTATATATATATATATATATATATATTATAATATAATTTTTTTAATACTGTGAAGTAATTCTGTGTTTTATTGCTGTCGAGCAGCATTGGAGTAAAGAAAAAGACCGAAGCAGAGAAGGTTTGGCAGAGGTTTTATCAGTAAGTGCGAACATATGATCATATCAAATGATGATAAATGACGATGATGACACCCACATATATATCTTATAAGTGATTATACATATTTTCGTGGCCCCTTTTTCATCCCATCCATCCCATTGAAATAGTGTAAAAATGTATGTTCGCCATCAAACATTATAGGGGTGAGTTATGTACGTTTATTAAGGCGATTAAGAAACAAAGGCGCCCTCTGCATCACAGTAAGCTAAATGCACCAATAAGAGCTGAGAACACAAATATCATCAGATAGCCCCCACTGACACAAGACGCAGCAGGGTGACCCCTCATGACACACCTGCACTGTGGCGTTTGGTCTTATTCTCCATCCTATTGGTTATTAATGTAACGCACAAGAATCGCTGTCGAAGCCTCTTCATCACAGAACTTTCCCTACTTTTTCAGCAATGCAGCAGTGAGAGAGCTGGTGGAAGAACTTCTGACACTTGAGGTCTGTCTGCAACTTTTTAAGTTTCAATTTGGTTTTGGAATGTTGCTTGTTATGACTTAAATAAGACGCAGCAGTAAAGGATCAGATTCATAGACATATTTTTCACATTGCATTCAACAAAGATCGAGTTCCACACCAATAATCTACGCTTTGGTTTGATGTTGCTATAATAAAATTCTAAAATATAGTGTGTATACAGGTAAAGTTCAATTAAAAGTTTTACAAATCAGCAATAAATCAACAACAAAATTTCAACAAAACAAGAGCTGGTTTATACCCTAGTCGACTGTCCTTTAAATTATTTTGGAAATGTCAAAGCAACATTTTTTTTTGCATTTAAGTAGTCTCGTAACCAAGCTATTATTGACTTAATGTACCGGGATTTCTTTAGTTTCAACTCTTTTTGTGTGTGTGTGTGTGTGTGTGTGTGTGTGTGTGTGTGAGAGAGCAGAGTGAATGGGACTCCTTCCTGGAGAGTGTGGACAGTCGTCTACAGACGACAGACAGGCAGCTGTCAGGAGGAAAGATCGCAGACCACCTGAGCCCCGACACAGCGTTCACCGATGGACGGAGTGGAGAGTGAGTTTACACACTGCTGGTCAAAACCTCAACTTCAATGTTCTTTCTGCCCTTTTTTGTCAATTAAACCCCAAGTCGTGAGCCTACATTTTAACCGTGGAGCATTCGGTATGTTTATTGAATTCGAGCTGTGTTGTCTTATCATCTTTTCAAGGAGCGTGACTCTCGGTCGGTACCTGGGTCAGGGTCAGAAGCCGCTGCTGGTCCTCATCCGACATTTTGGATGACTCCCGTGACGAGACCACGTGGCCGAGCTGGAGGCAAATCAGGTCAGTTAACCTGCAATCTGAGGGTGATTATTCAATTAGTCAGATAACAACTTTGAAGTGTCTCACGCTGCTTACTAAGCTCAGCCTGTCAGGTCAATCTTCATTTGCAGTAGCTGAATAAACAAACAGCGTCCCTGAAATTATTATTCATGCGTTTCTGTCCTCTAGTCTTGTGATCAAAAAAGGCTGCTGTCAAGCTTTTCTCCAAGTTCTCCAAAAGGTCTCGCGTTACTCGCATTATGATTTATTGTTATCAAATTTACGATCCAGATTTGTGTGGTTCAGAGGCTTGTATTTCCCACCTTAAAGAGCTACCGCAGACCAGCGACCAAGTCAAAGTGTCCCTGAGCAAGACACCTAACCCCTAATTGCTCCCCGGGCAAAAATAAAAAAGCCTTGGGTTTAAAGTGTAATGTAAGTCGCTTTGGATAAAAGCGTCAGCTAAATGACCTGTAATGTAATGTAATGCACGCAAACATGAACACTGATCCACCAAAAACGTCAATGAACATTTCATCCACTTATAGAGGTTATCGCACAGCATCCCAAACCATGTATAATCCCGCTTCAAGGAATTGGATAGTTAATGTGAAATGGTTTCATCTTGCATCTCTGCAGGTTGCCCTGCAGGCTCGGTCACTGCGCGTCTTGGTGGTTTCTTTCGGGGGTCTGGAGGGGGCTCATCTGTGGCTGGAGCAAACTGGATGCACTTTCGACATGCTGCTGGATCCACAGAGAAAGGTCAGGGGCCTCATTTATAAACGTTGCGTACGCACAAAAGAAGGCGTACGCCGCTCTCTATACAATAATTGGTATTTATAAAAAGCAAACTTGACGGAAAAATGTGCGGTCCTTCACGCAAGCTCGGACCCATGCGTACGCACAAAAACGGGTGAAATGAGAACCGTCGGCAGGAAACACGCACGTGTGTGAAAGTGTGTAAAACTAGACTGTTGTGTAAAAGAAATGCCAATACTGCCTCTCATAAATAACACAAACACCCGTTTGATCGATCTGCAGCGTAAAACAAACAAATACAAATTGACACATTTTCAAAAAGAAAAGTGAAATACGTTCTGCAATAACATTGGCACGTTATGCAATTCATCCACAAAACACAGCTGTTGCTTGTCAGATGCAATCAAAAAGACGGTAATAAAATGCCATGATGCGTCACAATGCGTAATGACGCGAAATGGCTGATCTTGCGCTCTTAGAAGATGTGGCAAATGGAAGGATTCGCGCTGTAGTGCAGCGCACCATCGGTTGTTTAAGGGCAGATGGCACTGCCTCGACTGCACTGGAGGGAGGTTATTGTCTACTCCTGAAAGGTGTGCAAAATCGTGCTGGCATGTGCTGTGTTACATAATGTGCCCCTGCAACTTTTTGCCACTCAAGTGCCTTTTTGGCATTAGTAATGCCCATATGTGCCCTCCAAAGAGCATTTTACTTGTTTCCACCTCGCCAATGATCATTTCGACTTCACTCTGAGTGAAGTTACGTTTCTTCGTTTTCCTCTCAGTGTTTGTCATGATTTCGCAATTGATGAATATTAATTTGTGAGCGTTCCACAGACTATATATGGGCAACTATGGGCGTGACATTTAGAAGTGATTGTGATTTATTAAGGGAAAACTGTGTAGGACGTGCGTGCGCATGGTTTTATAAGTCTGAATATTTCTGTGCGTACGCACATCCTATGTTTCATCCGTACGCCACTTCTGGCGCAAATCCTACGCAAGGTTTTATAAATGAGGCCCCCGGTCTGGACTGAATCAACTGACTAGATTTAAACGGCATAATTCTTTTAAACCGTTATTCACTTTTTTTTTTTATTACAGCAGGTTAAATTGAAGTCTGCATTTTATGATATTGTAGCTATATTTCTATTCAGTGTAGGTGGGTAAATGCACGACACTAGAGAGAGAGACTTTAGAGAGACTTTATTATTTAGCAGCTGTTTGATCATTTGTCCTGAGAGCCCAGGAAGATGACGCCTCCAAATTTTTCAATCTGAAAAGTCAACCACCAGATGTTAGCAGATGTGAGAGAGCATTCAACCAAAATGTATAAGACAGACGTTTTTCCAAATGCCACAGAACTGCGTCATTCATAACAAAAATACCTGAATCAGCTTTCCAGAAATCTATTTTCAAACCAGAATGGATGTGTTTTTTCCCCTTTTTTCTCTTAATTGTGTACCTGCAGATAATATTACGCATTCCTAACACAGTAGACGTCATCTCTGCCACAGGTATACAGGAGCTTTGGCCTTGGCTCTTCCTACGCAAAGGTGATGAGGTTCGGCAGCATGCTGCTGTACTCAGAGTACGGAGCTGTGGACAGAGACTTTCCCGATTTCCCCCCATACCTGTTGGAAGATATCTACCAGGTGAGATACTTTGGCATTGAGATGCTGATGTAAGAACCCAAATCAGTGACCTAAATCGAGGAACTATGTGCCAAATTTTCAGATGTACTTGTGTAGGAGCTTAAAATAGCTGCCCCTACCTCAGGCCTTTTTCAAATTGATAGAAAACATATGGTTCATAACTGCCTGATATAGATTCAACCAACAAGGAAATACCTGCAGTCAAATGCAGAAACCTTCAACATCTTCTTAAATCAAATGCAGCTATCGGCCCCATTCTGTCTGGTTTCAAGGTGCAACTTAGAAATGTTAAAAACTTCATCTCCTGTCAAATGATTGCTTACAGTTAAAAGCAATGGAAAACTTTCTCCATTAGTTTTAGAAAATAGTACTTTAGGACGCAATAGACTGGCTTGTTCTGATGGATGTGATTGTTAAACTAAATGCCATTTACTTACATTAGAAAGATCTTCCATTCTGCACAACAAAAACCGAAAAAGAGTTGATTGATTCCACGTAAATCTAAAACAGACACTGAACAAGCTTTGATGTGCTTTTTTCCAGATGGGAGGGGACTTTTTGCTGGATGAAGGAGGGAAGGTCCTTCTTTCTCACCTGTCTCAAAACCCAATGGACAGGCCGACCGTGAAGGCCGTCCTTCAGGCAGCGGAGCCTGCAGACTGCTCTGCTGACTCGGCGGAGTAACACCAACGTGTGGACGGCGAGCTGTGACACTTAAGCCTGGTTTATGCTTCTGCGTTTTCAGAGCGACGCAGACGCAAACGCAGAAGCATGCGCCAGCCTTTACTCGGAGCTTTCCTTTTTCTGGGTTTTATTATTTTTTTACCACACCACTGACACCACAGAGGAAAAACAGCTCTTTGACTCCCATTCATGACGTCACGTCTTGCACTCATGAACACATGAAGAAATGTGGCCGATGCAGAACTGTGAATCAAAGACGAGTGTTTTTCTCCTTGAGGTGTCAGTGTTGTGATGGGAGCAGATTTAGCATATTTTGTATCTCTGGCAGGAAGAAATTACTACATTACCCAAAATGATGGTGTCGCTGGCTACTTGGTGGCTGGTCAGGTTAGAGATGAAATCTTCTTTTTTCCTTAATCTTAATTGCAGTTTTATAATTACATTAAGTAGAAAATCTGCTCCGATTGGTAGTCATGTTGTAGAATTTGGAGAGAATCAATTTTAGAAAATGTTACGTATTCTACTTCATTTTCTTATTTGCACTTATTATATAACATATGAAACAATCCCCAGCACTACTACAATGCATGTGTATGGGAGAATCAGTATATATCGTATCGTATATATTGTTCATAATCAGACATTTGAGCAATTGAAGCAGTGAAATGTGGAACATTCATAAGTTTATTAAGCGACAAATAAACAAACATAACTTTGCGAAGAGCACGACATGCAGCGGCTTTCCAGTTTCTCTGCATTGCAACACTGTCCAGACATGGACAGTATGAGGGACAGAATCTGAGACAGTGTATCAGACAGCGTGTGAAACATGAGAGTGTGAGACTTAACTGAGACTGTGGCGGCTGGTAGAACATTTTGTCGGTATGGCTATCCAATTAATTTCAGCAAACATCTTAGAATGATTCAATGCAAAACCATAGATGTATCAAACATGCAATACTAATTTGAAGTTTGATATTCAAAATTTATTGCAACACAAACGAATATCAACATGCAATGTGGCAGCGTCCAGCCCCTTTCAGACCCAATAACGTGAAAACTAAAGTATTTAATGCAACTAAAAAAAGGTTGGAAAATATGTTGAATGGATTTACTGAATCCCCAAACCTATACCCTGCATACTTACAGTACTGCATCTGGTTCACGTTGTACACATTGATGACAATTCCATTCGTGAAGACGTGACATTTGAAAAATAACACAACAATCTATTGGCTTGTATTTCCCGTCAACAACACAAAAGACAAACAGTGAACAGGTGATTATATTTATAAACTAAAAAGTAGTATTGTGTATATAACATCTGTCCGTCTATCTTTTGCAGACTTACAAACTTTCTTATTAATCCTTATAAACAAAGCTTCTTTCTTATAATCCAGTTCGACATACATACATACAACATCCCAGCATGATTTAAAGCAAACCGGAAAGGTATCAAAAACGCAATACTAATTTTTAGTTCAATATTAACATTTATAATAATATGTATTGCGACACAATACAGAATAGTTTCAAAAACAACTTTAACCATCTTATTTGTGTCACCCTCACAGGGAATTAGTATCGTCGTCTTTTACACAGTGGCGTCTGTGATTACCCACAATACAATAGGGCGAAGCTGCTGGAGGCTCGTTACGTTCCTCACGTCAAAACGGGACAACGTGGTGCTTCCGTGTCAGGTTACGTAGACTTTGCATATTTTACTTTTAGGGCTCTCACGTCAGTCATTTCGGTCTTTAATAACGTGTCATGTGACTCACTACAACTGCCGGCGCAGCTGACTCCTCTTTCATCTACGTCAGATGGGCGCTTTTACTTTTGTTCCGCGCGCAACTCCGCAACTCATTGAGTGACGTAATAATCGCGCGACACAACAAATCGATAATGAAATTCGATGCCAACGATTTGAATAATAATTTCATCGATTCGTTGCAGCCACAACACAGTCAATTCATAATAATGTGAGCTTTCACTTCTAAGGATTAATGACAGTAAGGAGCCAATCTTAGAAAATAAAGAGTTCTTAAAGTGCCTCCCTGTCATCAAACTCGCACAGGTAGTTCATGTTCCGATCGCAGTAGTGGTCCCACCAGTCGCCGTCGTCTGACGACATGGCCACGCAGTTCTCCCGCCTCCCTCCGTCCGGCTGACTGGACAGGAAGTGTCTGCGCCACTGGAAGTAGGAGACCCGCGTCCCGTCATCGAAGAGGTACAGGCCCTCGGATCGCAGGTCGTTGACCCCCAGCCAGACGGGCCAGTTCCCGGGGTGGAAGAAGGACTTGACGTAGTCGGCGAGGGCCTCCTGCTCCCTGCGGTCGCGGGGCATCGCCATGCGGCCGCCGCGCTCCAGGCACTTCCTGGACGCCCCGGCGTAGTCCTTGTGGCCGTTGAACACCAGATAGCATTTGTATCCCATCCGGTGGCCCTTCTGGCAACCTGAGAAGCAGAGAGAATACGTCACCCAGTCTTATAACCAGCAGATATTTGGTGTCCACTCCAGAAGGAAGTACAATACAACATTTAGATGCTATAAGCACACAAAGTCTAAGGTGAATACACTACAAGGGAGCTCTGATACCTTCCAGTCTTCCCATCTCTTTGCGGTTGTCTTTGCTGTGCTGGTAGACCTCACGGATGGTGTCCTCCAGCTCCTCGACTTCAGCTGCAAAAAACAAGGAGACAAGAAAGTGAGTACAGTGCCTCCTGACTTCCTCTTTAAGATTCATCAAGGAAAATTAAACCGTCAAAGCTTATTATGGGAGATTAAGTGATAATGATGGTCTGCAGACGTTCAAAAGTAGTTCATTTCATTCGCTTTTGTTCTTATTCGTTGTTTTCATTCATGCTATATATCCATATCAAATGAAGATGTCTGAAGTACTGCGTGTAAAGGGGAAGTAAGTCCATGGAGAAAAAGAAAAGTGGACGTGTTGTGATCGTCTTACCATCCACCCTGGTCAGACGGTCCATTAACTGGCTGACTTTAACGTCCAGCGTGTAGTGGCCAACGTTCAGCTTGTGGATGGCCTGGTCCATGTCCGCCAATCTGGACACTTAACAGACAAAAAAAGAGAGAAGGTGTTGCATTCATTAAGCATTACACATTACAGTGCTGCGTTAAAGTAAAGCGATGACGCTCAGAGTCAGACTGACAAAGGATGCACTTGTTTTCCACAGTGTTAGGAAGCATGAACTCTCCACCGGATGTGAACCGAGAGACTCACAGACATAGTTGTATGAGTTCTCAAAGTCAGACACTGGACTGGTTGGCTCTGCTTCAGGCTCTGGGAGAATCTCAGGAACGTCTCCTCGTGCCCTCTTCGCCTCTGAAACGGGTGCCTGACAGACATGGGTAGAATTTGGAATTTCATCCTTTTGTTTGGTGCTGAAACCACAACTCAAACTCCAGAGGGTTGTATCTAAAAAGCAAATTCCATCTCTGCACATCTGGACGAGTTTCAATTTTACAAGTCCCAATTCTCTTCCAATCAACAAAAGACAACCTTTTAGTTTTATTTAGATCAAGAGTAATTAGGTAGAATAGTTACTGCTTACAGTCTCTGGACCAGTAGCTCGTCCCGGCTCGTTCATGCAGACCTCTTTGCAATCAAATGCTTGTTAAATGATGGTTGTTGTTTTAGTTTTATTTAGTAGCAGAAAAAAAGTGATAAGAATATATAAACAAAAGTATGTAACGAAACACGGCATATATTATGCAGGAGAGGTGAGAAACCCCACGTGGTTTGCAATAAAGCCTCCCGTGAATGTTTTATAATTCATCCTAATTGTATAGGTATCGGTTACGTATAGACATATTAAGATACAAAAGGAAGACAAACACTTTGAAAATGTGTTAGTAGTGATATGTATGTAAGAAGTGTGTGTGTGTGTGTGTGTGTGTGTTGACACACAGTAATGAAATAATGGTGATAAGAAGAATTAATAAAACAATAATCACTAAAATAAACAGTAAACATATTTAGCAGATTCTAGAAAAAACTATCTACTTACTGAGTTTCCATCCTCATCAGTCTAACAGATGTGCAGGATGCGGTGTGAAAAAATCTCTTGGCTTGAAATCATGTGTACTTTAATCACTATGTGGTGCAACACTTTCCCACTGTGGCATAAGGACTGACTGAGGGGAGACTGGTGTTTCATTTTAAAGTCTGACACACACTTTAAGTATTAGTAGAAGTGGGGGGGCTGCCAGATGGCCTTGCCCCTCTCTCTGTATCATCATAAACTCTAATCTTTCTGTCCACCAACCCTCAACGTGTCGGGTTGCACTCAAACCATCACAGCATAATAGTTAGCAACTATCATTGTTACAATCGGATCCCGACTTCCTCCTCTACACATGCACAGCTGTGATAGCACTGTGAAAGGTGTTTTACCCAAAGACAAACACAAGCAGTAACAGCAGCATCTCCAATGAAATGTAATTAATTGATACCAAGCGCACAATCACTACACACAACGAGTCCTGACCTGTGTTGGTGTCGCGGCAGCCATCCGTTCAGGAACAAACACACACATGGAGCACAAACACAGGACAGCGAGCGAGGTGGCAGCCGGTCCCATTTTCTGCTTCCTAATAGCTCCGCTTTTACTTCAGCAGCAAAACTCCCTCTGAGTCTCTCTCTCTCTCTCTCTCTCTCTCTCTCTCTCTCTCTCTCTCTCCTGCCCGAGTTGCTCTCTTTTCCCCCTTTTTCCAGGACTTGGGACAGCAGGAGCAGGGGTCTCCTATTAGAGCTGTGAATGAGATGCCAGCTATTTAGAAAACAAGCATTGATCCCGTCTGTGCGCCCTCCTTCCTGTTCAGGACGTCGCTCCTCTCTCAGCGAACAACAGGATGCTCCCACTTCCCATTTCCACTCTTTGTGTTTCACGCAGGGAGATAACAACCAAGGTGATGGAGGCCCTTTTTTAATGGTTTTATTTCGGAGAAACGTACCACGTACCTCCAAACCGACATCTTTTCTCGGCTTTGTAATTATTATTATTAAGAAAAAAAAAACGCAAATTTTTTAAATGTGTTATGGAAATAAATCTAAAAAGACTTTCATTTCAGTGGAGAAACACCCTAAATTTGCCATAAGCGTCATAACCTGAATATGTTTAAACCTCTTTGTGTGCACACTTTAACGTGATAATGTCAATTTAATGCCCAATGGTCTCCATGGCAGATGGAGTCTGCTACGTATTTCTCATGTGCTTTTCCCAACTGAATGTCTGGCATGAAAGTTCAGTTTTGGCCCTTTAAATATTAGTTTAATAAAAAAAAATACTACTTAAAAGGTCAAAAGTGAAATGTCTAACCCTTTGTATATTGTATTAACATTAACTAAAAGTTTTATTTTCTGGCTTAAACGCTGAATTTGATTGCAAACAGAGAACACTGCATGCCTGTATACACTTACATACTGTAGTCAAACACACACACACACACACACACACACACACACACACACACTGGCATCTATGGATTTAAAAACACATCCGTTCCATTAAGTAGTCCAAACAACAGGCCTGCCAACAAGCTTTCACGTGTTATTAGATCAAATCTTTGGTAAGAGAATTATGAGGTTTTGAATCTTTTTAAGGGAAATTACGACATTAAAATGAATGTCTGTCCATGTGTCTACAGTGTGTGTGTGTGTGTGTGTGTGTATGCCAGTTAAAATGCCACAAGAATTCAGCAGAGTTTCCAGGGGAAGGGAGGGCCCCGGGCCCACAGCCTGGGAGGTACTCTGGGTCAGTGTGCGTTCTGCGAAGAGGGAATCGTGTGTGAGTCTGCAGGACGACAGCGACTTCACATCGGTGTTGTTTCAGGTCTTGTCCTGACCTTTGGCTTTGTCAGAGACAATAAAGATGATAATGAAAATAAGTATGAATAAGTTGATTTCATGTAATAGCTGCCCTTTAAATTCCCAATGGACCTCTTTGGTATTGCCATCCATAAGACTACAGCGAATCAAATGAAAATATGGTCTTTGTATCAACTCTTTAGTTTATTAAGAGTTGATACAATAGGACTGAAATGCAGACGTTTTTCATACTTTCCTCTCGTGTCGTATAAGTAAGAAACATGCATATGACTCAGTTCCATTTCCAACCATCTGCTGACCTACATAATTCTTCTAAAATAGGAAACAAAGTCAGTGTGGTACACAGCCAGCTCAGTATCTGCAGTATGCTCTTCGGTTTAATAATGCGCCACGTCCTGTTAGAAATTAAGGAACAAATTGACTGTCCTGTTCCTGTAAGTTTAATACCGTGCAAAGATTTTTATCCGCACAAACATTAGCAGTAAGAAGAGGGAGAGGGAACACAAAGCAGCCCTTCAGAGTATGGAGGTGTTGGGTGGTGCTGCAGGGAGGTTGGCTGGACTGGACAAAGGTGCCCCAGTTCAGCAAAGGATGATGAACATAAACATAAAGAACCACGCTGATACATGATTTATTTAGATTGAATGTATTTGTGGTTTCTTTCTGATGTATAATAAAAATCTCTGTAGTTTTAAACATATACATGCAACCTCTGTCTGCATAAAGTATGAAGTCATTCAAAGCCGTACATCCATTGCTCCTCCATGTCTCCACAGTGCTCGGTCACATGTTCTCATCATGCAATTCACTCTGTAGCTGTTGGCGCAACGGATCCTTGTCCTACAGCTGCTCTCTTCGTCATGTCATTTTTTCACATTATTCATTATTTATGGAACATCATATTGCTCTAACCCTCTCTGCGTAGAGGATGCTTTTTTTGGGCTTGAGGGACACGGTGGAATGAGGTCTGGTTATTCTAAACTGGGCCAAAGTCTTGTGCCACTGAACTGCACAAAGTTTCCTCTGAGCATCCTTCCCTTCAAGGAGTTTTGGATCTGGTAGGGATTACAGATGGAGAGATTGATGTCATGGAGCTGGCAAGGTGGTCGACAAGAACGCAAACAATCTTCGACTGATGTTGAATTTGTAACAATAACAGACACTCCCGGGAATGACTGTGTTTCCCTTCCTGGAGAAATTCAGCAGACGGCGTTATGATGAGAGATTTAATTTGTGGGTGTAATCAAGAACTAGAAGAGAAGGGGGGAAAACATTGTGGGAATCTGAATTACAAAGAAAGGTGGTTTGCTGAAAAAAGACAAAGGCAATAAACATTACTTTTATTTATTTATTTCTTCCGATATTTGACGTGAGTGAAATCTACAAGTATAGCTTAAGACACAATCAGCCGCTAAATATAAAATTCAGTAAAATAGTACTCCAATGTAAACCGGATTTTAGACCTATGACACAAGTGGCACAAATCACTACATGCCTGCTTATTTATCTAAAACACGACGGTTGACTGCGTCTTTTTTCACTATAAATGCACAATAGCTTTGCTCAGCACTAGATTTATTTAAAAAAAGGTGACAGTTGGTGCAGGTGTTGACAATCCACACAGGACCTCTGTAACAGGTTCCCACAGCAGCCAGTTATTCATGACTAAGTTTGAGCACTTTCATGACAGTTCTTCACTGATGTTCTTTTTGGATTCCTCTTAATGAGAACCACCATTGAATTCATTGATATGTGAATGTTGGAAAATACATTCGGTTTAAATTTCTGCAAAGGGGATGCAACGGTAAAATCCCACAATATTCCCCAACTGAACATCCAAAAATTCCCCACTATTCCATAACCAGTAGGAACATTGTTGGCTGTAATTGCATCATTTGGGCCGAGACTGTGGCACTGCACATTACTTTAACTCTAAAACTCTTAAGTTTATATGAATATATAGGTACGTATAAATAAAAGCATATCAACATCTTCCTACCGAAAAGGAAAAATAAACAAAGAGTGTTGTAGTGTTTTGCACAAATGAAAATGTAACATGCTTATGGTAGATTAGCGTCTAAAAGTTACATGTGGAGGCAGCAAACTTAAACCTTTACTGTGCATTCACACTGCAAATGTGATCAACAAGGTACCAGAGTTAGAAGGGTATTAATGGGGAGGGGGGGTTCACTCTTTGTTAGCGTTTGTTTTTTCTTACTGCTTTCCTCAGACTTTTAATTATTTTGCTGCTATCCATTTAGTGGGAAAGAAATCAAAACCTAATTAAGAGGGAGATGGTACACCAGCACAGGAAGTGAAGTCATGTCTGAACAAAGCACTTAAGATAATAACATATGTGTTCATTCCAAAGACTGGTGTGTTGGTAAATCTAGACGTGGATGTCTATAGTCATGGCAGTGTGCTCCTTTCTTCAGGTGATGGATGGATGACGAAGATGATTAATTGAAAGCGCTGGCTGGTCTTGTGTTTTACCAGTTGTCTAGGAAGTCAAATCCAGTCTTCAGCAGGTTGTTGCTGGTGTTGTACTGGGAGGCCGGGAAGGACAAGAAAGACAGTTCAGTACATTTATGTGGCTCACAATACGTTTTGTTCGTTTAGGCTGGTGTGAACCAGAGACAGAAAAGTTTTATTTTGATAATAAACGGTTTAAACTTTCCCCAGATTTTGAAAATATGAAAGAAAAACAAAATAATCTAAAAACTATCACCGTGAATACTACATCTGTTTCAGAACCCACCTGGGCAAAGGTGGGGCTGGCCGCTGAGCCTTCCGCCGGTTTCTCTTTCTCCAGTCCGGCGGGGGGGTGAGAGGGTTTGGGCATCATGCTGGAGGAGAACACTTCGTCCACAGTGTTCCCGACTGACGGCAGGGTGCTCTGAGAGCGCTCCCATCCTGCCACGGACGACATCACGCTGACAGGCGGCGGGTTTGGCGAGATGGAGATGGACGCGGGTGTCGCGCTCACAGCTACAGGAATGGCGATGGGGGGGTGCGGAGCAGGAGGTTTGGGTGCTCGCTGCTTGGTGGACCTGGTGGGAGCCGGAGGGTGGGGGTCTGCTGCCTCATGCTCCTTGGTGGTGACAGTTGTCTCCTGTAGAAAAATTATAACATTTGCTGTTGACAACTTAAATGTTACTGTGGTATTAAAGTACAGTTTATATTTAATTTAAAATGCGGTAGGAAAATAATGACATATTTGTTGACATGTCTGGTGAGTCGTCGTGGCGCAGGGGTACAGCGGGTGCACTCGGAACCTCAAGGTGGATAGTTTGAGCCCCGGCTGCTCGATGTCTCAAGTCGAAGTGTCCCTGAGCAAGACACCTAACCCCCAATTGCTCCCCGGGCAAAATGTAAAAAGCCATGGGTTAAAAGTGTAATGTGAGTCGCTTTAGATAAAAGCGTCAGCTAAATGACCTGTAATGTAATGTAATGGTATGATCATGGCAAGCTAAATAAGTGTTTCGAGTAGGTCTACGATCGGAAATTTGCTGCAACAGTCCAACGTAGATTAAACTAGAAAGGAATAAACATCAAAGCACAACATTTAGAAACAATATTGACATCATTGTGGTCTTTTGTGACTGCGAATACATTCACCATCTGCTTCTCTGATACTTGTTGAGGCTTTGGAGATGCCAGCTATCTCAGCTTCAGGCTAGCTTCTATTTTAGGATACACAGCTCAATAAGAAAAGGGGACAAGTGTGTTCGGTTGGGTTGCTTTTAATCGATTTGTCATAAACTGTACGGACCCGGCACAACAGGCATGTCCCAGAATTTGGGAACAAAAACGAATGGTAGCCGTTACTTGAACGGAGATAATGAGAAGCACAGTTGACTTTAGGGTTTACCTGTCGGAGGTAGGAGGGGAGGGATTTCTCTCCTTTCTCGAGGGATTTGATCTGGCTGGGGGTTAGGGACTGGAAGTCGGCCTGCTCTCCCTCCAGCCGGGACCTCTCTGCGCTGATCTTCCAGAAAGACGACTCTTCCTCTGGCCTGCGTATCTCACTGACGGACACCTTCACAGTCACACAATAACATTCATTAACATACATTCATTGCAACACATGGCCTCGCCACGTTAAATGAAAATGTTATTTACGCAGAAGTTAGGGTTATCCATAAAGGCAATTCTTACACCAGATGCAAAGCACTTGAACAAGCCGACGACGTGGTTTTTATCTTACCTTGACCCCTGGTGTACTCTTAGTTGGCTGGCTGGAATGAGGAACCTTTGAAGGCTTTGACTCTGCCTGCGAGGCTGAGAAGTCCTGGTCGGCGGTGCCTAATGACAAGCTGAAGTCCAACTGGCTCTGACACAGAGAAAGTACACTTTTATATTAAAGTATTCAGATAATGTAACTCCAGAGATTAAAGAATGGATAGAAATACACATTTTCCAACTTAAAACCAATAAGTCAGTCATGAAAGTGATCTGTTGACTGTAAGTAACAATGCCAAACATTGTCTGTGCCTTAAACCATACCATTAGATTATTTTTTGTTTTGAGTCATTGTAAATGTAAGATTTACGGGCTTTAGGTTCTTTGGCACTACAATATTGTGCCAAATGTCTTTGCAAAAACAGTTTGAATCAGACTCATTAAAACACTGAATAGATTATTATTATTATTATTATTAATTTACCTTGGTTTCCCACGAGAAGGGGGCAGAATGCTCATCTTGCCAGGTTATATCCTTAAGAGAAACACAGCAGGTTAGTAACCATTTAGGACGGACGAGCGCGCACACGCACGCGCGCACGCACACGCACACACACACACACACACACACACACACACACACGAGAGGATAATTGAGCTTTAAGAAATTGACAACAAATATACCATTTACAGTATTTGCCATAATAACAGCAACCCGAACACACGGTGTTTAATAGAAGCCTGTTGTCAGATGTTTAGTCGAAAGTAGAAACGTATATTTATCGACAAACTTCCCGTGCTCGTGACTAAATTCCCTTTGACAACGTTAGCCATTACGTACGCACCCACCCGGAAGTGAAGACATTTCACCGGCTACGTGGCTAACGTCGCTTAATGACCACGACAATACGGCTCTCCTAACGTCTAAAAGCCCACACAAAACAATGAAACACCCATTCAAAAACACATCAAGTACCTCCTCGCCGAAATGAACGATCTTCTGGCCGGTTTGGAGGAGCAGCTTAGGGTAACAGACCACTTCTTCCCGTTCGACCCTGTGCATGGCGTATCGGGCTCGGATGTGCGGATCCATCATTCCGTGGTCGATGGCGCTGTCTTGCTCCTGCGGCGTCATCTTCTCCCAAGACGAACCGTGCTTGGCTTCGATGATCTTCCTCTCCTGCATTATCTTCCTCGCCATGGAGTTGATGGAGGAGAAGTATTCGAACTTCTTTTGCTCCATCCTGTGGACGTCGATCCCTGCCATGGTCGCGGCGGCCATCTTTAGCCGCTTCCAGCTGTTATTGTTGTGAGGGCCGTGAGGGCCGTGCGGTCGTGGGCGGTGGGCGGGGCCTCTTCTGCAGAGTTGAAGTTGATGGATGCGCGTCGGGCCTGTCGATTGCGGGCCATGCAGCCATGCAGCATCGTAAACTCTAGCAAACTGTAGCTCATCCGTCAAAAGTCAAACTCCCTTCTTCGTCAAAGGGTAATCAAATCCAAACACTTGGACATTAAACACAGGGACGTCAGTCAAAAGCGACTTGTGCTCCCAGAGCGAATCAAACACTTTAAGCATGAAAATGAATCCAATGATAGTTGTCTTTACATCCATGGGTACATTACAAACAGGAACTGCCAATAGAGGATTTGGAATTCTGTGAATGTGCCAAAATGTTTACAGGTCACCCGTGTACTTAAACTAAAGCATTCAAACGGTAAATACAAGAAGCTCCTTAAACCTGACACTTGCAAAGAAAGAATGATCAGACTCAGACTGTGGTGGGTTGTGGAACATTTTGTCGGTACGGCTATCCAATTAGATTCAGCAAACATCCTAGAATGATTCATTGCAAAACCATAGATGTATCAAACACGCAATACTAATTTGAAGTTTGTTATTCAAAGTCTATTGCAACACAAACAAATATCAACATAAACATATCGCCACAATGCAATGGGGCAGCGTCCAGCCCCTTTCAGACCCATGAAACGTGAAAACTAAAGTATTTAATGCAACTCAAAAAGGTTGTAAAACAATGTCTGGGACGTTACCAAGCCAGAGACATAAAAAAACCAACCTCAAAATAGCCAGAAATACAGCATACCCTGCATACTTAATTAAAACTACAAAGGAGGAAAAACATATTTTATGTTAAATACATTACATTACAGGTCATTTAGCTGACGCTTTTATCCAAAGCGACTTACATTACATTAGTGGCGCACCCTCTCTATCCCTGCGAAGCCAAATATGTTGAATTGAAATACTGAATCCCAAAACCTTGTACGTCGTACACGCATATATGACAATTCCAGTTGTGAACACGTGACATTTGAAAAATAACACAACAATCTGTTGGCTCGTATTTCCCGTCAATATATTATATATATATATATATATATATATATATATATATATATATATATATATAAAAACCTGAACAGGGCTTGAAAGAAAGGCAAAGGCAATTATAAAACCTTTAAGGATTGTGTTTCGGCAGATATTAGAACAACCGTTGTCCAGTTCCGTAATTGTCCAGTTATTAAAATATCTGCCTTTTCAGTGGAATTACTCAACAGGTATTTATTATTACTTATTTATTTTTCTGTTTCTATGTGAATGATGCGTACAACAATTTTAGAAATATGTTTAATATTGAGGGAAACCAATGCAGGCGGCAGACGCTAAACGTAGATGTCACTGAAGGGAAATAAAGCGTTTTTTTCTTTACCTTTTCGTAATCCGTTCGGTTTAGTAATGTGTGTCTCCTTCAGAGAGGATTTTTTCAGGTGTGAAAAATCTAATCTGCACTTTTTCTACTCTATCACAAACTCTGCAATGCTGGCACGCTTATCTCAAAAAAACAATTCCCACATCAGCGTTTTGTCTCCCTATTACATTCAACATTGACCACAGAATCCCATTTTCACACTTTTCCTTTTAATGATGAATTGAATTCTGAATCCTGGGGCACAGCTGGTCCTGGACGACTCTGAGAGGATCAGACAAGGGCTGCAGGCCTTCAGGCCGGTCATGGATGAGATCTCCGCTGTGTGTGACATCAGCACCCACGAGGAGAGGGTGAACCAGAAGGACCAACAAGTCCAGAAAATGCAACTCAAGATCCTACAGCCGCTGGAGCAGATCCTTCCAGCTGTTGGGGTAACCTCAAAACCCTGTCCTCGCACTTACTGTAAATAGGTTCCATCTGCGGATGGATTTGCTTTGCTTTTGCTCAAACTGTAGGCTTGCGAGCAGAAATGTTGTAGCTTGCTCTTATTTGCTGCACTCCAGCCTTTCTCCTTACTCTCCGGCTGCCTCTGTGTGAGAAAGGCAGAATGTGTTCAATCAATGAGTCACGCTTTCGAACCAATTACACTATTACTAATACGGTAGAACGAATCATCATCAACACCAGCTGAAACTGTAACACTCGTTTGAATACCATTTTTGGAGCGGTCCTGCCGTTTAACCAACAACACACGTCCTCTCTAATCATTTATTGTTGACAATTTGCGGCTTTTCACTACTGTTCTGGGAAATAAAAGCAACCGTTTCTGCACGAGGTACTTACTTATAATGAAATCGATGGTTAAAATACACGTATTCTGCCACCAACTGGTGGAGATGTGAACACGTTTACTCTGCCTCTCATTGAACTGTCCATGTTCACTCAAGCAACACAATACGTGGTAAATAAATGTTGTATTCATTTCTTTATTGTTCTTGTCTAGTGAGAAAAATGTCAAATATTCTACAGTCAAAATGTCTGAATCAAGTCATTTTTCTTATACCGCAGCATTTGACCAACATTATTTCTTATCATCAGGGCCTTTTGACCTCTTGGGCCTAACCGTTCCATTTCGTATGGAAGTGTGACAAATAACACCACAATTAATGAAAACAAACGTCTCTATTCATAAACTTTCATTACTTATTGCTTAATAAACAAATCCCTCTTCCCCTTTCCATGAAATAAATAGAACAAGATGTATGCAACAATGGTTGCAAATGAACCATAAAAATCACATAAAATAAACTGCATTAAATACATCTGTAATAACCTAGCTAAATAAAATAAACAGTTGAATATAATTAAATCAATGGTTAAAATACACGTATTCTGCCCCCAACTGTTGGAGACTTTTGAGAAAAATCTAATTGGATTTACAATTTGGTACAACTCGTAATGTTGTGTTTAACTTACCTCTGGACTGATCTCTCTAAGTTCACATGACCGTATAGTACCTGTTTATTCAACTTAGCAACGTAAGTTTGCTGGCTCGGCCCCCTGGCTGACTGGGTGGCAGGCCGGCCAGCTTGCTGGCTTGGCCGCCTAGCTGACCGACTGGCAAGGTGATGGGTGGGACGCCGGCCGGTCAGCTAGGTGGCTGGGTGAAGCCAAATATCTAAAATCAATCCCCAAATCTTGTACGTTGTACACGCATTTAGGAGATTGTCAACGCGTGACCATTGAAAAATAACACAACAATCTATTGGCTCATATTTCCCGTCAATCACACAAAACACATGAACAGTGAACAGGTCATTTTACTACATCCACAGTATATACAAAAAGTGCAATATTAAATTAAGTCACGTTGATGCAATAGTAATAAAAATATATACAGACAAAAGCATTCCGCGTCTTTCTTTGATCCGACACAACGAATCGATAATGAAATTCGTTGCCAACGCTTTCGATAATCGAATTTGAGCGATTTCATCGATTCTTATTCTCTTTCGTTGTAATGGTCCAGTTGTTAAAATATCTGCTTTTTCAAGTACACGTTGTGGAATTACTCAACAGGTATTTATTATTACTATTACCTTAAATTGGCCGGATACAGGACCATCGTTATTGCATTTAAAGAAAATGACCAAATAAAGAAGTATCCCAGATCTGTTTGCTATCAGAGACTTTTATAGCCGCCGTCGGAAAACACAAGGGACAAATTACAAATGACAGCCAGGTCGATGGTCACCAAACCCTCAATATGTAAACATCTTACATGCAAGTATAGTACATAGTCTACATCCTATTCAATGTACAAGCGCCACCAAATATGCACTCATGCTAATATTGTTTTTTCTAAAAGATTCACGTTTTTCTCTCAAACAGCCAGGTGAACGTATTTGGTTGGTTTACTGTGACTGATTATCCTAAATGATATTAGATTATAAATACAGATCCATCAAAGTGTATGCTAATTCTAACAGGCTATAAAGAACTGTGTATAAATGTAAGGATCAGGGTCCCTCCAACGTGTCACGAGGTAAATTAACAAGTTTAGATAAATGCCTCGTCTGCTACATTGCAGGATGAATGTCAAAAATTCCAGCTTGAGAAATCATGAAAGATCGTGAAACTAAATTGTGGATGCTGTATGAGATGTTTTGTATTAACCTCCAACCTTTATTTGTACAGTTAGTTACAAACACCTGCACAGTCATGTTCAAATACAAAACATCAACAAAATGAATTATTTGTTATTAAAATATTTACAGTCCTGAGAGTTATGTCTGCAAATTGAATGATATTTAGAAAAACAAAAGGATAAGCAAAGCAGCACTAACAGCCCTTACTGGACACGTTTTCACTTTCAGTATTTTCCTTAGTATAACATGAATAAATAACTGTTTGTGTTATTTTAAACAACTGCTTTTGACTTTCTATTTGTCCTGTTACTTGGTAACTATGTAACGTTTTCATTTTGCACATTGGACAGGAAGCCTTCTTCAGGCTGTGTTGTGGCTGACATAATGGAGACACAGCTTCTCGTGTTACATAAGAGTGTCCCCGTTTAAACGAGTGTGAATGGCAATTGATGCTTTATGTGTTTTAGACCTTTGCCTGATTGAGCGAGTACACCCCAGGTAGAAGATCTCCGCTACGTTCAGTACGAGAGAGATGATGGACACCACCAGCATGAAGATAATGAAGATGGTCTTCTCTGTTGGCCGAGACATGTAGCACTCCACGGTAAATGGACAAGGGGCTCGGGTGCAGACCACTCTTGGGTCCATGATGAACCCATAGAGATAATACTGCCCAACAATGAACGCTACCTCCAGGAGGATTCTGAAGAAAATAGAGGTCATGTAGTTTCCCAGCAGGTCGCCTTTAATTTTGACGTGGCCTTTGTCGTCGGAGTACTTTGGAACTTTGACAATTCCGGTCTTGGAGTAGGTCAGCGTCTGTTCTCTCATCTTATTTTCTTTGTGGATAATGTGGAGGACGTGGCCGAGGTAGATCAGCGTTGGAGTTGACACAAAGATAATCTGGAGGACCCAGAATCGAATGTGTGAGATTGGGAAGGCTTGGTCATAGCAGACGTTCTTGCAACCAGGCTGTTTGGTGTTGCAAACCATATTTGACTGCTCATCACCCCACACCTGTAATGTTCAGATAAGAAAGTAAACTCTTTAGAAGAATACTATTTAAAATAGTACGCCATAGAAATGAAATATAAAGGTATTTTATTATTTTATGTGTCACTATGTTACGTTTTATCATTAAAGCCTGATTTTCAAGCTGAGTCCACCAGAGGGGGCTGTTGCACCTGAAAACCTTTAACATTTCATTTCAGCAAGTATCAAGTATGAACAAAGACCAAGGAGACCTTCTCTGCTCCAGCTCCGAGGATCATGATCCTGAAGATGAAAAGAACAATGAGCCAGACCTTCCCGATGACGGTGGAGTGGGACTGGACCTTGTCCAGTAGAGAGGACAGGAAACCCCACTCTCCCATGGTCTCTGATGAGGAAAAGCAAATAAAATACTATTTTTAGACAATAAAAGGTATTCCTACAATAGCAAATTTATATTTACCCAAGTAAAAATGTAACGTTGGTCTCAAGCGTTTGAGAACAAAAGCCGCTTTGTTAAGTCATGACTTAATCTGAGACATTTTATTCTTTTTATTAAATGCAGCACAAAATAATGGGATGAAGCATCCTGTTATTTTTCAACACAAAGCACCTGGTGCTTGAGTCTTCATTATTGATTAACATTTGGGTTAAAACATCAGCAATAACAGCAAGAAGTCTATTATGCTAAGTAGACACAAAAACGCACACACAAAAAAGCAGGTTTGGAATGTAAACGTGGAGCTATAAAAAAAACGTATATACCGTATAGAGAAGACTTATCTTACTTTATGAAAATCAGTGTATTCATTTGTGAGGAATTTGTATTCCAACAATGTTTCTGTGCACCTTTGGACTGCATCGTATATAATATATATTTTATGTCATAGGAAGAAAAGCACTTTCAGTGTATCTGACCTGGTGGTGGTGTAAGTAAGCATAACTATGAGTTTTAAACCCACAGAAAATGTAAAAATATGTAAACACAACATGGATTTTTAATCCTCATGGATTATGGACAACTCATCCACAACGTGGATGGGCAGCTGGTCTCTAGAGTTTCTCTGTAGAAGTGATGGAATATGAAAAATAGCTCAACTTTTACAAGCTGCTTCATTAAATTGATTAACACATTAAAAGCATCAATTAATATGATCCAGTAGAATAATATACAGCCTATTATTCTGAAACGGGCTACGCCTCCTTGATTGATGCTGTTACTTTTGTACTTTGACTTAGGTAAAATTTCAAATGTAGGACTCTTAAAAAACAAAAGATTTATACCATGTAATATTGGTAGTTTTACTGAAGTATTAGATGTGAGTACTTATTTCAGCGCTACTCTGTACCCACAAAAAACAAGCTAACTGAGCTTAAGTTAAGACAAATATCCAAAATATCTTAAAAAAACAAACATAACATTTGTTAAATAAAGTTTGAATGAATTACATTTCGTATATTTGTAGAAAGGTTATTACCCAGCTTACCTTTGATTTTAAAAGGCTCGTGTGGAGACAAACACACTGGTCACCAGTTGTAGAGATGAATGATAGAGAGCCCAGTGAACCAAACCAAACCTCGTGTAAGGTACCTTGAACTCTAGATTAGATGAAACTGCGCAACAGTGTCATGACATCTAGAAATGATAAATCCCAAGTGACAATTTGGGGCAGAGCACTGAAAAGATTGTACAGGTTAATAATTGACAGTGCTATAAATCCTGTGCTCATTCTTTTACTACAGCTGTTTTATGCTATTTTTCACTCGGTGTGAATTTTTGTATTGACGCTATTTTATAGTTAAATCTTACACATGGAGACAATGAACAGGGGACAAAAACCCTCAACTACTCCCCTTTTTGCGTATTGTATTTCATAGACGGAAGAGAGTTGTCGCAATAACACGAGAACCTGTCCAGACTGATGCAATCCAGTTTCACCTTGGAATGAGTTCTACGTGACGATTGAACAGTGGCAGTCATTTTTTGTTGAGTGTGTCAACAGAAAGTTGTCTTTTATTTTTTCCTTTCAGGGTTTAAGAACGAACGGAGCAAATCTAATCCTATAGGCTCCTCAAAGATGCTTTTGTTGAAGGGCATTTGTACTGAATTGCATAATACTGGGCCTTGTAGCTTTAGGTTTTATGGTAGTATTTTGTGCTTGTGATACGTTACTTATCTCTATTTAAGCTACGTGTCCTTAGCCATGTATGCAGTCAATCAATTTATACTCGAATCAGTGGTGGTGGCTAATAAGTCACCATCAACCACTCCCTATTCTGAAAATATATTAGCTCTGAACTATCATGAGGAGTTAATTGATGAATCATTGGAATTATCTTCTTTACATTCACTTCTCAAATACACCTTTGAAAGGAATCTAGTGACTCATCAGTATTGGAAATATTAATAAGTTGCAGGCCCTACAGCTTTATCAAAGAAGTGTAAGTCACGCTCTTGGAAAGCAAGGCTTTTTGACTTAAAGGTGTAAACCTGTTAGAAAAAATAGATCATGAAACATTTGTTTTGTTTTCAATTTAAATCATTTATTAAAAACAACAACCCAACACACAAACATGTCTGCCATTTACCATTTACAGCATCTTCACAATTCAATAAGCAAACGTTTCCACCCCTTAACTATGAACCATTGCAATAACTTACTGGACACATTCAAAAAATTGAGTATTGAAGAACATAAATATGTTATCAATAATGCACACATCGCATTATTCGATTTTCTGTTAAATAATACAAAATTAATGTAGTAATCCAACAATGTGGCTCTAAAATATAGAATTCTGATTCATGCAGATTTTTCTTAAAGAACAGTCAATTAACTACACATTGCTGAAGCTCCTCCTGGATATTCTGTCAGGATTTTGAAATAATTTACAGTGAACTCTTTACTTTAGTCTCTTAGATGTAGATGTAGATGTTGTTTTTTAATGACCACTCAGTAGTCGTTTCTCCTCTTTGGCTCCATCCAGGCTCCCACCGACGCTCTGGCTGCCCTCCAGCTCAATGTTCACCTTGTTGTGCCTGAGCGCGTCGTCTGCCGTCGGCCATCGGGGAGTCGACAGGCTCGCAGGGTTATCCGCCGTAGTGATCTTGCGAGAGCGAGCCCTGGACCCACACCGGACCCTGGTACAAATCAGGTAGAACATCTCGAGGAAGTTGAGGAACAGGGAGACACAGGCCACCACCAGCATGAAAATGATGAAGATGGTCTTCTCTGTGGGTCGGGACATGTAGCACTCCACGGTGAAGGGACAGGGTGTCTGAGAGCAGGGGAACATGGGCACCATGACGAAGCCGTAAAGGTAGTACTGGCCCACGATGAAGCCGGCCTCGATGAAGATCTTGAACACGAGTTGGGTCATGTAGCTCCCCAGCAGGTTCCCCTTGATCATCACCTTTCCCCTTTCGTTGGTGTACTTGGGCTGTTTGCACAGCCGGGACCCAGCTGCGCTCAACAGCTGCTCCCTCATCTTGTTCTCCTGGTGGATGACGTGCACGGCGTGGCCCAGGTACACCAGCGTCGGAGTTGAGACGAAGATGATCTGAAGGACCCAGAAACGCATGTGCGAGATGGGGAAGGTCCAATCGTAGCAGACGTTCTCACAACCAGGCTGCTGGGTGTTGCAGACGAAACCCGACTGCTCGTCGCCCCAGACGCTCTCCGCGCCCGCACCCAAGACCATGATTCTGAAGAGGAAGAGCACGCTCATCCAGATCTTGCCGATGACCGTAGAGTGGGACTGGACCTTGTCCAGTAGGCCGGACAGGAAACCCCAGTCTCCCATCTTGATCGGTGAAGTTCAGTTATTGATCTGGGATAAACAAATAAAAAGACGAAATTCAAATTTCGTTTAGAATGATCCTATAACATCCCCTAACTAAATGAAAACAACTTAGTATTGAATCCAAATGCTCCTGCCAAAAGAAAGACACCCGTTGTTCTTTTGAACAAAAGTTAATTATTGGTTCTGTTCTTTAATCCGAGGACATCAAAGCCCGATGAACCCTTTGCTTGTTTGGAATTATGTTCCTACAATAATCGGTAATCAGTAGTTTGAACAGAAGGCTTCGTGGCATTACTACTACTAAACGGAAAAATGGAAAAAAATGCAAATAAATTCAATTAAACTCAAATGCAATATTTACACAAACACATTAAATGTCTCTTGAGGGCAAAGCCGGTTAGTATCATCAAAAGCAAGTTCAAGTCATATTAACATTGGTTAAGAGAAAGCAATGTCATTAACACTCGAAGAAAAAGAAAAGAGAAAAATGTCCCCTAAAAAAAGTGGAAAAACAACAGAATACCCTCCTTTTCAAACGTGTAGGGTAAACTTTACAACGAATCCCTCCCAATTGTAGATTAATTGTCAATTAATTTTTCATTTGTAGCATAGAACATTACTCGTTGCACCTTACCTGCTGACCCGGTCAGAGAGAACTGTCTCCGTCTGGTAGGTATCACTAACTTTAAAGTTGGACGTTGTATCCTTCCTGGGTGAGGAGATTGGGCAACACACATCTGGTTATAGATGTGACGTTGTCAGCAAACGAGAGGGAAAAGTACGAGGTGTAATGATTGATAGGTGTTCTTTATCTCAGTTAAATAGCCCTGAAAATTTGAAAATAAACAGGAAAAGTGTAATGTTTACTAGAAACAACTGCTGCTCATCTGTAAATATTCCAGTTTTTGACTCGGGTTCTGCATAATTAAACACTACTGTTGTAAAAAGTTGAGTTTGGAAGTGACATGTCAAGAAATATCAGATTGGACAACTTTTCAGTGTGCAAGCTAAACCAACATGTCTATATTAAAAAATACATATTTTAAATATTCGAAATAATAGCAATATCAACCTATTGACCGCTTGCAAAAAAACTTGTTCTTGAACCACACAATTAGCTGATTGTAATCATTATAGCAATTGTACCTCTTTTTATACAGTATGATGTGTTAGTAAGGAAAACATAGAGGTTTGGATCAATGGAACTTTTACATTTTTTTTAAAGAAAATGGACCAAATTCAAACACAGAAACATATGTAAAGAGGTTTATTGAACCGAAATTGTTGTCAAATCATTCCACAAAAATACCATTTGCACAATCTGACAAAAAATCATCTCCAAGATATCTTTCTTTTTGTTTTTATCATGTCAGTTATTTTAAGCAACATTTTGCATGTGACTGAGTACTGTTTGCAGAAGCTGACTACTCTCACTCCGGCTATCTTAATTTACTGCACACAAACACTCTTTTTCCTGCTCAAACCCAAAAGCACACAAATACTGGCACTCAAATCGATGGGTGCCTCCTTGCTTCAGATGTGCACCTCCCCTCCCGTGTTGTTGCTCTCCAGCGACACATCCACAGCAGCCTCGGTGGACCCGCCTCCGGCCCCGTTCGCCCCTGGCTTTCCTCCACGGAGCTCCAGCTCCAGGTTGACACCATTCTGGAGCATCTCGTCGCGGCTTTTAAAAGCTTTCCTCTCCAAAGGCGGAGGGGTCACCGGGGTCACGGTGTAGTCCTGCCTCCTGGTCATACACTCCCTCACAGCTTTCACACACAGGTAGAGCAGCTCAATCAGGCTGAGGAAGAGAGAGACAACCGCCGACACCAGCATGAACCAGATGATGACCGACTTCTCCGTCGGCCTCGACAGGAAGCAGTCCACCTGGTGGGGGCACGGAGAGCGGGCGCAGACGTAGCGCTCCTTGAGGGTGAAGCCGTACAGATAGTACTGACCCACGATGAACAGGACTTCCAGGACAATCTTGGCCACGAGGTGGAGGACATAACTGCGAAGCAGAGTCCCGCGGATGCTGATCTTGCCGGTGCTCTTGGTGTACTTGGGAACTTTGTAGGCCCTTCTAAGGAGCAGACTGATCTGGTTGTCCAAGTCAGCATGCCTCTTCATCCTCTCCTTCATCTTGAACAGGAAGAATAAGAAATAATTAGGAATATAAAAAGTGGGTGCAGCCACAAAGTTGATGATATTTATCAGGTACAGCCTCAAACTGTTTAGCAGGTTGCAAGTAGCGCTATCTCTCCCCTTTGAAATAACTTACTTAAGTTTCAGAATAGGATTTCATACTACAACCTTTGTGTTTGGAGTTATTTTTGTGCTAAAATTAGTTTCTGCTTTGAGAACTGATCATTTATTTTTTGATATCAAATCAGACGCGTCTACTATTCCTAACTACAAAACTACCTTTAAGCCCACTAGAAAGAGGGTTTTCAGTCCTGAACATACACATTGGGTCTGACTTTTTAAAGCTTTGTTAATCAATGAAATCCTGTCCCCGAAGACGCAGAATACAGCTGCATGAGGGGTTTGATGACAGACTCAACCCTACAGTAAAAGCAGTGAGCGGTCTCGCTGTCATACTACAACCACAGTAGCAACACACCTTCTTCTCAAGGTGGATCACATGGAGGACGTGACCGAGGTACAGCAACTTTGGAGTGGCCACAGCGATGATCTGAAGGACCCAGAAGCGCACGTGAGAGATGGGGAAGGCCATGTCGTAGCAGACGTTCTCACAGCCGGGCTGCAGGGTGTTGCAGACAAAGTCGGACTGCTCATCGCCCCACACCTAGAGGGAGATTGGAAAGGAGATGACGCATGCAGCACTGCTATGTTTGCTGCCCGGTTCCTCGGGATCACCGGACGTGTGGTGTTTCTAGCTTTTTGGGTACTTCTCTCTCACCCGCTCATGGGCGGAGCTTTAAGACACACTGAAGTCTGTTTTGGATCGGGGGAATGTGTGACCAGACCTTGTCGGCGCCGGTGCGCAGGACCAGGATGCGGAAGACAAACAGCACGGTGAGCCAGACCTTGCCGATCACGGTGGAGTGACTCTGCACTTTATCCAGAAGGCGGCCCAGCACGTCCCATTCGCCCATTTCAGTTGCCAGTCGTTCTGTCTTCTGTGTGGAAAATGTGAATAACAGAAAATCCCCGATGGCACGCTCACATTATTTGAGAAGCAAACCCTAATATTGCTCGACCAGAAGTGATGGTTTGTGTAGTATGGTGTGTAGTACTTCCAATTGAGTATCAGCCCTTCATTGGATGTTATTTTCAGGGTAACAATAAATTATGCTGAAATCATTGTAGGTGTTAAAGTTAGAACAGGCAGTCTCTCTCACAAGGCCAAACTTTTTATCATTTCTAAACAAAACACACTTATCTGCTGCAACCGTAACCTTGGTAATACCAACCGTCGCAAATCTTAATTAGAAAAATGGGGGCTCAACCAGTGGTGCAGAAATATACATTTACCTGCATGGGTAGATAAGGCTGCGTTTAGGCTAAGGCTAGAGTTTCTTTCACATAATTATTGTTTGGGAGGATTTCAATCTTTTACGGCTGTTTTGGGGCATTGCTTTATTTCTATTGCCGGCTGTTTAGTAAAAACACTATTTTGAAATGCATTGTCATATTGCTTTGTTTCACATTCTGTTTTGTATGTGGTACTTTTGAACAATCACTTTCTTTAAATTACTTACCTACGTTTCAGAATTTATACTACAACAAAGCACATAGTTTCCCCTTTTCAGCTTCTCATTATGGTCGGCATTTACATGTTGAAATACAGATGAATATATAGTATAGTTTTAGAGGAGTGTTATATTACACCACCGTTCTTCAAAAATGAAATATATTAAACTTCAATTATTTAAAAACCATGCACATTAAAATATCATTTTCTCCCCTTTTGGACAGCATAAGAGAACTGAGAACAGATCTGTAAAAAAAGAACATAATAACTCACCAGTTAAACAAACTCAAGCAGAAAAAAGATGAATGAAGACAGCAACGTCTCGGAAGGAAGACAACGAGAGCAAGTGTGGAAGAAGCTCCTCTTTCATGATTCTTTGGCATCTTATCTGGAAGGACACCATTCTAACCACAACAACAATCCGCCAGTCCTAACAGGCTGGAAAAAGCCTTGTTTTACCCGGATGCATCTATCTGTGGAAATTCTGCTTCACACCTGAATAAATACGTGCGGAAAGAACTGCAGATGCTTTGAGTAACAGAGATTGGGACCAATGTGTCGGACGGTACGGTCCGCCACCATCAAAACACCAAACAAGGGAATATTATGTGCAAGAATGACGCCATATCGCCTCAGTAGACCTTTCCATGGACACAGAGAGGTGTCAGTGAAGCTTTTCTGACTGCTTGTGTCGCGGCTCGAAACAAGACTTTTTGTTATGGTGCGCTCCTAATGTTTAGATAAAGTACTCATATTTGACAAAAGAAAGGAGCTTCCTCAAGTTTCCCATCTTATAGACACGGTTTCTTTACAGTCAGCTTTAACTTCAGTCTTTACATTTGAATTCAATACAATATTTTTTGTATCTCAGCTACTATTCCAAATGTAGTTTTTTAGTAATTTCTAATGGTACTTTTTGTCAACTTAATTTTTTTTTTACTGCTACTTTTTAGTTTACTGCAGCTTTTTATCTATAGAACTTTATTTGTTCATACTCCTGGTTTTTATACCACTGAAGGCCATATTGATTGTACAGAAAAGAACTTGCCATTATCTACTGAATGCCCTAGAAAAAGTATTGCAGGTTTGTGTTTGAACCCTCCCCCAACAGCCCAGGTTTGCTCTGCACCACGTGGATTTACGGGCACACTGCACCTCGTGGGTCTTTGTTCGGTTTACCAACAGTCTGTGACCTGGATGATCCTAAGAGGTCACAGGGTAAACTCTGCCAGTCAACATGCTGTCTGTTCCCGTAAATGATTTACACCACGTAGATGTTTTAAGAGAAAAACAGAGCGTTTGCGGCCTTTGGCATATATATATATATAAAATATATATATATATATATATATATATATATAAAAATATATATATATATAAAAAATATATATATATATATATATATATATCAACCTCATACACAGAGAACCCCTACCTGTCAGATAAAAGACTAACCTTCAAAGAGATACACTTTGGCACACTTACAATAACAATTCAGGACGGTATGGGAATGAAGAAAGAGTTTTATTGGTCTGGTTGGTGCAATGACACCATGATCCCACTTAAGATAACATGTGTTACATGTGTAAGCAACCACTTAATATAAACACTTATTTTGTAATCAGCAAAAACATAGTTTCTCAATGAAACACCCAAATCTCACTCCTGGAAGTGCTTGAATGTTGTACTCACAGCAATGACACTTAACGCTATCATTCCCAATCACCGGCACTCACATATTCGCTCTAAACCCTGCTGGCCAATCCTGGTTTTATTTAAACTCTGAGATTAAGAACACAATAAGATGAAGACATCTTCACACTTTAGCTTTAGCTTGACTAAAAAATGTGTCCTTTGACCGTTACTTAATTTCTCACGTTTAGATTAGGTTGTATTCATTATTCATTCATTCATCGTATTCATTAGAATACAACCTAACTGTGTTGCGTAATGCAGATTTCTGTCACCAAAATACAAAAAATAGTTAAGTAAAATGATTCTACTTTACAAAATAAATCTGTGACTTTGAACGCATAATGAGAATAATCTCCCTGAAAGATAATGCATACTCCTACAAAAATAATACCTATCACTCATCCTTTTTATATGTAATACTTTCAATATCACCTGCACTTTCACGACAAACAATATTTTGCGGGACATTTTCAATGCGATACTTTTTTTTAAATACATTGAAAAATAAAATAATCACTATTCAGTTTCAAGTTCACCCGCTTTGATGATCCATGTCAGTTTCAAATATTCTTTCGCACAGTTTAACGCTTTGAAACTACATAATGGCTGATGTTTAAGTCTAAGAACCAAAACGCACAAGTGCTCTGTTCATGTTTACAATCCCATCTCAATGGCAAACCAAGTTTCCAGCCACATGTCTGGCCACCAGTAAGACATGTATTGCAATTATAAGATGCCACAGATTGGTCAGACTATATAGTAATATATGTATATTGAGTTACTCATTCCACTGAAGATTTTCTTGAAATTGACACAAGAGGAAATTATCTTAACCACCAACCTCAAGTTTATCACATTGAAAATGGCTGAGGAAAGTAAAGCTCTACATAACTCTAAGTCACTAAGTCACAAGTTCCAGTAACTGGGTTAAGTCTTTAGCGAGGAGAGGAGAGGAGAGGTCTTAACTGATGAGCATACGAGATCCAAGAACCCAAATCCACTCTGGAATACGTTTCATCAGTCCATACTGGGAGGATAGAAGAAGAAATACGGCAGAGAAACACATCAGTCTCCAGAAATGTTTTATATCCCGAAATGATGCAAGAGTATACAAATTACAAACAGTCATGACTTTAATTTGTGCCGACCTGCAGAGTGTGAGGCCAGTAGCCGGTGGTCCTATTGGAGACCCCCAGGGTGGAGACGGCGTGGCGGGCATAAACCTCGGGCTTTGGCACAAACCAGCCCGGTCTGGACATCGGTGTGGATGAGGATGGTTGTTGCTCACTTGAGGCGATCTGGTCACACGTGGACACATACGGTACGGTATATTAAGCACTAACCTACGTATTAAAACTCAGGGTACACAAATATTATTGACCTTTTCATTCTTGTCACAAGACTTGACTGAACATGTCTTTTCACTTAAGAAAAGAAGCAAACGTTATCAGGATTTGCCTAATTATTAATAGCAGCAAAATAACTCGTATAATCATTTTTACAATACTAAAGACAACATTTGGTTGGAGCATGTATATTTGGGTTCAGGACACAGCCACACTGGTTAATGACCTCATCTACCTGGAAAGGAGTCAGACTTTGGACAAAGATCCCTTTGTAGCTGTACTCGAGGTGAAGGGCTCTTGAGAAATGATCCATGTAACCCTGAAATGTAAGGATAAGAAAGGGAAAGAGGATTATTTTTGGGAAGGAAACACGTGATCGTTGTTACAGTACGTTTCTTTTACTTAGTAAGAAGAAGAAGCAGTCAGCAAAAGGGATGCAGTTTGATTTGCTTGTGGGTACCTAAGACACATAACCCTAAAAGTTTAGTTGGACTTAAAAGTGTACTTTGGTTGTAAATATCAGCATCAAAAGACATTTTGGAATACTTTTGGAATAATTTCTAAAATATTTTCTACAGATGCCCATTATGCACCACAACAAATAAAATGCTGTGAAAGATGATTGCTAGATTTGTGAGAGGCAGATTTCGTGTTTGGTCTCACAGTGGAGGCGGTGAGGGTCACTCTTCCAGGCAGGGGTTTGGAGCAAGCACCCGATGATATATTGACCACAGCTCCTCTGCTGCGCTCCAGCATCCCCGGCAGCACCAAGCGGGTCATCAGAGTAGCGACCGCAACGTTCTTATTCACCAAATTCAACACGCTCTGCTCAGGCATTTCAATCAGGCTCTGAGGGGAAGCCACAGACTCTACACAGTTCACCAGGAAGCCGATATCTTTACCCCTCAGGGCTTCTTTGATGGGGTTTCCGGCTGCCTTTTCCAAAGAGAAGTCAGCTGCCACGACGACAGTTTCCACTCCGTAGCTCTGGGAGAGGGTTGCAGCTGTGTCTCTAACAGAGGTGTGGTCCTGAGTGACAAAGATAATGCTGACTCCATGCCTGGCCAGCTCCTCTGCGTAGGCTTTGGCTACGGTCTCTGCTGCACCTGACAGGATAAAAGGACAATATTTATCAGTGAAAGTCATGTGAGGAAGGATTACGGTCATAGAGCTGAGATGTATATGTCTTAATGTATACATATTTATTTGTATGTAAATTTAAAGTTGACTTTCCAAATAATAGTCGGATTCATTGGCTGCAAAGACATCAAACAATACCAATTTTGAATTATTAGGGGAATATCAGAATATAATAATAATTAAAAAAATGTCCTTGCCCAGGCATTTGTCACTAGTTTTCCATATTGTATAAACTAAAAGAATAACTGATTGTAATATGTATGTATATATAAACTATATATGACGAATTATTATTTGTGAGCATAGTCTTGGCAAAATTAGTGTAAAAACAAAATCTAATTGTAGTGTTTTATATTCAGTGTTGAAGCATCCTATGGTAATGACAACTATGGTCTTGTTTTATTGATCATTTTATTTATGTTGTGTCAGAAAATAGTAAGAAAATCACTGCATTCAATGACTCAAAGTTAAGGATGCCATGTTCATATTTCTTGTTTTGTCAGAAAAACAGCTAATGACCCAAAATATATTAACATAACAATGATATCATAAAAAGAAAATTTGATTAGAGAGATGTATGAAGTATGAGAGGCTGAATATTCGGCCTTTCTAGCTTGATAAAATACTCGAATAGTGAATTACTTTCCTTCAATTAAACTTTCCTCTCCACTCACAAACACCCCTTTGGGCTGAGATGACCAGCTGCATCCTTACCATAAACCACGGCCCAGTCTCCAAATCGTTGGGTGAGCTTCTTACTAGGGATAATTCTTGGGAGGAAATGCACCCTGACCAACGCGCAGCAGTCTCTCAACAGGATCACTGCCCTCCTGGCCGCGTAAAGAGCTCCGATCAGGGCCAAGGTTTCAATGTAAGGATTGAATGATCGAGAGATTTCTCCATACAACAACTGAAAGCTGTCAACTGTCGCCATAGTGGACACTGAAGATGCTGATGCTAGCTTGCTGGCTAAAGATGATCCAGCCAACGTCACGCTGCGATTTCTAAACGAAACGTTAACTAATAACTCAGGCGTGTGAACAAAATGAGTCACTCTTCCTACATAGTAACGTTAAATTTCGGATAACAGTGACGCTAGCAGCTCTGACCGACGTTTCAGCAGGCAGAGACGTCACATGTAGTTACGGCACCCGGTAGACGAAGCAAAACATTGGGTCACGTGACCATGTGATTTGTGGTGTTGCGTTCAAAACAAAATGAGAAACACCCACTTTTAGAAGGTTCAAGCCGGTCATGGTCGGATTTTAGAAAGGTTCGCGGATAACACGACACGCGGCACTAATATTTCAACTTCCTTTAAAGGAACTAATTTCAAGATACGTCACAAGGTTTACACGGTTACATAATTTCTTGTAAAATGTTCAAATTTTAACATTCCTCTGTTTTATATGGGATTGTGAATTTATCTATTTCTGAATGATTGATATTCTTCATCATTCAAAATTAAGTTCTTAATTTTTGTAAGTAGACACACAATGGGCCTTTATACATTGTTTCCAAATATTGTTCTAATCTCCTAAAAAATGTACTTGTGGGGAAATATGATGTTTCTTATGGCTTTTATATATGACCTTTCTTCTTGAAGTCATTCTTCCTCTTTGATTTATTTGTATTCGTTTAGGTATAGAAGTTTATATGAGTTATATGATCACATATTTCCCAGACTCGGAAAGGCAGCACATGTTTCCTTTGCACATCCCACAATGCACTGCAGTTAACTGCACGTTTCCATAGAGACCCAGAACTCGGTGGCAATTACTAGCAAAATGCTACCTGGATACAATCTTTTACAAGTATAACAAAGAGGTGACTGGTTTAAGACATCCCGCATACGTCGTCTTTCTGTTGGGAGGGTTTACTTGTGCAGCGTGGGGGTCTTTGCTTACCGCCTAGCAGCGGCGTCAGTTAACATTGCGCAGTGTTGCTGTTTGCTAGCTAACGTTAGCTGTATTACAATAGGGCACGTAGCAACGTCAAGCTACCCAGATATAAAACAACTATACGTTAACTGTCAACATGAAATTGTCCGGTTGGATGAACAGCATATATCAATTATTTTTTATTTTATATACGTTTTTGTATATGAAAGGACACGGCTTAAGATATGCTATTTCCACTATGGAACAGAGGTTGTTAGCTAATTATCACACCAGTTTGTGATGAACTAATAGTCGTTAAAGAGGCAAAGCCAACATGTACGCATTCTTTTTCTGTGCTGAGCATTAAAAACCGGTGTCGGGGGAGGTATTTACTTCTTATACCTATGTATAAAAATATCTCTACGAAAAATGTATTGTCACGAGTAAAACCCTTATCACGAGTTGATCTCACATAATCACATAATACTACCGTTACATCAGATAGTTCAATTATGATATCATATGAGCAGTATTTTAACAACCGGTGGCATTGAGACATGTTTTAACTTATACTTTTAACCTCCATATCTTATTAGATATTTCTAACAGTATGACAGTACCGTACTTTCTAAATTGATCATATGTTTTGTGTACAAAATCCTAATTTGTAAACTAACTAGTAACTAGAGCTGTCAGACAAACATAATTGATAAAAAAGTACAGTACTTTCCTCTAAACTACACATTCTCAACTTCTTGTCGCACCCATTCGATAAATGTTGACATTTTATTAACATTATAAATTAACAGACATTTTTTTCAATTTGTACCCTTGTACACCTGCTTTCTACTATTTCATACAATTCTGTCCATGTTAGGAATCAGGAGTGGCGATGTTTAAGTTGTCAGCTGAAGATAAAGCAGAGTTGCAATCCCTGCTGAAGCAGCTTCTGAGAAGTATCAACGACCGGATTGCTGACGCAGAATCTACCGAATGTGCTGAAGAGATCCTCCTTCACTTGGAGGAGACTGACAAGAACTTCCATAAGTAAGGCCATCAGACTCAGATGGTATAACATTGTTTGATCGCTCTCTGTTTAAATGTAATGTATAGTGTATATGTTTTACTCCTTAATTTCTTCCCTTTCAGTTATGAGTTTGTCAGGTATCTCCGTCAGTATGTGGAGAGTTCATTGGGGACTGTGGTGGAGGAGGAGACCAAGAGCTTGACCAGAGGAGATGGACAACATGGTATAGGCTCAGGTCTTGACACTCTGATCCATGCTGTCATCCAAAGTACCAGAGACTCAACAGAGTGAGTGTAGCTCAGTATCCAAGCTTTGTCGCCCCATTCTCCAGATGTTTATGATTCATTTATTGTGGAGTCTACATTTTTGTGAATTGGGCCAATCAGAAATCCTCCACTGTCTTGCTGTGCGATATTTATTTTTTGTGTTTATATTTAAGTGTTTGCGTTCATCTGTTTATTTCTTAGGTATGAATAATAAAAGTCGATTTTGATATTGGAATATTGACTCCCTAATTACCCGAATTTCCTAATTTCCTAAATCCCTTAATTCCATAATTCCCAAATGTCTTACTAGCTAATGTAAAAATGCCAATAAACAACTGTTCAAGTTGGATTTCCAGCAAACCTTTCCAAACTAAAAGGTTTCTGAGATTTACGGCATGCAATTTGATTTGGTATTCTTTGTTAAGAAGTTAAAGTAGCGAATGTGTCCTAGTGCCGTCTGCAGCCTGGTTGACAGTGTTTTATATGACAAAAAAAATAGAATCCTGTTGGTATCTACAGAATGTTTCTTGCTTTTTTTCCCAAATTGGAATACTGAAATTACCTTATGTTAAAATTTTACATCAAAACATTACTTAGTGAATTGTACTTTTCAAAATCTCCAACAGGTGAAATATAGCAGTTGTCATGGAATGAGTTTAGCTAAACAATTATTGTGCTTTAGCTAATTATACATTGATGTACGTTCTCACTATATATCAGGTACCAGCAGATGATGCAGAACTTGAAAAATACCATGACCATGGTGGTGGAGTCTTTAATTAACAAATTTGAGGAGGACCAGATGAGGAAGGAGGTGATGCTCAAAGAGAAGCAGCACAGTCAGTTCAACAGCCAGTACACTGACAACTGCTCTGACAGCGATTCCTCCTTCAACCAGGTAAGAGATACAGTATCTATGCACCGTGGTGGCAATACACAGTTACATTTTATTTATTTATTGTCCTTTTTATCTTACTGTGGATGACTCATTAATTGTCAAGATAGTATCTCAATCCCTGGATGGCTTTCGTGTCCTTACAGTGTTTTACCTTCTATTGTAGACTGTATACCGAGAGCCCTTTCTTATCTTTATTCATGACGGATATATATAATTGCTTCAAATCATTTGTCCTTTTATAGAGTTATGCTTTCATCAGACAAGAGCAGCTGCAAGCTTTGGCTGATAATCTCAACTCCAGCAGACCCAAAGAGGTAAAAGATCTCTCATCATAATGACGCATCAGGGATGTACGTCATTATGATGGCGTACATCCCTGATGCGTCTTACAACGTTTTTGTCGATACGCTGAGGTAATGTGCACTGGGTTGGATCCCAGCCAAGGGTTGCAAGATAAATCTGAGGGGTTGTGAAAAGGATGTCTATTTATCTTACGTTCCCCATTATATTTGAAATCTTTCTACTAAAATACAACATAGTTTCTTTCTTCAGGCCTCTCGAAATTATTACGATTACACTTTGGTGGAACTGGTCTTTTCTAAGTAGAAATTAGCGTGATATCCAGGCTTAATTTGCCAATTTGTTTCGCTAAATTCATTCAGCCTTCCATTATTTTCATGTTTTGTTGCTCTTTGAAGGCCTCAGACAGGAAGTATCAGTTTGTCAAAGTAGTTCTCAGTTGAGAGATCAATGAAATACGTTTAATTTAACAACTGTTACTTCTGTAAGTAGACTTGTATGAAATATAACTCAATAGCTTTGAAAGAAAATGGAATCACAGTTCTTGAGTATAGTCCAGTTAAAGTGATGTAACTCTGTGCAGATGCGTTGGGAGGCTCTTCAGGCTCTCTGCTGTGTCAATCCGGCTGATGTGCTGAGCTGTGAATGCTGGAGCAGCCTGCGAAAAAATCTCTGCGCAGCTCTGACTGACCCTGACCTCAGCGTGAGTCCTGAGAACCTAATTCACAATTAATAATTTACAAAATAATCAATAATAAGGGAGTCTCCCTTAGGGATAGGGTGAGAAGCTCAGCCATTCGTGAGGAGCTCGGAGTAGAGCCGCTGCTCCTTTGCGTCGAAAGGAGCCAGTTGAGGTGGTTTGGGCAACTGGTGAGGATGCCCCCAGGGCGCCTCCCTAGGGAGGTGTTCCAGGCACAGCTGGGAAGAGTCCCCGGGAGAGACCCAGGACTAGGTGGAGAGATTATATCTCTGTATTGGCCTGAGAACGCCTTGGGATCCCCCAGTCAGAGCTGGTAGATGTGGCTCGGGAAAGGGAAGTTTGGAGTCCCCTGCTGGAGCTGTTGCCCCCGCGACCCGACCCCGGATAAGCAGCTGAAGATGGATGGATGAATGGATCAATAATAATCATATGTTTTTTATTAACAATTTCAGGCTGTGTTGTTGAAAACAAACAAAGAAAATGTAATGTTCATCATCCCGTCTGTCATTTTGCCACTTCATAGAAAACAAGATAACACACTGACACTTCTGTAATGGTTGAGAGATAATTGGTAGTAAATATGCAGGACACTTTCAGTAGAAGCTGTAAATCTTTTATTTTCCCCTCTTTGTGTGTGTGTGTGTGTGTGCATGTGTGCTGATAACATATGTTTTATCCTATCAGGATGATGTACTGCAGTTCTTTGCTAAAAGCTTCTCCTCCTCTCCACTGAATGTGACACGAGAGATCTACACCAGCTTGGGTAGGCAATTCTGAAGGAACTGAGTGCACATGCAAGACCATAAATTACAATTTAAATCAGCTCCTCTTTATTTATGAAGTAATAATTTGACTTCCATTCTTTTAATGGTACCTACTCATGTGTATAGTAATATTAGTTTAACGTAAAAAGATTTCAAATTATATATTTTTACAGGTTCAGATCGTACGTTTCACTTGATTGTTATCTTGTCCAACTGAGAGTTCTCGTTCTGAGATTCAACCAAAACAAGCGTTGCATCCAGATTGTGGAAATCCCTTACATATTCAACCATGACATTGACCATCTTGTAGATAACAACGCTTTATCTACTCCAACACAACAAACTCTGAGTGCACCTGCTCCCCTCTCTCCAACTGAGGCTCACAATCCACTGTTGTTTTTTGTTGACAAGTCACATGAACAAAAAAACAAAAAAATGGTTTCCAGAGGTTTCTATCGGGTCTTTTCCAAAACGTTGATCTAATTTAGTGAATAGTGAAATTGACGTTGAGGGTGTGTTTCCCTCGAGCGACAACAATGCTGCTTGTTTACCGGCTGTATATATATATGTATATAAACACCAATATTATTTTATGTTTAATACAATATTTAAAATATGTGTATTTTGCCTTTTGATGTGCAGCTAACAGTGTGGAGTCAAGTTTTATGTCTCAAAAGCAAAGCTTCCCAACTGGCTCCGCCACCATTAACATCAATGGACCTGAGATCAGTCGTCTACTCAAACAGGTACATTTAAAGTGCATCTCACATTAGATAGATAGATAGATTGATACTTTATTGATCCCTCAAGAGGGAAAAAAAATATTGAAAGCGTATGAGTCAAATAAATTATAGCTGTCTCTTACTTTGTCTGTCTTACCTCAGATCCGATTGATGAATGACTTTCAAAAGGAGGTGACAACTTTTTGGATCCGCCATCCTGAAAAGTGCGTTCCTACCCTAATACGTTTAATTCTGTTGATTGAAAAATGTAATTGTAAGTCACTTTGGCTAAAAGCCTCAGCTAAAGGAAAAATGTGAATAGAAAACCCCCCAATAATTTCTATAAGAATGTTTAATACCATTGTGATATACCTTCAGTACGCTACAAAGGTTTCCAACATGTTTTATCCAAATGTAGGTGGCCTTCCTGTAATATGCCTAAAATGATTGTATACATTAAGTACCTTTTTGTTGTTGTTATATTTCTTGTCTTAAGATACATGGAAGAAGTTATAGAGAGTACCCTCCACCTGCTGTCCTTCCATCACAAACATACCTCACCTGCGACACAGAAAGTCCTGGAACCCATTCATCTACTGGCCTTACTGGACATCAAAGCGACATGGTTTAAAAAGTGGATGGTGAGTATTGCAAATGAGCAGGCGTTTTTTGAATTGTGCAGAATGCCCCTTTGCATATACATTATTAAGCTAAAAAGTGTCTATGTCCTTCTCACTTGTACATGTCCCCTTATCTTGTCTCATATATTGTCGTTCATCCTGATATGTTGCCCTCTCCCTCCCTCAGCATGGATGCTACAGTAGAACTGTGGTTCTCCGACTTCTGGAAAGGAACTATAAGTCTCTGGTGAGTGATTCATTCCTTGATCAATATCTCTCACTGACACCTTTGTACTTCTGAAACATTTAACACCGTAGGGAAACAAGAATGATATTTCTTTCCAGAAGGCATTCAAACCTGCTACCTTATTTAAGTACCAGAAATTGTTGCATTTTAAATTGGATTTAAGACAGACAAAACTTTGAATGAATTAGGCAATAGAAGGATACCGTAATAAATCAGATATACTTGCAGGCCAGTACGCCCTAACCCTAAGTCTTACCCTGCAAAAGTTTGAGATGGATGATTAAACATTTCCAGCCGGAAAGGTTGTGATCATTGAGGAGCTTTTTACTGGAAGCTGAGTATCTGTAGTGATCTCTTCCTCTCCCAAACAAACAGACAACGTGATTAACTCTGTAGAAAAACGATTAAAAGCATTGTAAATAAATCAGTTTTACATTAAAAAATCTGTGTTTCTCCAGCATTGTTCAGTGAACAAAGAAGCTGCTTCCAATGTTAGCTCAGCTTGTTTCGAGTTAAAGGGCATCTGATGCCATTAATAAGTGATCAAAAGAAAATGACTGTTAAGAAATTCTTGGAAATATTCAGGATAATTTAAGTAGGTAACTCTAAGAAAGTATAACACATACGATGAGTCATTTTCAAATTAAAGTGTGTGTGTGTGTAATTCACATCGCCAAAAAATAGGTCAATGTTGGAGACAAAGGGGCACCACAGTGTGGGTTCAACATTTAGGAATTGATCGTTTAATCTTGAACCGCCTTCATAATTCACTGTGACATTAGAGAGGATTATTGTGAAATAACCCATAAAAATGTCTCAAGTAAATGTCAATAACTTCCAAAGGCACTGTAAGCCTAAACTACTCTTGCATTGCAGTCCATTCAAATTTCCTACAATGCTACAGGATTTGGATAAAACTAAATTGTGCAACTCTTAAAACTCTTGATAAGTGAATAAATAAGAGGTCGCATTGACATTCTGTATCAATGTTGTTGTTTTTCGGCCTGTTGATAGCAACATCCAAATTTGCCACAGTGGTTGAAGTTCATTCAGACCAATCTTTTTTTTTTGCAGAGAGCCAATGTATTGTATAGCCATGTATTGTTTACATTTATATAAAATATTTGCAGGTTGTTGCTGCCCTTCAGCAGTGTATCCATTACAGTGAATCCTGTGAACGTTCCACAAATGAGACAACCGATCCCCAGTCAGCAGAGCAGCAGAGCGTTGGTAAATGAAACTGTCCAAAAACTATCAACAGGTTTATGTACTTTCTCAGGCATATCTAAATATTAATTTCCACTCTCTCCGTGGTACACATCGACACATTTGTATTAATGCTGATTTAATGTGTTCTGTGAAACAAACCCCCAAAATAATACACTCAAGCTGAACCACTATGAAAGCCTAATGAGAAAGTAATGCTTCGTTGGAAGCCCGTGGACGTTAAATGTGTTTGTACCTAGACTTGCATTCATCATTTAATCCATTTCTGTAATGTGCACATGCTGTCCCTGCTGTCATTAAAATATAGGGATAGAGATGAAAAAAAATAGTAATGAAACAAAGAGAAGCAAAAGATAAACCAGATGGAGAAATATGTTGAGTATTTTATTTATTAGATCAGATAGATTTATTTCAAACATCAAACAATAACAACAAAAAACAAGTAGACCCAATAAAATGAACAGTAAACGCACACAGAAGGTATAGGTAAACACTTACCTACCTCTTTCTATAACTTAAAGGTTGAGCTTCATTTTCTGTCCCATATACACAAATCATCATTTTAATATATCCAACTTAACAAAAACAACCCTAAAAAGGGGATATTTTATGCCTTCTTGGCTAGCCTGAGGTCATAGAACATATCTTCTTTGCGATTTAGTTATTTATAATATTAATTTAACTGCAAATGTCTAAAATTAAAAGTACCTTGTTGAGTATTCAATGTGTATACATGCATAAGCTATGGAATGCAGATTACTGTTGCCTGCTTTTCCTCTAGTCAACAGCTGTTCACTGTAACTTACAAGTATAGCAATGCACCCAATAACACAAAACAAAGATGTTTAATGTGCTACAAAGGTCACATTTCACAGCCTTTAGTTACTTTTTTGTTATTGTCAACAAAAAACATGTATATAATGCAAAAGGGATTTCATCTCCTGTAACACATTGGCCTTGTTTTGGTTGAATGAAGATACTATTCCTCAGTTTTTTCTCTTATCTGTGTTATGGAGTCTCATTTTATTACAGAGGCTTTAGATAAGAAAGGTCTTTTAACTGTCTGCCATCACAACATGATTACAAGGGTGTTCATTGTTTTTCTAACTAGCTGTGAGCATATTAAAATATAAAAATATCTATACAAATACTAATTAGTCCTGGCCATCTGCCAATCCTACCACTTCACAACCCCTGTCATTCTCAATGTTTAATGTTTTCTAACACTAAAGTTTTGTGCGGTGAGTTAGCCGTTGAATTGTTAAGTAGTTCCTCCTCACACCCTGTTGAGATTTTGTTTTTGATCCTTCGTTTACTTCCTCTACATGTCAGGTTCAGTCCAGAGGAGTGTTTACACAGGAAGAGAGCTTGAATATGCCGTCTTTGTCCACTCGCTGTGTGTCCTGGGGAAACTCCTCATCTACAACAATGGCAGAAAGCTCTTTCCCATCAGAGTGAGGGAGCGCAAAGGTACAATGCTAGAGTGCTCTGGAAACAGTTTCAAACATTTGTCACAAGCATGTGGGGTATTCTCTTTAATATCCTTTCAAGTATTTCAATAAAAGCAGCATATCATTTTACTGTATTAAAATAAGCATTTTGACTTTTTAGGAAATATGTGTGATCACTGTTTGGCAGGTTATTAGATAACCAGTATCGACTCATACCTGTTTAATATGAACCTACGTTTTACAGCTAGTTTGATTTCACACAGTAAAAAACTGGTTATCGGGAAATAGATTACACAATTTACAACCACCAACTCTGAATATCATAAATATATATATATATATATATATATATATATATATATATTAATGTGGTTTATCTTGTTTGTTTTATCTAGCTGGGAACTATTCCAGTGCTTCAGTTTTTGTATGTGAGTGACGTTAAGTTAGACACATTACTTGTGTCCTCACTAATCTTTAACACAATAACCACAAACTTTACAGCAGACAATGACACTTGCTTCAGTTTACCTTAACTAACTTTGTTTCTCCACCTGTCTTAATTGCTAGTAAAGTTATGTAATGGTGTGAATGATGCCAAGGTAGGGCGTTATGGCCGACTCAATGTCTGGTGCTTTTTATCCTGTTTCCTTAATCACCAATGACTCTTATTCCAATGTAGTCTAGAGGCAATTATATCATTGACGTCAGAGTAGTTTATATTGATCATTAGGCCCACTCTTTGTGTCATAATATGCGTTATAAGATAAGTTTCCATTGAAGTTTGGATTTTTACATCTAAATGTTTTCTTTCTTATTAACTTACCCACAGTAAAACATGAAAAAATGCCAGATGGAATCCATTAAAAAATGTAATTGTCATTTTTAGTCTTAGTTCTACATGTATAGCTCTCTGTCAAGTTGTTGAGTTCCACTGACTTCAGAGAGCTTTTTAATGTTCCCTGGTCAAAGATAACTGTTTGTTTTCAGGAATGTTACAGAGAGAATTTGAACTCCACTATCCTACCTGTGGATAGAAGTTTCCCTCAGCAGGAATTTTCTTCACAATATGAAAAATAGTTCTTGTGCCGCAAGAAGAATACTCGGATTAAAACTAATCATCTGTCCTTAACCTTTGACATTATAACTATTGTTTGCCTTCCGGATTCATCAATTAATCCTTAAGGCTTATATTGAACAAATATTGAATTTTAAAATTGGTGAAAAGAAGCAAATATTTATTTTACGAGAACCTGAAAACCAGCCCATGTTGCTTGTTTTGATTACCAATTTAGAGAAAATCTGGTTAATGGCCTGATTGTTTTGGCTGTATTATGTAAAAATATGTGTTGTAACATATTTAAAGCTCCTTAGACATGCTTTTACAGTATAACACTGTGTATTTGACTGTACCGTACCGTTCAGTTCTATTTCAACACAAACTATGTGATTTACTTCTTAAGCAGGTACATTTTAAACATAGTAGATAGTCAAACTCATCCCAGACATAATATTTGGAGCAAACTGTGCAGAAAGAGGATTTTTTTTCCCGGTCACCAAAACTGGACACTGACACATTTCCTTCCCAGGACTATCAACTATTTACTATACTTTTCCTGTCGTCTATGAGTGACTAGACTGATTGACTTATTGTTTTTTGCTGTTTCAGATCCGGTCAGCCTGACAGACCTGGTAGTCATCCTGATTAACATCATGTACCAACACCCTAAACCTACGCACAGTGATACCTCAGACACAGGTGGAGCACCAAACACTCACACACGGGTATAAAGTACGTCAAACTGTTTAGGCCCCCGCCCTGTTTTCTATGCTTACTGAGTGTGCAATTGGGGGACTGAAGGAACACGGTGACCCTCCCTATGAGGCGTAACGGCACTCCTCAGACCATATATTTTATCTTACCTTATACCTTGTACTGCCTCATACGACACTGTGCTTGTCTAAAAGACCTTGCTTTATTGCTCCATTCATTCTCTTGAATTACAGTGCAGCAGTTTCCCTGCCAGTTATCAATAGTGTGACCTACCTTGACTTTGTCAGATGACGATCACCTCCTTTGCTCTCTATCTTTGAGTCATGCTGAGCAACTCAAAGCTTCATTTGAATATTTCACCTGCCCAATATCAAAGACCACCTACACCAGCTGTGAGAGGATATTTAAAATCGTAACACAATGCTACGGATGCTTTTTTTTAACTTTGTCACCCTAACCTGAGAGGAATCTCCCCAACAGGTTTTTAAAGATTTTGTGTGAGAGTGTTGGGATAACTATGGTATACTTACCTTAAGTAAAGCAAGTATGAGGTTATTGAAAGCAAGTCCTGTGTAATTAATTCATTTCATATTGTGCAATTTTCATTCATACAATAATATTGTTCTATAGTTGCCGGTGTCTTTGGTTGGTGGTTATGGTGCTGTGCCTTGAGCCTTTTTTGAATTACTAACTACAATGTCAATGCGCAGTTACATAGTCATTTTCCATCACTGGTGTTGGGAATATTGTTAGTTATTCCTTTCAAGTTCACTTTCACCATTCCTCATAGAATCGTGTATGAACCTGTGTCTATGGTGATCAGACTGATACTGGACATAAATATTTAAATCCAAGTTATATACACTGACAATTAGGGGTGTAACAATTCATTTTAACAACAATTCTATTCGAATCGCGATTCATGGACGATCTAGGTTAATTTAGATTCGATTCGATTTGATTCAGTGACTTGAAATCGATTCAGTAACTTTACTGGACAGTGCAGGCAAAGTTTCCGAGATCCCTGTTGTTTCTTGTAAGAAAATCAGGTTTAAATTAATTATGGATATTGTAAACAAGCAAACAACAATTAATGGCAAATGTATTAACCTTTTATTTGAATCAAGTGCCATTTTCAATGTAAACATTACACAATAATTACACAATGTTTGGATCAATTTACAGAACCCCAGATTTTCAACCACATTGTAGGGCTGCATGTCTTTACAGCTAAACTTGGCAATTGTTACTGTGATGTTGAGTTTCGTGCTGGCGAGGCCTGAGGTGTCTGCAGAGCTGGACCTTCTGCTGCTGCTGCAGCGGTAACGCTGCTAGAGGTCCTGGCCTGTCGGCGTTGTTTAATCCCATGGCGCCTTAGTAGATGGCCGGAAAGATTCGTTGTGTTTCCGTGGTTTTTTATTTGGCTTCTACATATTCTACAAACAGCGACCGACTTATTTAGAACACCTCTGTGTTTGCAAAAGCCAAAATGTTTCCACGCGCTGGATCGATACGTTGGTTTGTAAATGTCTTGCTCGCAGTCGTCTCCTCCACGCTGTGTTTTGTTGTTGTTCCGAGTTTCGCGCGGCTGCCGCTGTGTACTGATGACGTCACAGACAGGCAGACTGAATCGAGTAACGTTTAACGTGTCTAAAGTGCTAAAAAACAAACAAACACACATCCATGCCGTTTTTGTACTTAAATCCAATGTGCAGTTACCAAGTATCGATACAATCGATTATGTACCATTTCAATTGATTTGTAATCGATATATGTCGTCCGGAATGCCGATTTGCGGAGCACAGATCGATTCAGTTGGATCGCAGGAATATAAATCGATTAATTGATTCAGTGAATGAATCGTTACACCCCTACTGACAATGTATCTATTTAATAAGTTCTGTCCAGAAAATCTGACAAATGGGGACAAGCTAAACAAAATATTAAGTCTCAGTTTTAAAGTAACGAAATTGCAACATACTGGTCTGGTCAAAAGTTAGGGGAAAACTATGTGTGTGTTCAGACTCCCTGTCGCCCAGCTGCCTGGTGATGGAGGTGCTGTGGATGATCTGTGAGAGGACAGAGTGTGCTGCAGACTGTCTCTACCCGACCCCTGTAATAGAGACGCTGCTTGCTCCTGTTATAGCACTGCTCAATGGACAGCAGGTAAAACATACTCACTAAAGATGAGATTCAAATAGACTATATATATAGGTTTGCAGATACATGCCATAAACAAGGTCCATGAATACAAATAGACACATTGACAATTTTGAAATTGGGAATAATAACAACAAAGGCCTATCATAGTTTGCATTCACCCTAAGGACACAAGGTAATAGCTACAACATACATAACAACTGAGTAACTGAGTAACCGCCTGTTTTAGCTGACTTAACTGTGCTTTCATGCACAAACATGAAATAAAAAGATCCAACTACTTTGTAGTTTAGAAAAGATTCATATTAAAATTTAGCTAGAAAATACCCAGTATATTTAGTAGATGCTTTTATCAATACATAAACTCAAAATAATTGTAACTAAAGATTCAGATACACATGTTGCCGGCTGTGGTGGGGGCGATCCCAGGACCTCGCTAAACCAGCCAATCGGTAGTATCGATGGGCGGCCTGCAGTCCACTGCAAAAGGGTCGGGGACCCGACCCACCAGAGAATCATTGCTCTAAGTCATAGTAAATTTTTTGCCACAAACCATCTTTTCAAGCTTGATTCCATCTCAATACCAGTAATGTCTGTGACATGTGGGTAAATCTGTTTATTCTCTATTGTTTGCAGACCAAATTAAAATTTCCGGCAGCAACACTGACGCTCATCGCCGACATTCTGGCTCGCATTGCAAACACTGACCGAGGATTAGCTCTCTTCTTATATGAGAAGAATCTAGTTGTAGCCCACAGTGAGAGGTGAGATGGTGTGAATAAATATGTTGGGTCTTTTTGTATCATCAATGTTAACAAATAAATTACATTTTTCATGACTTAGCAAGGAGACTTTAATACACAATTTGCATAGCAAATCCTCTCCACAGTGAGCAAATACGGCCCAAAGATGCAGGTGTGTCAGTCACTGCTATGTTTTTAAGCTGCTCAAGTCCATTACAGCAGAAACTAAACCGAAAAGATTAAAGATACAGTACTCCGGGTCAGTCAGTGGCCCCACGTCAGTTTTGTACTTTTTTATAATTGGCCAACCATGAACTCTGTCCAATTGGAAACAGCAGTTTGTTGTTGTGAAATAGCACTACGGCTGATATTACTGTGTACCAATGTCTGTACGAATGTCTGCCATGCCATAAAATTTTATGTACTTGAGAAATATGTTGTAAAAATGAGCAGATAAAAGTCCACTACATTAAAGATCTAGTCCAGACATTGAAAACAGAAGGGTTGCTTGTAGTTATAGAGAAATACTACAGCTACTAGCATTAGAAAGTATTTGACATTTAGAAATGAATCAATCAAAGCCGGATTTGACATTTTAATGCCAGCTATCAACATATTTCTCTTTGTCTATTTCCCACCTCTTCTGCAGAACCTTCCCTGCTCATGTTGTTGTACAGCTCACTCTCAGGCTGCTGGAGAACGAGCTGTCCACAATAAATGAATCCGACCGGTCTCATTCATTATGTGGAGCCTTCATGTTTGTCTGTAGGCAGATATACAACACCTGTGAGGGTTTGCAGGTCCTCCGACCCTACGGTCTGCACACGGCTGTAGCTGCTGCATGGAAAAGGGTACGCACACTTCATTTCTCCATATATGACTTGTCAAACTTTCAGATTCTGGATGCTCAATGACTTAGATTTCCCCTCAGATTTTGAGTGATTCAATAATGATAACAAGACCTCAGTGGTTTTTGGGGTGACTGAAACAAGTAAAAAACGCTGGTTAACATTTAAAGTATTTTATTATATCCAAAAATGAACGGCAAATATTGAAACATTAGAAAGCAGTCAATTACTAAAAAAATTATTCAGTATCATAACCTCGGTGTTGATGATTTTGTAAATGCCAGAAAAAAGACCCTTTCTATAAAAGATGTTAGATAAAGGTTGTATCTGAATCATTTATTTTGTGAATATCTAATGGAAAGGTGTCTAGTCATCCGTTTCAATTGCTAGAATTCTCTCGTCATGTTTAATATTCCTGATGAAAGCTGTAAAAATAAAGCCTGAAAATAGAGGGAATCAACAACAATTTTGAGAATACTGATTTTGTCCTAATAATACATTGAAATGGCAATACATTTAGTCTGTATTGAAAATGCAAATTAAATCAGACACAGTGAAAAGTGCACTGCGCCTTCTTTTTCTTGTATGAGACAATGTGACATCGTTATACAACTTTTGTTGCATCACTGTCTAGTAACTTGACTCCAGTCTGTGTTAAATATTAATCATCAGTCTGCACATACTCCTCTGTCTTGCCGTACTAAATGGGGTCTTAAATCAAAGTCTACGTCTATTTTCTTGCCTTGTGTTACATAATATATTAACAATTTTGACCTCATTGCACCCACTTTACAGGATAAAAAAACAGTTAAAGATTTAATCCACTAGAATTATGTCTGTGACCCTGATTTCCCATGTTCGTCAGGTAGTGCTAGAGTTTTGTTTTAAGTTTTGTTCGTTTTGAGTTTTGTTTTTGTTTGTCTTTCTTTTCTTTAATCCAGCGAGTAGTGGCGTTAAATGCAGTCTATCTGTTTTAAAAAAAAGGGTTTATTCCAGAAAGAATCAAGTTATTTTTTCAGGTGAATTGGGAAAAAATTGTATTTTTCTTTATTGTAAAATGATTAGAAAATACATGTTATCTACAGAAATACAATATGGATACAATAAGGTTGGATAAAGACCAACAGTAGAGCAATTTACAGAGTAAAGTGAGCGTCACAGAAAAGAAGCAGTGCAGTTATGACGTTATTTATAATTTATAATGAAATCAATATAAAACTTAGTTCCAAAATGGGCACCTAGAATTTTCCATTAACAATCTGTAGGTTTCAATTGATTTCTTTTTTGATTATGAGAATATAGTCAGCTGTAGATAAACAATGCATTTTTTTTCTTTATTTCTAGACCAGTTCCTTATCAGAAAGGGTTCCAACTCCGGTACCTGGAGCCACCTCTGAAACATGCACCCTGGAGCTGCAGAACATGTGAGTCTAGCAGAGTAATTTTATTCAAATCACCTTATAAAAACCTAGACCAGCATACCATCTGTGCATTGGTAACACCTCTGTGACAGATGTTGTAAACAAGCCACCGATACAAAAACAATGTGCATTTGTAACTGAAATCTAGCTGAAGTATTCAACTATTGTTGGACACAATCAGCAAAAAATAAGAAATAACTAGTGAGATCTAGTCACAATACTTAATCCTATCTCTGGTAAGAAGCTTGTTTACCACCTGTACATTAGGCACTGTCACCGCCTCTTTCACCGGTGTAAGGAACTGCTTTAATGTGACTTATGTAGCGCTGCATCTTCCTCTCTTTGACTTTGGAACAGGCTCATCTGGGAGGAGACTTTGTTGGACAGCTTGCTGAATTTTGCTGCAACTCCTAAAGGCCTGCTGCTGCTGCAGCAGACTGGAGCCATCAATGATTGTGTCTCCTTTATGTTCTCTCGGTTTATAAAAAAACTACAGGTAATAACATTGTACAACTAACAGTCCGATTTGGGAATTTTTTGTATTCCAAAATAAGTTAAAGTTGAACATTTTTCCTTTTACTTAAATAACAATTGTTATTTGCATATTTCCGTAGACCTGTCTTTTTATTTATTTTTTACATTTGAAGCTATTAAGAATTTTCAATGAATGTTGGTAACCATATTTATCTTTTGCATGTTTATATTAGAATTTAAATGTGAGGTTTGAACCTTCAAACAATTCAGTACAGTCCCAATAGCCAGTTTTCTAGATTCCCAATGCATCAGCTGCTGATTGTCAGTGAAAAGTGCCAGTGGAGCAGTGAGTGAGTTCTATTACTTGTTCAAGGGCACCTCAACTCTGGTATTGAGGTTGCACCACTTGTAATTTCCTTCTCCACCCAGTTTCCAATATTGCAATCCAACAAATGCTTGGCTTTGCACCAGCCCATAAAAGGAAATTCAGATGTGTCAAAGGCACCGCCAGGAGATATCAAGTTAAATATAAGCTGGTCAGATAACGGTTGTGCCAGCTTCAAATAAATCAAACAGGGTGACAATACAGCAGAAGTACTGAACAATGATGCTAAGCTGAAACTATTTCATCACCTTTATGGAAACCCTAAAAGAAAGTGCTTGACAGCGGTTCAGTTTTTAATCCTTCTTGTTCCCCTCAATGTACCACATTTACTTAATATACATTTAAGCCAACTCTAAACGCCAGGATACAGGATTGTTGCATCAAGTACATTTTTATTTGAATTCAAATGTAAAATTACCAATTGTCTTTGAGAAACACCTCTTGATGGCAATAGATCACACTGTATGATGGTTTTCGTAGTCAACACACAGATTTAAGCTTTTGTTTCCTATAATTACTTACCATGCAGATCATCTTGCATCTTAAAGCCCTTTATTAATTATGTATGCCCATGCCATCGGCATCTGCATTTCCTTCAGCAGGAGATGTGGTCATTTGTTGCTCCTGCTGTTCCTCAATGCCACAGTCATATTTACTGATGACCGCTCCTAGTTTCTTTTTTGTTGAAATATGTTTCTGTTTGTGTTTTTTCTAGGTGAGCCGCTGTGAGAAGTTTGGATATGGGGTGATGGTGACACAGGTGGCAGCAACTGCTCCTGGGGCAGCAGCTTTGCACAGTTCAGGTACTAATCGCTATGTTGGTACAAAAAAGCAACTTGGCATACAAGACCGAATGTATCATAGTTGACATCCCAGGAAGCAACTTCTTTTTCAAATGTTTTGTAATTCGATAAGTGGATGAAGAAAGAACTTGATGAGGTCAGATTTCAACAAGAGTGACAGTCTGACCAAAACAATTTTAATTCTTTAATATCTGATTTATGATGCAACTTGCCCTTTTGCAAGTTGCATCGTAAATCCTCCAGAAAATGCGGTACATCATTTATCGGCTAAGGCTTAGGCACATGTAGTGGAAAACAACCAACTTCATTTGTGTAAAATTAGATTTGGCATTTGGAAGTGGTTCACTTACTATGCTGACTTTGGACGTCGTCATAACTGACAACATATGGCAAACATTTGTTTGCTCACTGCATATGTATGTGTATATATTTGACTTTGCCTTGCAGTAAATCGTCTGCTTCCAGCTAGCTACCTGCCGCTGTTGCACGTAGTCTTCTCAACGCTAAAGACACAGTACCAAAAACAAGCCAAAGAGATGCAGCAGCATTGGTGTTTCCTTATGTAGTCTGTGCTAACAACAAGAAACAGTCATGGCAGCCAGGGATGAAAATGAATGGTTGTGAGGAAATCACCTGTGCCACCCTTGAAACTGCTTTACTGTGTATTAAAATCGTTAATGAAATTCAGTAAATGGCAAATTTTAATGATAATCTGTCTAAGTAAAATGAAAAATACATTTAGTTGTAACAAATATCTGCTTGTAGTGATCAATTTAACACAGACCAGCGTGATTGTACAAATACATATCATAACCGAGGACTTGACGATGTGTTGCAGGTTTTGTCAAGGCATTGGCAGTAGAGCTGTGGTCTGTTCTTGAGTGCGGAAGGGAAGATGTCGGAGTGGTCCATCCAAAGCCCACACCCATGGATCCCATCGACGGTAGCTGCCTCAAGGTTGAGTATATGTGTGTGTCTGATGCTTTCCTCTGACAGGAGCCAAGCTGTCCGTCTCATTAAAACTAGCCAAGTGAATTCGGACAGCCAGTGAAGTGTGAACTGTGACCTGCCACTGGTGACTTTAAAGCCGGCCTTATCACTGTGTCAGCCACCGGGTTTTATGCATGCAGTCAGACCTACAAGTCCATCTCAGCCAGAACTGTTGCAAACCAAAAAGTTGCTAGTTAAAAGGTCTGGACTTATTACAGCTGCATTTGTGGCAAGAAAAATAGAAATGCGCATTTGAACGATAAAACAGGCTGTAGCAGATTAAAGATCGGACCTCAACTAAACACAATTTTCTATATTTAAACATTGTTTTTCATCATTGTAATTAATTAAAGGCTTTGTTGTTGCTTTCAAATAGCTTCATCGAATTTAAAAGCCACACTTATTTGTTTGTATCTATGTAAAGTTTTCCCTGTACTCCTCGGTGATGATAGCAGGAGGTCTTGGTTTATTATTCATCAGGTGTTCATCGGGTACTGTTCTGGTCACCTGTTCAAATTTAGCTTCATGGTTTAATTTTACAAATAACGTCTTATCTTTTTCTTCACAAAAAATCCTTTTTCATGTTCAGTTTTTTTTTTTTGTCATTCTATATTTATAGTATTTGGATTTGTATGAATCTAAAATGCAAATCATTTGACCTATGCCCCTTTATGTGTAAGCTAATTTTCAATTCCAATAAGCAATATTACACACACCCAATAGGCATGAATTATAAAGAAAGTATAATAAAGTAGATTTGAATTAAATGAGCCAATGATGAGTTTTCAAAACCAATTTCAAAAGATCCAAGTTGTGATCAAATTTTGAGTTCAATTTCTTTGACTGCTTTCTCAAACCCTTTAATTCTCTTTCTGTCTCTTTTTTTCTGTCTCTGCAGTCCTTTCTGTCATTTGTCAACCTACTCTCCTCTTCCCGATCGGTGTGGGAGCTCCTAGGCCGCCAGCCTCTCGCCAACAAGAGTGAATACACCCTAAGAGAGATGCCAACCTCCATTCCTGTACGTGTATTTTACACAGTGTGGTCCAGACTTCATGCAATGCCTCTTTAAGCCATCTGAGGGCATGTTTGCACTTTATATTTGGCCTTCAACCACCACCCACATGTTTCTTTTTACCTCACAAAAGCCTCCTTCTAAATTCTCCAATACACTGAGGCTGACGTACATTTTTCGCCTTACACATCGTAAACATTAACAGTTTTCCTCTTGGCACTATAACTGCTGTTTTTTTTATTTTGACAGTATTTCATTTTTACTCCACAGGATCTGATTGACAGGCTGATTGCTGTGAATTCAGATGCAAAGATTCATTCCCTGTTCCACTACGAGCAGTCTCACACATTCGGCCTGAGGTGAGATTGATATTTCTTTCCATATCATTTAACATCAGTGGCGAGGCCCATGGAATCTGATTAGCACCTGGGGACAACGCGCATTCACGCACGTACACACACTTTAGCCTCCGGCAATGGCAGACTGACATGCGCTTCTTTATACTTTGATTACCCAGCTCTGAAAGGCTGATGAAAGGATTTCTCTGGATAAAAATGAAATAAGATGGGCTGGGTGTGTGTGTTCTATATTTATGAAGACCAGACATCATGCTGAGTGAGAAGGGGGTAAAGAAATTGCTTCTAAAAGTTATCACCAGTGTTGTGTTATGGTTCAAATTTGAGGTCAGGCTAGTTAAAACTGTTCTGTAAAATGACAATAATTGCATCCTTGTATTGTGTGTGTATTGGAAAGATTATTGTGAATGCCAATGTGTTGAAAATGGAGACATAATACAGTTTGTGCAAGATGGTGTTTTTTTTTTACATACATGGTTGGCTATGGGTCATGGCTGTCTACACAATGCTCTGGTGGATGCTGTGCATCGCTTTCTGAATCACAATAGCTTTGTCTTTGTTTGGAGCCTTGCTGACTCACTTGCTCAGTCAGTGGCTGTCAGTCAGCCCACTCCTATTAACATCCAGAAGCCAAGTGAAAGGAACAAGATGCTCTATTCATTTGACATCCAGACTGATGGATTCACTGACAAACGTACACTCCGTGCCTCCGGCTAGGTTGACAAAATTAGCATTTCAATAAAGCCAAGGAATATCATGCTCATTTTGAGGTATGGGTGTAATTTCCTTAAAACAACAACTGCTAAGTAAATTTGTGGAAGTAGTTGGCCATTAAAACAGCAAAAGGTGATGTCTGACGATCCCACACAGTTTGATTTCAGTTTCCCTCTTTATCCGCCTCCACGGGAAAAGGTGCAGTTATAAGCGACTGTAAAATAAATGGAAATTTAATTCCGTGCTGATGTCTTTTGCCAAGTTGATTAATTGGGTTTACAGTCACTTCACCATTCGCTATTATTTGCCTATACACACTCATGCACGCACGCACACACTGCTTTCAGGGGGATGGCGCTATCCAATACAAACCCACATGACCAATGTGACCTCAATAGTTGAATCCTTTTTAACGCAGCATAACATAATTCTGCCAGTTTTTTTCTTTTATCGGTTTATCCACAGCCTGAAGGAAGAGCTGTGGGAAGAAACATGTCAAAGTTGTCTGTCGCTTAATGGGCGTTATTTTTCACTTCATCACATGATATAATATTGCAAAAGAATCCACATTGTACGTTTTTCTTCATATCATTAAATGCTGATGACTGAACGACAAGCAAGAATCCCAGAGAAAGTTTCCAGGAAAATTAGCAGGGTAATATTTATTAACGGCTAAACTCTAAAACTCTGCTTGATCAGATATGATTGAGAATGATTGCGAACAAACCCACAGCTGTGAATGATTTGAGTATTGCTAAATCCTGATTGGCGCATGTGATTGTGTGAAAGCACCATTGTCTGACTGAGACTAGCAGAGTGAAAATGGCTCAGGTTCAACTCCATAACCAAATAATAACCAAAACCATGACGTCAATTACAACCGTCTCCTTAATGCTAAGAGGCTCATTGAGATGATATGTCTTCAGGGCCTTTTAAAGGAACTCCCCAAGTGGCAAATGTACAAATCGTGAATACATTCAGGTTCATGTCTCAACAGCAAGAGTTCGGGGTTGTATTATTTTGTCTGATGGCCGGAGAGACATCCTGTTGCAATCATTCTTGCAGAGGGCGCTTCGCCAAAGACCAGTAAAATGTTTTCAGCACAATAAATCATCACCGAAAGCAGAGCTAGTTGAGGTGCATCCATGTATTGAATACTTGGAAGTTATTCTGACACATCTATTGCAGTATGAGGTTTGGTGCAGCTTTCATCCTAAATCGGATGTTCATGTAGCAGCAGTGCCATTTGTTATTTTTAAAGCTGTATCTAATTGGCTTGTAGCTTAAACTGTGCGCTTCGGCCATGTTTGTATTTCGTGGAGAACAGTGCCCCCTACTGTACAAAATTCATTTAAGCTCTGCAGTAAACAATATTGTACTAAATTGCATCTAAAAAAATGTTTGACTGGTGACTTGCTTAATTTATTTTCCAAGACCACTTTCTTGCATCGCCCGATAAGTTAAAAGATTTCATCATAATGTTTCATTATAAATTGACTGGTTTTGCTACCTTGTTGTTTTTCCTCTGTCTGTATAATATTCTCAGGTGAAAGCCTCACATGCAAGAGCCAAATACACAGACAAATACAAATGCATTTAGTCATAGACCTAAAATACAGTAGTTTGTGGCAGGTTTAAGAGTCATCTCGACCTCATGAGAGTTCAGTTTTTGTTATCTCGCCTCCTGAGACAAAGGGAACTAGATTAGAATAGATTCGGAAAATTTTGTTCTGTGTTGAAAAACAAGTCCGATGTGAAAGCACCCTGAAATGTACAAAAAAGTGGAATGGATTACTTTGATTTGTTTTATGCTCTGCAGTGATGGATGAAAAAAACTCCCTACTGTGTACTAACGTTTCATGGTGTTGTTGCTGGGTGTGTGCAGTGTTGAGGCCCAAATGAAGCTTCTAATTGATCTTTGCATACACAGCCAGGGGGTTTCCAGCTGCCTGATGATGTGCAGATCATTAAAGTTTTATTTGTAAAGGAGTTGTGTAGTTACCAATTTTGTCTCTTTTTGATTCATATAGGAATTACATCATATTTAGTTAAGCTGACGCTTTTAACCAATCTTCAAGGAAGTCAAACTAAACTAATTGCTATAATTAAATGCCATCTCAAGTGCCACTACAGCGCTAACTAGTCAAGGTATAGTCAGTAGAGGAGAGTTTATTAGTTTGGAAGATGTATAGACGTTCTGCTGTCTTGATGTCATTGGGGAGCCATTTAGAACCCAATAAGCAGAACTTGCAAACTGAGGATTGATTTCAGCAGGACCTCTTGAGTATGAATGATATAAGCCTCTCAAATAGTTCCTCAATTAATTTGATAATTCATTTCCCCTCAGGTACGACAAATAAATCCTGCAGCTTAATCTTCATTTATATTGGCAAGCCGATTACTCACGTCGTTGTCCTTTTCAGCATTAATGTCAACAACTCCCAAATCAGATGGATTGTAGTTTTTCCAAACCCTAACCATCCATATGGTTTCCCCTGGCTAAATGAAAATAGCACAAACTATCATTGCAGTCATTATCAGGGTTGTTGTGGTGCAGGGGTAAAGAGGGTGCGCTGGGAACCGCAAGGTTGGTGGTTCGTGTCCGGCTGGCCCATGTCCCGTGTCCCTGAGCAAGACACCTAACTCTTAATTGCTCCCCCTTGAAGAGAAGCCTATCGGAGAAATGGCAGATAAACTAGAAGCAGGCCCTGTTAACTAGAAGCAGGCCCCCATTTCTTAGTTTCGAACAGCAATAGGTCGGAAGGCCCGACAGACTCTCAGCCTCTTGCTGTGCTGCTGTCAGAATGACTGAGTACAGCTCTCAGTCAAACAGCACATCAGGAAACGAAGCAGCTGCTTAAAAGGAGAGGTGTGTTTCACAAGGACTAACTGCAAACAACATGCAGAGCCCATAACACTACGGCTAATGTGTCACTATAAGGGCACACACATATACACAGCTAGTTGAAATCATATTTCATAAAAGGTGTAATTAAAGGTGTAACAATAACTGACATGTTCATTCCAATGTGCATTTGTTGTCTTTTCAAGCCTTATTGTGAAAAATAACTATTGGCAGTTAATAATCTAAAACTTAAAAAGTAATTCCATACTACGCATGTGCAAATTCCCGATGAACAAAACCCATGGTTCCTAATATACAGACATGCAGACATGCATGACTTAAATATCAATTCATATGAAGGCATAAGCACAAGATGCTCAGAGACTGTGTTATTGATCAATATCAAACAAAAGTAGTTGAATCATCCTAAACGTCAGTCTATTAAGTGAATAATGATTTGTTATGGTTACGCTCTACCTCCAAACTTAGAAAGCCTCAGTCTAAACACTAAGCAATGAGACAACCTAAGACGCTGAATGCAATGCTCCGAAAGGAACCCTTGAGCTCAGGGATATTATATTCACAAACTTCTGTTCTAAACGTTATTGTAACCGGTCCCCGGTATTTGGAAAAAACACATCTCTTTTCTAAAGAATTAATTCAAAAGTTGTGACCAATAACACTGTGACAAGGAGTAATGCAGCCGAGGATTCCTTCCTCTTTGCAGGCGTTTGATCGTATAATACACAGAACTAAAACACAATGTTGGGTCCAACAATACAGCTTGAGCCTAGTGTCATTACCAGCAACTGAAAATGAACCATGACGCGTTTTCCTAAGGGTTTCCATTTAACAAAGCTAACGATTGGCTACGGTAAACTGGTGAATAATTGTGAGGACTAATGCAGACACGCGATGCCAGAGGAAATAGACAACCAATCCAAATGGAGTCTTTTTCTGCATGGTTCAGTAGTACTACTGTATTACCATTGGAACTGCCTGAAAAAGCCTGTTTCCTTTGTATTTTTGATGTTTTGTTTGTTTGTGTTGCTGCAGACTGCTCAGTGTTCTCTGCAGTAATCTGGACTCCTTCCTGCTGCTGGAGAGCCAGTACAACATCTGCTCCATGCTGCTGCAGAGCCAGAGGGAAAATGTCCTGGAGCTGGACACAGATGATGGGTAGGAACCAACAAACGCGTATTTCCTCCAATCGTAGTACTAAGCTAGCCTAACTGCACCCTTATTTCACTTGTGTTCTAAAGACATTGTCATGAGCTGATGATCGAACTAGAACAAGAAAATTAATGGGTATTCTCTTAAACAATTCCTTCAGTAGGCCTTCTGTGCTTGGCCCTGATAGCCTTTCCTAGAAAGTTAACTTTACTGGTGACAGATTAAATGGAAGCAAGTTTTTGCAAATATTTGGATATTTCAAATATGTCCACGCTGAGTGTTGCACACGTTCACTCTCTCTCTCTTCTTTAGTAAAGGCCTGTGCATCCTCCTGATGTGATGGAGCACTTTCAAATTTAATCATTGCTCAGGATAAGAAATTGTTTGTTTGTTGGCCTTCTCACAAATAAAATGAATCGGAAAGACAGTGAAAATGGCTCTCGTGAAAGAGGGTTTTCATGAGCCCCTCTCGCTTGGTAATGGCTGGCAGAACTATGGCTATTGGTTATGAATGGAAATGGCCCTGAAATGCCAACTCACAGTGCACGTCTGAGTCCTGGCGCAATTCTTTGGAGAACGATGCCTTGTTAATTTATTCTCCCATCTCCCTTCTGTGCCCTTTCTTCCCCTCACTTTGCCATCATCACCACAGACATCATCTTCTGTTCCTCCTCTTCACTCCTGCTCAATTGTTTCTTATTTCCTATTTTTTCATTTATTTGTCCTACATTTTGTTGTCACTAATATGCCCTCATGATTTTTTTCTGCTCTGACCTTTTTAACTAAATTATATCAGGATCACACACTATCCTCAAAACTACTAAGCAGTCATTCATCTGACCCCAGCAGTTTGAACTTTTGAGTGATATGACTTCTTTTATCCACAAAGAAATGTATGCAAATTACATTTTGTGGCAAACAGGCGAGTGAAAAGAGAACTGTGCAAGGAAATATTCTCCTTTTATTATTAAATGCAAGTCCAAATTGCTCGAGCTCTAAGATCTATCCACCAAGGCTGACACCCTTCGACCCTGAAGTGCTTCCGTAATTCGAATAGTCTATGATCTTCTCTAAAATTCTAAGCAATAAGACCTTCCCTCCTCTTCTCTTACTTTTCTTGCAGTAATGATATCGTCATTCAGAGGCTTCAAACTCTCACCAAAGTCTTTTAGAAGACTTCTCAAATAAGTTATGAGGTTCAATCATTGGGGACGTTTTGTGGCGTTAACTGGATGATCAATTGATTGGCATGACCTTGTGTACCAAAAACATTTTAATGTAATGTAATGTCAAATAAGATGGACATGTATTCTACAACAAGTCTAGTGTTCTTTATTTTTAAAAGGTCTTTCTTTTATCTTGGAGTGACGCCACAGCACACAAATCTCAATGCAAGAACTTTTTGATATATTAAGGCATGGGGTTGTTGTTTGTTTTGTCTTCTGCGGTTCCCTTTGCACCATCTCTTACACTTTTTGTCTAATCCCCTTCATACCAAACATCCTCAGGGAGTTCATCATAGACAACTTATCGGTGGAGAGGAATCACGTGCTGGTTCGCGTTAGTGTGGTCGGAGGACCGTCTGAGAGAAAGCTTCCTCCTCGAGCACTGCAAGAGGTCAGTTATGTTCTACTTTTTATTGTTACCTGTTTTTGAATTTCTAATATCTATGGTTCCTCTCTGGAATTGTACTGCTGGTTTTCAAAAGGTAAAAATTTGCTTTCAGTCATTGGGATTGAAGCTGAAAATGTGTTGTTGAAATGTGCTCTTGGAAAAGTATTGTAAGATGTGTGCCTGGTTAACAGTGTGAATTAAGGCGCTTCGGTTTGGTAACAAAACTACTGGGTTAGGCTTAGGATTTGTCTTAAAATAATTACACTTTTAACGTCACCTACAGAATATAACGTGCTACTCTGTAACGTATCTGACATGTGGTCAGTAAAACCTTGCGTTCCATACGATAAACAATTGTGTGAATCTTTTTTTTTTTTACCTATCCAAAACCCCTCCCTCCCAAAGTTGACTTTCTTTCTCTTAAACAGCTACAGGCGTGTCACTCGTGTGCATGAATTTTCCACATGGACTCAAAGATAAAATATTAAACTGGCCATGAATAATACATACACTGTCATTTTCATACAAATGCTGGCAGGGTGATAAATTGTTGACATTTTGGTAAGATATGGATGTAAACTGTTTCTTGACTGGTTGGCAGTTGGCAGAGTTATCCCACCGTGGGAAGTTATATTTTGTGATTCTATTATGTATTTGCATTCAACTCTATTAGCTACAACAGCAGCAGAGTTCCAGAAAATTGGATAAACAGAACTGCTTTCTAAACCCTGGTGACATTTAGAGCACACTATTTTGGAAAGTCACCTGTTGTGCTCTGACTCAGTAGGTACAGTACAGTTAAAAGAAATATATGACAAGCAATCATGCTAGCATTTACAAAATACCCTAAATGTTAGACTAAATCATAGTGGGTTACAAAGAAAAGAAGAAGCGAAAAATAAAGAATAATAAAATGGCATGAATTTACAAACACATTTGATAACTCCTGCTAGCTCTGCGCAAAAGTATTATTTCTTACTGCATTAATTAGTAAGTCTTTTACCGTCTTTCCCTGTTCATAGCTTGACATTTTTTTAAATTAGAAACCAATATTAACAATACAACGTAATAACACATCAATATCCTAGCAAACTCATAAACAGTCAAAGCATTTATCAACTCAGAGTGGTGCAGAAACAAATCTAAGACAACAATTCAAATATTATTAATCTTGCAGGTTATTTGCATATTGCATAATTGCATAATAATGCATTGCAGTAGAGGGTATTGAGGTGGCCAAAATGATTAATCTGATGTCTTTATCTGCATATTCCAGGGAGAAGATTCTTATCCCTGGCCCATGTTTTCAAGCTATCCTCTACCCCACTGCTACACTTTGAACCCAACAAAGAGCCATCATAACTCCCCGGGTAAGAGTTACATTGGTTTCTATGGTGACGGTGCATTATTAGGATTTCTATATCTATAGTTGTTTTTTCCCCATACAGACTCTGAGATCAGTACGTTCCCGCCATTATCTAAAGACTTGAAGAATGAGGAGAACTGGATGGAGGTCTGCCGCACACAGTACTCCAAAGCCATGACCTCCAAACCCAACATCCTAACTGGAAAGGGTAAGTTTGGAATTTTTACCTTTTTAGTAGCACAAAGATAACATAGCGTTCATCTTTCATTATATATCTAAGACACTATTGCCGTTTCGATAAATAACCTGTTGGATGACTACGGCATGATTAAAAAAGGCAAAAGAAATGTAATATTTTGAAAAGTTGAGAAAAAACGTCTAAAAGAAAAAAACGTTTCAGTTTAAAACTAAGTGAAGGAGAGATAAACAAGTTGGGATTGAGGGAGTATTTCATTCCTTATTTTTTGCACAAGTTAACCCTGATTTGAAACCACTTCATCAGTTAACAGCTAGCAAGCTAATAACTCAACGCAAACACGCTGGATGATATGTACATGCATGCAAGACAAAACTTTTATCATGAGTGAGTCACACCACTCCCTTACTCATATATTTCAATTATCTCTCACCCACACTAAATGCATTGTTTAAACTGGCCAGGGAAGAGATGAACTCAGCTCCCCTTTGTAAATAAGTAGAAATGCCTTAAAGCGAAAGGGAATCACGGATCATCTCAGTGTGATTCCAGTACAACTTAAGCTGCCATCGTCACAAAGGCAGACCCTATATTGTGGAGTTTTCTTCTATGGACGGCTTACTCACGTGTAGATGCATTCGTCTTGGCTATTATGAGTTTTTAACCTCCTCCCATTGTTGTTTGTGGGGGGGGGGGGGCACTGATGAAAACCGCACTGATGCCCACTTTTTTTTTTTTTTTTTACATAGAAGTAATTGCCTGTGATTCAAGGAGAAGTAAAATACATTCAAAGTGAAGGAGCGCTGACAATCTCGTCAGTAATGCATGCACTGCATAGTGATTGCTCCCTTTTATCAGCAGAGTGTCGAACTCTGTAAAGGCTCCCGCTCTCTGTGCTACGCCACTCATTTCAAGACTTTTCACTGGGAGCCCATGATCAAGATTTATTATCTTTTAATCTTCCGTCTACTGCAGAAGTCCTGTTTTATTTGGCAGACCATGAACCATGCAAAACCTGGCATTCAACTTTTTACTAAACAATAAATGAAATAAATTGTGGCATTTATATCTATTCAGATCTAAATTAATCAACTTCCTGGAAAATGTACTTGTCTAGAGAGAAAAGACAGAACATTACTCGTGTCTAGCTCTGCATATAAAGACACTGATTATCACTTGTGTCTTGAAAGGTTTTCACACTTCCAACTCTAAGACATGACTAAATAAATATATCTTTTCATCAAAGCACTCATGATTAGAACTGTTCAGGACCTCACTATCTTGTCAGCATACTGATTTCCCAATTGGATGCGTCTACTTGCGCTCAGTCTTTGGATTGCATTGTGATGCTTATGTTTTCTTATCTGGCTCAACTGCTGTCAATGCATATTTCATTGTTGTATGTATAAGCAGTTGCATGAACCTAATTTGGTTTTATGGTGACGTATAAGTAATAGAGGCAAAAGAGGCAAGGGGAGAGCTTCGCTAACACAAAGCAGGATTAATGTAAACCATTTTTTCATTTCAACATTTAGCCCATTGAATGATCTCATTGACTGTTAATGTATGTTAAATGTTTTTAATACATTCGTATTTTATGAAATACCTTGCCTTCCCCTGATGCCACTTGAGAAGAGAGTCCTTTTCAAGTACAGAACCAGATTGGATTCATCATTGTTAAATGTTAGAAGTCAACTGGAGGCGAGCCAAAGTCAAATTCTGAGAAGAAAGTGGTTACCAATAGTCGTTAGCAGCTGTGACAGGTAAAAAGTAAATCAAAATGCATTGTAGTGGAATGAATTAGTGCCATGCAGTCCCTTCAAAAGGACCTGCAACAGTACTGTTATTTTAAATATTGGCGTGAATGTGCAAGTTTTGGAGGACATGACTATTAGTACCAAGAAGTGTGGCCTTAATACAGTTGTGGTCAAAAGTTTACATACACTTGCAAAGAACATAATGTCATGGCTTTCTTGGCTTTTCTTGGAGTTATTTCTACAAGTCCGATATTTCTCTGATAGAAGTATCTGTTCCAATCACTCTTTGTCACAAAAACATTCATGAAGTTTGGGGCTTTTATGACTTTATTATGGGTTAATGGAAAAAGTGATCAAATCTGCTGGGTCAAAAATATACATAAAGCAGTGCTAATATTTGGTTACATGTTAAATTTGATGGCTTCCTGACATGGACTTGTTTCTTCAGCATTGTCCACATGTTCTAAATGGGATTTAAGTCAGGATTTTGGGAAGACCATTCTAAAACCCTAATTCTAGCCTGATTTAGCCATTCTATTACGACTTTTCATGTGTGTTTGGGGTCATTGTCCTGTTGGAACACCCAACTGCGCCCAAGACCCAACCTTCGGGCTGATGATTTTAGGTTATCTTGAAGAATTTGAAGGTAATCCTCCTCCTTCATTATCTCATTTACTCTCTGTAAACCACCAGTTCCATTGGCTTGGCATGGACTTGTTCAAGTCAATGCTTCGCTTTTTTAGATCCATGCTGAGCGTTTGTATCCAATGATCCCTATTTAAATGGCCTCAGAGACGTCACCAGCTGTAATCACTCATAATCACTCACAAGAAGGTAAAAGGCCATGCTATGAAGCTCATTTCATTGACACAACTTTCTAAGTCACTAAAATTGCTAATTCATGTTGCTGTATGCATATTTTTGACCCAGCAGATTTTGTCACTTTTTATGTTAGCCCCTAATAAAGCACCAAACTTTATGAATGTTTTTTGTGACAAAGTATTTGTTCCAATCACTCTATCAGAGAAAAATCAGACTTGTAGAAATAACGGGAAACTCAAGAGAGCCATGGCATTATGTTCTTTACCAGTGTATGTAAACTTTTGACCACAACTGTAGAAACACGAATATAGTAGGGCGGTGCAGGTGATTGGAAACAGCTGGAAACAATCATGACATGACAGACAATCACAGGGGAAGACAGGACAAGATAAAAGTGTACGGCAATGTGTGTTGTTAGATTCACTAGGGAGAATATCCAAGACTGTGTTGTATTACCTTACCAAAATGCCCATCACTGTGTTTCCCTTTGATTCATGCATGTAGATCTTAATTGCACTGCAGTGTTATGACACTAAAAGCTATGCTGTCATCGCAGACGAAAGGGTGCACGTTTACATAGTGAAGTAGTGCTATTATTGAACCACGATCTTCTCTGTTTGACTTCTATCTGTAAATAATTAATCTTGCTTAATTTCTGAAGCGACATTTGGACTGTGGGGCTTTTGGGCCTTTCTTGTATGACAATGAGTCCGCTACATTGCTACATCAACCATGCTCACATGAATGTGTTCACAGGAAATGTGTTTTGCAGACCACTTTCTTTAAAATAGGGTTGCTGACTGTCGAAGTTTATATGACAGGATATTTTCCACATTCTATAGATAGTCGGAAGTGAAGGATTTGAATTTAAATAGTATTTTCTGTGAATTTAGGATGTAATAGCATACCTTTTGTTTAGTGTATTTTTTTCTATCTTCAGTGCTGGCTGACCTTCTGGAGAAGGTTGTGGCCCATCTATCCAACTCTTCCGCAGAGTGCTTCTTCCCTCCGGCTGAGTACAAAGGTCAGTGAAGAAGAGCAATACTTTGAGAACTTAAAATAAGATAAACGAAGGTCGCTCTGGGGAGTAGTGAAGTAATCCTTGTACATGGGACATCAATATTTTTCTCCCCTGTCCTGGTTGTTACTTTGAGGTATGAAAATGACAATTATCCTTTAAGTAACAGTTTATATGACGGCGACTTCCAAAATGTATGAAAAATACAGCTGCTTTAATCTGATCTACTTATGTCTAATTGTAGTTATGAGCACAAGAAAAACAATATTCTTTATAACAATCATCATTATTAAAACCACATTTTATAATATAATATTTGATATCTCATTGACGTTTCTGTTTGTTAAATAGTGTGTATCGGAATTCCTATAACTGTATTACATCATAATCTTACTGTGCGTGTACTATAAATGTGATTATATATTGCTGAAATGGGGATTGGGTTCTTTAAATAAACAGGTTGTAAACATTGCAAGTTGTTATAAGTTACAATAATTGTTTGCTTTATGTGAAGTAAAATAAAATCATTAATATAAGAATCGTATTCTTAAATCTTCTAATTGTTATGATAGTTTACCTTCTGTCTTTGTCAAATGCTTCTTAATGTATAATATTTGTTATACACTAATGTAACAATTGAGCGCTTAAAACTATATGTATAAAGTGCAGATTAAAATTAATTATAGTTATTCTTATGATTCATTATAGACATGTGTCATATAGAAAGTGCTAGTACATATTATTGAAGTTAAAGGAGCATTTAAAAGTTTGATGGCTTCAACCTCAACATTTAGTTGTCTGCAGGTCGGCAGGATCTTTGTCTTTATGTCTATATTAGTAATGTTTTTCTTGTGTGTATTTTTGCAACCAGATTTAATGAATTCCTTAGTTAGGAAGGACACAACTGTAGGAATGTTTTTAGTCGACATTCTGTGGATTGGAGCTCTCATGTTGAAGGTCTGAATATTGTTGACACACCTCTTGTTGTGTGGGAGTCAGGGACGGTCCCTATGAGCTGGTATACGGTTGTAAAAGTGGAGAAATTCCTCCAAGTATTCAGAGCAGTGTTTTACCCAAGGTTGTAATGTGTTATGTTTCCCATATCAAACGCGTAAATGATATCAGTAGGTTGGCTTGTTTTGTAGCCATGGGGCTAAACAGCTTGATCAGAGTGATGGCAGCTAGAAAAAAAAGCTCCTAATTAGCGAATACCCAGAAAACCCTTCATACTGAAGCACTAATTGCATATTTCTGTCTCATTTTTGTTTTGCAAGATACAGTTAGAAACAGACAATAATATCATGCCCTTCACCCAAAAAACAGTTTTTGCTGTAAACCACATCAACAGAAAGGTGTGAGCTGCTAGTACTACTTCTCACAGGCAGCAATAAATTACCAGTAGCAAGTGTTCCCTGAATAAATTGAATTTTTCCTTTATGTTTAGTAGTTTACAAAACTACCTGCTGTATTAGTGTAAATAATCATACATTTCTAAAGGATGTCATCATTGGAAATAATAAGCATAACATTTATAATTGATTCAACAATGCTTTGTGCCCCTGCTAAAATAATGTATTGATGTCTGTGCAATCATTTGGAACTGATTCATAATATTACGATTAATTATGATAATGAGACTTCTTAAATGCTGGAATGGATTAACCCAAGTGCAGAGATCACCAAGAAGTCAGTACAATTTCAATGCATATATTCAAGATTTTGGAGATGACTGTCGATGAAATAAGCAAATAACATGGGCAGCTGCTTCTCCCTGACTTGACTTGAAACGCAGACGCAAGACCCCCTTGCGTGTCCCTTGCGTGCCTTTTCACACCTCCTTGCGTGCGTCGACCCATTTTTCTAGGCTTCCGTCGAAAAGCGACAAAAGCCTCCCGCAGCGCACAAGGCTGCCATTGGTCTGCTAACTACATCCTTTATGGAATCTCACATTTCCGTTTTCATAGTCCAATACCGCCATTATTAAAACAAAGAATGTTTACGAGTGAACAGATCAGATTGAAGAGCTTTTGTCGGAAGAAATGCGTAAATATGACTACTTCTACAACCCGTCATATAAGGACACGCAAATGGCCTCTGATTCATGGAGGGAGATCTCCGCAAACGTCGGTTTGCCGGTCGAGAAGTGCACAAAGTTGTGGAGGAAAATAAGGGACAAATGTGTACGCGATGAAAAGCAGCAGTGGCGATGCACGGGGCAATAATATATGATAAATAAATAAACAAACCAACGACTTCCACACACAAAGACGTCACTCTTTAGGTCGTCTTCAACAGGAACACGTTACTCCACCTGTTGTTCTGGCGGTGAATTGCTCTGCAACACATGCAAGACTTTTAGAACCATGAATTGAAAAAGACCGAAATGACTGACTGTCACGCTCGATGCGTGACACGTGAGAGCCCTGAAAGTGTGTCAATGGCAAAATATGCAAAGTCGACGTAACTTGTCACGGAAACACCACGTCGTCCCGTTTTGACCCGTGTTTACTCGTCATCCAACTGATCAAGCTAGCATTAGCTTGCTAATAAAAACAGTAAAGCAGTTCGCAGGACTAAGACACGTTATTATTTACTCGCCTCTTTTTGACCATTCATTTTTCAATCTTGTATTTTGTGCTTTGTCCCATATCGGTTATTGTTGACAAATATAGGCCTATTTGTGTTTGTTTAATGCTGTCATATACGGTAGTCTAGCACTTGCGCACATACTGTGAGTTATACGGTAGTTGATGTTATGCCTGTAAAGGGAGACACTGATCCATTAAACCAGCGCGGCTAACTAAGAAGCCTCTAATGCATTTATTTACAAATGCCATTTTACATTACTTAACTTGAACTACAATGATGGTAATAATTTAATGATTAAGCTTCAAGTGAACATGGGGGTGTGTTTGTGAGTGAGAGTTTGTGAGTGTAGTATAGAGAACATGTTCTGATGTTAAAACAAATCCTGTTACATTTTCTGATTAGCATTTTTCTTTTTTTTAAATGTATTATGTTCAAGGAGCAACATGTAGTTTCTGAAGTATTTTTGCAACGTGAATTTGCAGTTCTGTTTTAGACTAAAGGGTTGGAAATTAAAGCTTTTTATTTGCTGTTTTTTAATGCTGTTTTTTTTATCCAATTCATTGATTAATCAAATTAATAATCGGCCAATTAATCGATTATCAAAATAATCGTTAGTTGCAGTCCTACTATTATGTATGACTATTCACACTAGAGTATCCAGCGCGAACAAACTTAGTTAATTGATAACCTTACTAATATGTGTCTGCAATACGCATTCGCACAATAACCGCAGCGATGGTGGGTTTCAGGGATTTACCAACTCCGGCATGTTATCCTTATTGAGACCCAAACTGTGCATTTGAGTGAAGCGCTAAATGGCCAAACACCAAATGGGCACTGCACGGGCACTTTTCCAATAATGATGTAACATTTTTCCATTCGATTTTGATTTGATTTGAATGCCTCCCCACAGTGTATTTCATATCTTTTATCAGTATCAGCACAGAGGCATTCCTTTGTGTTTGTTTTGATAAATGATTTAAGTTTACTCAAAGCACTTTATATTTACACATTATGACATTCATGTTTTAAATGCTGAAATGCTAATCACATTTAATTTACTAAATTGTATTAATATTAAACACTCCAGACATTAGATTGATGACTGATGACCAGTCTCTAAATAGTTTGTATGTCTATAACGTCTATCTGATGTACACGCACTTGCTGCATCCTGGACAATGATTATTTTCCAAACTAGTTGTGATGTCACAGAATCGTGATTATATATACATGAGGTTACATTCTCAACCTCGATCCTGTCTTGCTAGACATTCAACTATTTCCATTAAATAACACGACTGGACTCTTAAATGGAACAAACTCTTTCTGGCACTCATTAACTCTCACTCACATGTCTGCTGTTGTCTTCTGGCAATAAGTCACAAACCAAACAGCTCAAATATGACTCTGTCCGTACGTTTAAGAATAGCCTGGAGAATTACAATGGATTTCAACCATGAAATCACCATATTATCATTGCTTTGAAATGAAGTTTATTTTATGTACTTTATACTTCATAGAAACGCACTGTTATCCCATTTCTTCCGTCAAACATTCCGACCACCTAATAGTCTATGAGGACCCCAGACAGCTGTCATGGCTGTCGTTGAATTCTGCTCTCTCAGTCCCATTTGTGTGCGAGAGAGTGTGTGTGTGTGCAGCGGGGGTTAACGGGTGTTAGTGGGCTCCTCTAGTGTTTGATTGAGGTTGACTACAGTCTCCCCTATATGGGTGCTCCCATTGTCTGGAGGGAGCGGATTCATTTGGAAAGTATTAACCTTTGTCAGTTCACTGTTCTCAGTTGTATCTCCTCACCCTCCATGGCCCGACTACTGAAGGCAGCTGTCAAGCAATCTCATTATTTTAGCTGCCTGTTGAAATTGGATGGTGGGAAACAAAGACTGACTGTCATATCTTAACACATCAGATTGATATTTACACTTTCTTGTATGAATCCTCCTTTAAATAGATTCCTTAGTACATTCTGCTTTTGGTTACATCACCTTCTTTTTTTTCTTTTAACCAAATTCAGAGCAAAAAAAATTATGGAAGTGGCTGGTTGTAGATTTTACCCATCAGAATTGTAACGCACACGCTTTCAATAAAGTTGACAAAGTGTGTGACTTTGAGTGAGTGATTGGACAGTGTATACGTAGTTCCAGATGTCCTGCAGGGTCAGCGATGTCCTGCGTAGCGGGTCTGCAGATGTCAAAACTAAAAGGCCGTCATTCCACTCCAATGGTCTCTCCCTTCATGTTCAGCGTTGTATGGTTAAGGTAAACATATGGTACCAGACTAAGCTTAGACAATACAATGCATCTTTGGCTTGTAACTTGCAAAAAATTCGGTTATGGTTGCAAGCTCCACTTATTGGCTTTTTCTGAAGGTTTCAATCACAACCCACACCAGGATATTATGTTTGTTTAGTTGTCATGGACCTGCAGATACAGATCACCTTCAGGACTTTGAACCTCATTCTTAATTTAGGAAACAGCTGTTTTATCTTGGTATGACTGAAAGGCCAGGAGCGGAGAGAATTTGCGAGGGAGGTAATATGTACAATAAGAGAGCATTCATCTTCATCAGACAGTAATTGCCATCAGCAAGAGGTTTATAGAGATGTTAATATGTGATGAGAGAAAATACGGCACTAGTTGTTCTGGCAGTATTTCATGCCTCTGTCACCAGCTATTTTCTATCAATTAATGCAAGAATTGATTGCCTGTTATTCTTCCATATTGCTCTGCTCTGGTTTTTCAACGGATTTATCACTTTGATATGTAGATTACAGGCACCGTATTATTATTTCCCTCTCATATTTCTGCACCATTAGTCTGTAAATTGGATTTGAGGTTTTCTGTGCCACTTAATTTTTAGTGAGATGAGAAGATTTTGATAATTAATAGAAAAAGTATTATCCATACAAGCCTGTCTGAAGCAGGGGATCCATTATCAAAAATGTAATAATATTCCTTTTCCCCATAGCTAGGAAGCAGTGGAAACATTTTCCAAAACAAAATATCAGTGCTCCCAAAGTTATTGCTTTATTCATCGCTCTCTCCTCGCAATTACAACCGTAACTCCAAAAACTAATATATATTTTTATGATTCTGCACACTTAATGGGGCTAACAAGGAGCCCATGAGAGCAGCTGGTAAGACTGATAGCTTGACAATCTGTACAAAGCTGTGGCATGTGGATCTAAAGCTGCCCTGCTGCAATCTTTTCAGCTGCAGCCGATTCCTGCTCCACAGATAAAGTCCTGCGATAAAAGGCCTTCTCACAGGGGCCAACATTTCACGCTGCGTTTTCTTCCAAAAGTACACTACACTCCTCAAAAAGAAAGCGGTGGTGAAATTACCCGTGGCTGAGCGACAGTAAAATGACCTGAGTCACCTTGATGCCACACTATCTCACAAACATCACAATTAAATGGCAAAGAATCACTGTCAAACTGCCAACAATGAACACACACAGCATCAAACCCGTAGTGTGAGACATAATACGTTCTTATGTTTATTGATTCTCTGCAGTGGTAACGTTACTGATGTCCAGGGAGTGTTGTTCCGCCAAAAAATTAAGCCATATCCTTATATTCTCTGGGTATTGCTTTGCTTGGTATTAAATACATCTGATTTTTAATTTCTTTGTTTTACAGCAGAGGAGAAGAATGTAACGCGTGTTGTGTTATCTTCTGTGGAGCAGCTGGGAATCAACACTTGTCTCAGGTATGCATAGCTATAGGTGTTTTTTCTATCTCAGGCTCAATATTAAAACTAACTCTAAAACAGTTTACTTCAATCATTAATTTAAAAGTGTCATTTCAGTCGGACAGCAGAGCTCACAGTGAGAGCCTGCTCCCCAATGCGGCACATAAAGATAAAGTGCATCTGGCCTCAGGTTCTGGTTTCAATCCCTCAGTCACAGAGGAAAGGGGTTGCTTCTTTTTTAGGAATGAAAAGGTCAATGTTGAAGGAAAAAAAAATATTATCTAGATAGACTGGATTGAAATGGAGTGCAACAAGAAGGGACGTTAGCGGTTTTCCAGGTTCAGTAGCCCCCTACAGGCTGTGTAAAGGCCACAAGGGGCTACTGGGTGCAGCTGTGTACAGAGAAATAATAAGATTCACCTCAACCATTTCCAGCAGAGCATTAGACCCCAACACCTGTGGAAGGTGTGGAAGGGTTCTCCTGCTGTTCTGTTTTCACCTAAATGTTTCAGCCCGTGTCCACTATCTAGTCTGCTCTTTATTTTCTCATTACTTGACCCTCTGGCTGAGTTACTGCTCGCACACTGCTCTTTTTTGTCCTACAACAAACACTGAACATTGAAACATTACAAAACATTTTTTTTGTAAAATCCCCAAGAGGGAGCTTTCTAGATACGTTTTAGAAGATGTCTTATGTTTACATTCGCTAAACTGACAGAACAAAATTCAAAACAGACCACTTTTAGTTTGTGGAAGACCATTTTGATGATTACTTCTGTGTCTTTGCCGGAAGTCTAAGTGTTTTGTTGTCTCTTTAATATTAAATCCCATTGTGTTATTGTGGGGGATTCATAGAAAATACAGGACACAGTGATTTTGTTTGTAATGAGCAATTGAGAGGCTGTGTAGTTCATTTGTACCTTATAGAACTCGTGGTTTAGTCCCTTCAAAAGGTGCAGAGATGACATTTGACTGGTAAAAAAAACAATCACAGAATCTGTGGCACGGAAACATACAACATACACACATAAGAGTCCCCCTCTTTTCTTTTATCTACAGGTATGGCAGCGATCTCAAGCTACTGGCAGACGATGCTGTGAATGCCTCCACTCTGCTAATGAAGCATATTAAGATCTTCTTGTCCACGCAGAAAGTCAAAACCGCTTCAGAACTAAGTATCCTTTATAGACTCTTGACACGGGTGAGGTATTCCCCCATTCTTTAATTTTGTACATTTTCGAATGCGGATTATATTACTCTTTGTATCCTAAATAGCCATTGATAGACCTCCTCTCTCCTCCAGAATGTTTCTTTTTGTGTGTGGGAAATCGAACATGAAAACACTCAGTAGAGATAAAGACTCCACAAATATAAAACAGATTAACAGAGGTGTGCATCTTTGGCTCCTTTTATCTAAAATCATCAATCGGGTGCTTGGTGTTATTGATGTTGCCTGGTTCATTGTTCTTGCTTCTTGCGGTTGATTGGGAGGAAGTCTTATAACCACTTGGAGAGTGAGTTTCACAAGCTCTGTTTCATGGGGGAGATTGTGTGAGCAAATTGTGGTGTAGATATTTCTAGATGAGGTCGCATTCGAGTGGAGAAGACATCTTCTGTGTATCTGTTTGCCCTTTGTGGAAACGGTTGGGAGTTGCGTGCTATGTGGGTTTTTTGTTGGTGTTGTTGATGATGATGTGCTGGAGAACCAGTCCTTCGGAGTAGAGCGCAGTCGTCTTAGTTGTTGTCTGTTTTGAACCCTCTCCGGTGACAGTGATATGTTGAATTCATCAGTGAGGACAGCGTAAGGTGGTTTGCACATGTTCTCGATACACAACCATGGATGTAATGAGACCCTGCGGCTTTACTTCGAGTCACTCTTTACTCCTATTCTCTCTCATCAGGATTTTCCCTTACAACTGCTGTGAATACAGAGAATGGCTGGTCCTCTGGAGGTTGGGCAGACTCTACTACCGACTCTTTGTTGAGGAGATCAAAGAGCATAAAAGGGATTGAGCTCATCTGGTAAACTGTTCGAACACATGACGGGGCGCTCCTTCTTTGGTTGCTTGAGGCATTCTAGATAGGCTGCCACATATATTTAGGGTTGTTGTTGTTCAGGTGTGTTTCCCTGTCACCTGTTCGAAAGCAGTTCTTTTGGCTTTAGACAAAACTCAACTCGCCATTCGTCAAAGGAAAGATATTATGTGGACCAGGCTGGATAGCTTACAATAATTTAAATTGTACTGAAAACTGTTTTAAATAATTTTAGTTGCAGAACTGTCATTTAATGTAAGGTTTTTCAGAGAGAAGCATTAAGTCATTAGTTTGATGGGAGATTTTTATTTTTTTATTTCATAATTCTTTCATTCAAAATTATTGCTTGAAGAAGGGTACTACAAACCGACCAACTAACTCAGTCTTTTAAACTACATCCAGTAAATGTTTTAATATTCCTGTTTGCACAGTTACAGATTTACATTATTAAATTACATAACCGGTCATTTAGCTGACGCTTTTTATCCAAAGCAACATTGCATTTTTAACCCATGGCTTTTTACATTTTTGCCTGGGGAGCAATTAGGAGTTAGCTGTCTTGCTCAGGGACAGTTCAACATGGTACCTGGAGCAGCCAGGGCTTTAACTGCCGACCTTGCATTTCCCGGCACACCCGCTCTAACCCTGCGCCACGTCGACCACACCTTATTCTAAGGCAGAAACTCATAAGAAAACTGGATGTGTTGTTAGCCTGGGGATGTTTTCTAGAGTAAAACCAGATAGTCTTCTCACTCCCCGACTAATAGCTCCATAGTTCTCCTGCGATAGGACCTGCATATCAGGGCAGTCTTGCTAGCTGCAAGCTGCAGGATCTAATTTCATTCTTACGATGTCCAAATGAAACTGCATCACAGGTCGACTTAACCAATTGAGGGAGTTGGATAACTAAGAGTCTGATTTTGTTGTGATCATGGTGTCAAATTGTGTTATTTAGTATTCTCGTCCTTTCCGGCGTAATGTGATGTTCACAACGCACGGTGGCAACCTGTGAGATTATAAATTATTCATATTGGCTGAATCTCACACAGAATTCACACTTGACTTCTCATCCAAAAGAATACACACACACACACGCACACGGACGGATGATGTGATGCCTAAACCAGATCTCTACAAGTCCTGTAAAATATATACATAATCAATAAAGTTAAGCTTTGATAATATTTGTGTAACTAATTAAGCGGTTTTCCGTCAAGAAAATCCGTCAAGTGAAATTAATCAGTTTGTTTTCTTTCTGACACTTTGATGCACAGCCAGCTAGATTAATTAGTATTTAAATGCAGAGGTTGTTACTTCATTCAGATTTATTTTTGCATGCAAAGTGATACTTTCCATTCATAATAGCTGTAGGCAATTTAAGTGTGTCTGCATGGGTCTATCCCATATTTATATTTATTTATGTACTGCTTTAATGTTACAAAACTAATCTAATCTAAAGAGCTATGTAAGTTTAGTATTAGCCTGAATATATTTTCCAGCAGTCCTTTGGCTCTTTAACCTTGTCCTCCAGTCTCTCAGCAGGGCGGCTATCCAGGCCATGACTGGCTGGCCTCCACAGTGTTCCTAATCATGGCTGGAGACATGAACCGGTCTCTAGGTCTGCTACTCAACCTGTCCTCTCTGCTCACCTCTGCATTCATCTGGCCAGCGAGGATAGATGCCTCTGTGAGTAGAACAATGTCCAAACAGGACTACAGTACAGCGGATCAGCTACTTTTTGAATATGCAGCGACTGCCATCGGGGTGTGAGCGGGTGGGAATGGTTAACTATCCCTGAAGGACGGTGGTCTGCCATTGATGAGTGTCCTTGGGTGGATAACATGAGTGATCGGAAGACCAAATGTCGCGGTACATTTACCAACTGTTAATGACTTCTAAAAATGTCTCTTCTTGCAGATTTTTTAATCTGCGTGCAAGTTGCATTAAAAGAGGTTCATGTGACTTTGATTAACATGTCAGTTCTCTAACTTACCTCCAACTCCTGACAAATTCAACATCTCATTTAATCCCACCGCTTTTTATACAAAGCACGTCAACAATCACAGCGTGGTAGACATAATTAAATAAGGATGATAAATCATAAGGACATTTATCCCAATAACTGTCATTTTTCACTTTTCAACATAGTGGAGTGAATATCTTTTATTCATCTGATAAGGACAGTTGTTCTAGAACAAAGACAATGAATTACAGTCTAAAACAAGGTCTTGCTTTGGCCTTTATACCAACCAAAGCTTTTGTCATCCAAACCAACTGTATCATCTTGTGTTCACCCATCAAAGGCCCAACAGCTCAGTTGCACTAGTCCGTTACGTGCCCTTCTGCGCTTATGATGCAGACGCAGCCCTTTGATTTCTGTAAATAGCAGTTATTCTCCAAGTACTCAAATGTGATGAATGTGCAATAACCTAGTGTTTTTAGACAAATGTTATTATGAGAAAGTACTGATGTATAGGGTATGATCGTCAACCTCCCTCCACAAACCTTTACAAACTATTGTCAGTATCATCATGCAGGCAAACAAATCAGAAGAACTTGCCCCTCGACTCTTGTGTTTTCCTCCTGTTATCTCTGAGCACCGCCCTGCTGATTGGCCGGCGTAGGTATCCCCCAATCACTGGGATGGCAGATTGCCTGACAGGAGAGAAAAAGAGTAACACAAGGGGCCGTAAGGGGGAAGGTATCTTGCCCCAGCCTGACACGTAACAGAGGGCATGAACACAAACACTCACACACCAACCTATCTGGACACAAAGCAGCAGGCTCTTTGGTTTGCTCAAATAAAAGCTAATACAAGTGTTCTTGACTGCGTTCCGAGTTGAAAAAGCTTGTGGTTGTCATGACAGGTCCATTTTCCTGTGGAAGATTCAGGAATCCCTCCTCTTTACTGGTGTACAGCTCACTACGTGGAGATGCTGCTGAAAGCTGAAGTTCCTCTGGTACACTCCGTCTTCAGGATGTCTGGTTTCACCGCGTCACAGGTATGATCAGTAGAGAAGTAGGCAAACACTAACAAACGACTGGTGCAAAATGATCTCTTGGACTAAGATTTAGAATAAAACAGACAGTTTTAAACGTTTTGAAAGAAAAACGTTTAAAACTGTAAAAGACGTTTGCCTCAATTTCACACAAATGTTTAATAGTATATAATGACTTGAATGAAATGAGGTGATGACATTTAGGAACGACGTGTAAACTGGACTGGTACATGGAAGAGTGATTTTGCAACTCTGTAAAAGACCGAAAACAGCTTTAAAGCCTTCACCACCACGCTTTGCATACCCTTTTTTAATCCACTAAACTAGATCAAAAAAAGCGACTTTGACATTGAATCTTTTTTGCTCTTCTTTTTAAACGGCATTTGAAAAGTGAGTTCTTTGTTCTTCTGTCCTTATTTCTCTCTCGCAAACAAGACGGAAGAAAGGTTCTTTCACCTTGAATCCTCCGTTTGATCCAGGTTTTAGTTTGTCGCTGTTTGACAGTTGAGGTTCACATGACGCACGTCAGCAGGGGCACTTATAACACTCGCCGCATTTGCATCAAAGAACCAAACTCGCCGTCTCCAGGGTGGAGTAAAACATTCCGCTCATCTCTTTGCTCTAGTGGCTGATAATGTTGGTGATAATGACCATTCCAAAAAGTTTGAGATTTACAGCCGTACAAAACGGCAGCAGCAAATTAAGCTTTCTACACCTTTCTACAGGATGTCTGTGGACGTAGGCCTCAGTCGGAAACCATCTACAGAAAATATAAGTATTTGAAACATTCTGCCTTGAGAATGTGTGTGTGTTTGTTTGAGTGAAAGGAAGAGGCGTTTCAACAGTAGTTGGCTTTAGTCTGAGCAGTCACCTGTGGTAAAGGCAGGATGAAGGTAAAGGAAGGAAGAGGAAAAGACACTGAGGGGAAAGAAAAGAATAGTGTTGTTCATGTGTCCTTAATAAGAGACAATGCCTGCCTGCCCCTTACTGATCATTGATATATTCTGGAAGAAAACATCTGCAGAATATTTTAGTTGTTAATCCTTTAGTCTATAAAATTACATTAAAACAAAGTCCCTGACCCTTCCTCAATGCTTAGGATGGTGTTTTAAAATTGTGTCTGAATATTATTAAATATTTTACTGTTAATATGAAAATACACTGTAGTGCAGCTGTAAGTATGTCACAGTGTCAAACAACACAAAGAGGGTTTGGTAGCGATATCAGGCAATGAACACAAAATGAAAGATGAAATTATTCCTGAGTATATGTTGCAATAAGTTAAATGTATTCATAAACACCTATACTGGCAAGTATCTGTGCAAAACAATATTTAGAATCATCACTCGTCCCTGCTGCAGCACATTCAGTTAGTGTTTCACACGCAGATATGTCAAGGTAAGCCGGCTGGGGTGACCTGACCGGCTCAGATTCATAACAGCATCTAAAAGCCTCTTTATGACAGAAGGAGACTGAAAACCAAAGTAAAGAATACCGTCAAAAGGAGCTGTGCTTGGAAGAACCGTAGAGGGCTTTACAGTCACAGAAAGTTCTGTATCTGTTCTACTTGTTTTCCTGCCTGAGGGTTTAAGAACAAAGCGCGGCATGGGTCCAGTTCCCTGTTTTTATTACAATCCACAAATTAGTTTGTCAGTATTTTCATTACACTGTAGCTGAGGAGACAAGGGTTGGAAATAATTGAATATGTTTAGTGGAGCTAGTTTTGTATGCTGAGCAGACTTGTGTCGAAAATGATTGTTGTCTATCTGGATATATGGGTGTGAAACGCTGTCTGACTGTAGTCAAATCTCATTCATGAACAGCAGTGTTGAGCCAAATGAAGAGAGGACGATAATGCTCCCCGTAGGGCTGTGCACATACATGTGCTGTACACGTATTCCTTTCAGGCTTCTTTCTAGAGGCATTGTAATGTCGGTCCACCACTTGAAAATTAAATATTTCATTGTTTGCAGTGCATATATAATATATATATATATATATAATATAACGACCACTTTGTGATCCCATTTATTCTTCCTGTAGAGCTTGTGGTTCTCACTATAACATCAACTACTTTTCGATGGATTGCCATGAAATATGTTGCAGAAATCCGTGTTTGTTCATCCAATAGTTTGGTTTAAGACCGAAACGTTACTAGCCGTTTTCATCCATTGTCAAACCGCTTATCCTGCACACAGGGTCGCGGGGGGCTGGAGTCCATCCCAGCCAACTTCGGGCGATAGACAGGGTACATCCTGGATTGGTCGCCAGCCAATCGCAGGGCCAACACAGAGACATACAACCATTCACACTCACATTCACGGGCAATTTAAAGTCCCCAATTAACCTGATCCCCAGAGCATGTCTTTGGACTGTGGGAGGAAGCCAGAGAACCCACGCAGACACGGGGAGAACATGCAGACTCCACACAGAAAGGCCACCCTGGGCGGAATCGAACCCAGGACCTTCTTGCAACAGTGCTAACCACCACGCCACCGTGCCGCCCTAGCCGTTTTCAGATTTTTTTTAATTTAACGGTAAAACGCCAAGGGAATTTAAAAATGAGAGATATCCTAAAGATGATGAGTATCGACGTTTTTACTTTACATTGATGACATTGTATGATTGCATTGATATATTATATATATATATATATATATATATATATATATATATATATATATATAATATACGGATCAATAGATTCTTACTTCCTAATGCCTCCCACCCTAAAGTCTCCCCCTTTACTTGCTAGCTGTGAACGTTTACGTTCATGATGACGCTATCATATGTTTTCTTACACATATGTGTGTTTCTCCCTCCGACAGTCTCCCATGGACTTGCAGCAGTAGTTGGACAGCGCACTTTTGTGTATTGCAATAATCACACTGATGAACAAACACGAGTAACAGGAAAGACTAAAAGACTTTCAGAGTTGTTGATGCACAGTACAATCCCTATGGATTATGTGAAGTCTATCTCCCATTCTTTGTTACTAGATTATTCTGAATCATTTATTTAGGAGAAACTATATCTGGTTTAAAATGCAGCAGCAATACTTGTCATTTTTGTTTTTGCTGGTTTTAAATCTGAAAGCTACTGTACTTGTGAAAAACAAAAGCAGTTTTAACATTTAAAAAGCGTGCTTATTGCTAATAAAATCCACCTCAATCATTCATTCTGGTGTTCTGGTAATTTCCTCCGACTTCCAATGTTGGGATCGAGCAGGAGCATGTTTGGTTATCAGCAACTAAGATTTTTACATTCTAAATATTTTATTTATCTGAAGACAAATGGTCCAAAGTATTTCTATTCTGTTGATGGTTCATTTTTTCAACATAATAATCCTGGAAATTATTACTTTTCTTCTGACAGATGTGCCTCCACTGGTTGACTCAGTGTTTTTGGAACTACCTGGACTGGACAGAGATCTGCCACTACATTTCCACCTGTGTGGTGATGGGTCCTGACTACCAGGTGTATATGTGTGTGTCCATATTTAAACATCTGCAGCCAGACATCCTTCAGCTTACACAGTCACAGGAGCTGCAGGTCTTCCTCAAGGTGAGATGAAGCATCAGTACTACACTATATTCTATACACGGACCATCAAACTCCTCTTACGTTGGCATTGTTCAGTAGTGTTAATAAATCAACAAAGCCATACGATGCTTTACCAAGGCTATCTTTGGGAGAAGCAGTCCCTTACTGCTGTTTAAAAATGAATGACTGGATTAAATATATGAAGTGTCTGTATTTAATGAGAAATCTTGTGAATTGGCTTTGGTAGGACTTCACTGAATAGTTCCCTCCCCTAATTTTAAGAATTAGTTCACGAAAAGGTGAAAAGAAGCCAATTCTGAAAGTTAACATGTTCTGGGAATTGGATGAACGCTGAATTGAATTGAGTTTCCCCAAAGCTTTGATAAAAGGTCTTAAGTTACGGCCCGAGATGTCTACCTTCTATCAACATCCAAGGCAACATTAAATACCAGCATTGTAAATTAGGCCTGGCTTAACATGAAGGACTCATCATCATTACTCATTAAGCGCTTCAGTCAGTCTCTGCCTCATCGCTCTGGTGTTAACATCGTCGTGAGCCACTGCTGACAGTTTTTGAATAAAAGATCAGTTATGTAGGCTTTATCTGAGGAAGTTATCCTAATGATCTGTAGCATCAGATACTGCTGCAAGATACAGCATTGAGACGTGTGTGCACGTGTGTTTAAGAGAGAAAAACACTTCCAATCCTCATCCTAAGCCAAACTGTTGAAAGTTTTAGACATACGGGTTTGCGTCCAATGGCGTTGTCTCTCTGTGGGAACAATGAAGGAATTATTTCACTCCAAAAGATGTGGTATTGAATGCTATTTTAAATATTCACACACACACACACAGATTGGCCCTGGTCTTTATTTAACCCGTCTCTATGGGGGTTATATCTATATTTCATCTAAATTAAAATTTGAAAAGCCACATGACTCGTTTAATGTAATGTTCTTGTATTTATGTTGGTCATCCATTTCTGATTCATAGAAATCAGAAACACACCTTTTAAAGAACATCCGTAAAGAAATAAACTACTTTGCAACTTACCATTCCATGCCTAACGCTAAACACTACCACGAGGATCACACTCGTTAGAGGCAAGACACTGTCTGTCTCTTTGAGTCTCTGTATGCAAATGAAGGGGTTGCCATTTAACATTATTGAGTTGCAGCGTAATCTCTGTAGCCCCATTTCCACAGGACTGTACAGCACAGTCTGACTTGGGGACCTTCAGTAATTTGTAACCATTGCGTAAGTCATCTGTGATGTTATCCCCTGCACATCTGTTCATGTGTTAATAGATCTGTGTGAATCAGGATCTCTGGGATTCAGGGTCTTTTGTTTGTTTTCCCCGCACCTCGGGACGGATGTTATGCAGAGCCTCGAGAGCACATCCGGAGAATAATCACTGTAAATTGACGTCAAATACAGACTATTAACGTGCAATGCAAATACGCCGCACAAAAAACACGAGGGATCATTTCTAAATCGCATGAGGTCTCACTAGTGCGAGTAGGACTTTTGGCATTGATTGGGTACCAATACTACATACTACTAGCTAGTATGTGGTTTTTACGAACCAATAAGACACTTAAAAACTTAATGTATTCCTATTACTTCCGACTTTTATGCAAATACGAACTCATTGAATATTAATAGGAGTCATTTGTCATGGGAGGATAGGTCTAAAATAATCTTGATAATGAATGCATTAATTAGTGTACCTAATGATCTTATAAGTGCAAATGGTTAATATATCTTGAATATTATGAGGTACATTAAGCAGCTTGTGACAGCTATTGAGAATGAAAATATTGAACTAAACATCAGTATTATTGTGATAAAGGAATCAGTCAGGCCCTAAGTGATCTCCGCTGGTAATCTGTACTCTTCCCTCACGGGTTTAACTTTTTCTGCAGCTGGTGCAATAACCTCTAGTGAATCAAGTGAACTTATGTTTGCATGTTTTTTCAGGAGTAATCTCACTATGTCTAATTAATCTTGGTTTAAAGGATCTAACATGTGGGGGACTTTTTAGACTTACATAGAACTTAGTACAGGGCCATTACATCTTGATAAGAATAATAATAGTGATACATTAACCATCCGGATGGACAGGTTTTTCGCACAAACAAAATATGGAATTAATAGACCTAACTAGTTGTGTAGCTGGTACTGCTGACAATAAGCCTACACTTTGTTAACATCAATATATCTAATAAGCCTAAAATGGGACCTCAAACTCATAATACCATACTATTAAAACAAGATTTGTCTCTTATAAAGTGTACTATATGTAGTAGTACACTGCTGCCTTGAATAATCACAGTAGCAGTAGAGAGTCCTCCATCAGACCGAAAACCAATTATTTGATTTATTTATTTATTTATTTATTTATTTATTTATATATATTTACTCCCCTCTAAACAATCGCCGCTCTGCGGCCACTTTATCTGCCCCGATTAAATATTAAAACCCATTGTTTTGTTTGCTCCATTTTTTAATTTTGCTTTTCACTCCTTTTTCTTTGTGGATGATATTATCTCATAAAGGACAGAGCAAAGCTGAATCTGAGTCGTTGGTATTTGAGACAATTTCAAGGATAGTAGTTAAGGTAAAAAAATCTTAATGGTTCCCAACATTTTCGGCTTTTGTCTTAAAACGCAGCAATATTTACATGTAAAATGTTAGTTCAAGTTAGATATGGTGTTGTGACATACAGTGCATCCGGAAAGTATTCACAGCGCTTCACTTTTTCCACATTTTGTTATGTTACAGCCTTATTCCAAAATGGATTAAATGTATTATTTTCCTCAACATTCTACACACAACAACCCATAATGACAAAGTGAAAACTGTTTTTTGCAAATTTTTGCAAATCTGTTAAAATAAAGAACGAAAATATAACATGTACATAAGTATTCACAGCCTTTACTCAATACTTTGTTGAAGCACCTTTGGCAGCAATTACAGCCTCAAGTCTTCTTGGGTATGATTCCACAAGCGTGGCACACCTATTTCTGGGCAGTTTCTCCCATTCTTCTTTGCAGAACCTCTCAAGTTCCATCAGGTTGGATGGGCAGCGTCGGTGCACAGCTATTTTCAGATCTCTCTAGAGATGTTCAATCGGGTTCAAGTCAGGGCTCTGGCTGGGCCACTCAAGGACATTCACAGAGTTGTCCCGAAGCCACTCCTTTGTTATCTTGGCTGTGTGCTTCGGGTCGTTGTTCTGTTGGAAGATGAACCGTCGGCCCAGTCTGAGGTCCAGAGCGCTTTGGAGCATGTTTTCATCGAGGATGTCTCTGTACGTTGCTGCATTCATCTTTCCCTCAATCCTGACTATTCTCCCAGTTCCTCCCGCTGAAAAACATCCCCACAGCATGATGCAGCCACCACCATGCTTCACTGCAGGGATGGTATTGGCCAGGTGATGAGCAGTGCCTGGTTTCCACCAGACATGACGCTTGGCATTCAGGCCAAAGAGTTCAATCTTTGTTTCATCAGAATTTTGTTTCTTATGGTCTGAGTCTCCCAAACCGGCCTGATTTGTGGAGTGCTGCAGAGATGGTTGTCCTTCTGGAAGGTTCTCCTCTCTTCATATAACAACGCTGGAGCTCTGTCAGAGTGACCATCGGGTTCCTGGTCACCTCCCCGACTAAGGCCCTTCTCCCTTGATCGCTCAGTCTGGCTGGGCGGCCAACTCTAGGAAGAGTTCTGGTGGTTCCAAACTTCTTCTATGTCCGGATGATGGAGGCCACTGTGCTCATTGGGACTTTCAATGCTGCAGAAATCTTTCTGTACCCTTCGCCAGATCTGTGCCTCGATACAATTCTTCCCCGGAGGTCTACAGATAATTCCTTGGACTTCATGGCTTGGTTTATGCTCTGATATCCACTGTCAACTGTGATACCTTATATAGACAGGTGTGTGCCTTCCTCAATCATGTCCCATGGCAAAAACAGTTCTCACTTTCTCATTATGGGTTGTTGTGTGTAGAATGTTGAGGAAAAAAATGAATTTAATCCATTTTGGAATAAGGCTGTAACATAAAAAATGTGGAAAAAGTGAAGCGCTGTGAATACTTTCCGGATGCACTGTAGGTTGCTTAGTCCCTCCCATTGCACCTTCATTTGGAAAGAGAGATAGTCACGGGCCTGAGACAAATCATTTTCTTTAACCCGTTTGAATTATAGAATGAATTACACACGTTTGTCGAAATTACATTTAGGTAACAGCTGGGTGTGTAGTCTTTCCAACAGTCTACAACAAAAATGATCTTTTATATTGACAAACGCATGTCATTTATGGCAAGATTCAAACAGGATCCAAAACCTTGTGTATACCGTATATACCATAGGGATTTCTTCCCAAAATAGATTATAGTCCAGCGGCCAATCTAACCTTGCAGAACTCAGGGATTATAGAAAAGTGTAAAAGGTAGGTTTTAATCCTTTCCGATCCTGTTATTAATCTTGTGACCTTTCAAAGATTATTTTAGAGAGCCCTTCAGGGTGTCCCAACGTCAAGGTCGGGAAACAGTTGCTTTAGCTATCACAAGAAGTTATACGTGTGGAAACCTTTAATTTCACTCCTACTACTGACTGTGTTAAGTAATTTTCTGTTTTTTTTCCACTAAAAAAATTTGATAATCCAAAAACAAATACTACATAATAGTTTTTATTTCAAAGGATTTTCAGCTGGATACTGACTGGGTGCTGCTAATTGATGACGCCATTTACACCAAAATGCACAGCGATCCCAGTTGTTTGCTTTCCTCGTATCAAATGTCCCATTAACCAGCTCAAATTAACGACAAGCTATCTCGGTTCCTGAAAGGCTGAACCGCGCTCAAACCGCCTCGTTAGTTTGAACCAGATGTCAGTCCTCAGGATAATCGCGCGTTCTACGTCAGAAGGCAGAATAGTGGATCACCGAAACCAGGAGTTTTTTAACAGTACAACGGCATATAAGGAGATAATGTTTATTTTAATCCTTTCTGTTCTATGAATTGAAAGTGTTGTACAACTTTTACGTTGTTCATTCTGTACGTCCATCCCGGGGAGGATCCTCCTCTGTCTCTCTAAATGTTTCTTCCCTTTATTCTCCCCATCAAATGCTTTTTAATTTTTTGAGTTTTTCCTCTGCCGATGTGAGGGTTTCAGGACAGGGGGTGTCGCGTGTGTACAGACTGTAAACCCCTTTGAGGAAAATTAGATTTTGTGCTATAGAACATAAAATTAATAGAATCAAATTATCCTGGAAAAAACAGACACCGCCTTCCTGCGATGCTACAAGCCCGACAAAGTATCGCAGACTAGTTAAATGCGTAAGTGTTGGGAAACTGTATAGGCTACTTTTAAGTGCCTCATCAGTCTAATCAATCAGATTATATTTCCTTAAAAATGCCTGCTGGCAGAAGGCTTCATGAAATGCATCATCCAATGAGATCTTGTTGACGAAAATAATTCTTTATAAAAATATTCCTAGGCCTTCATAATACACATTGATCATTACTTCATTTGAAAACAGCAACAAGTTATATCAAAATGAAAGCAACAAGGTATGATGCTTTTAATCTCTAGTACGGATCAAAACCCACAAAATGCTGGATCCTACATCTTACATAATGCCCGCTGTGACATATGTCTGTTTACGTCCTCTGCCTGGTAAATGCCTTGGTACAATGTTGAGAACTACAACCGCTCTTTCTTTTCACCGGCAGGAGGATCCAATCCGGGGCTTTGAAGTTGGCGAATACTTGTCGTTCATGAAGGAGCTGGAGCGCAGCTACAGACATATTGTTCTCACAGACATGAAAACCATCAGTAAATCTGTCCACTAAGAGAATGTTTACGAAGGATATTGTTTTTATTGGTCAACTGTAATGTACTATAAAAAAAAAAAACTACAGCTCTGGATCAGATTCAGTAAGTACCTGTATGTATCTCATGACCATGCTTCAGTATGTGAGGACATTAATGGAAACCAATTGGGCCACAGTATTGTAATCAAATTTGTTTCATTCGAAATAATAAAATGAAATATGGAAATATAGATACGTGGGATGATATTCTGTTTTTTTATCATCAACAAATGAAAAGGTGAAAACCAAGACCAAGAAACAAAGAACTTCCTTCAATTTCCCTCTAGTCTAAATACCCAGCCGTGCACTACGGGAATGACGACACCTGTTTTTAGCAACACATTCGGTGCGTAGCGCTTTGAGGTAATTACTGAAACCTTGTAATGCTTACCTGTTTTTAAAGAAGTATGTCCTTGATGTGAACAAATGGGCTAGGGGCTGACTAATGAGGCCTTGGAAGTATTGAGAACAGAATGTTTAAAAAATACAGATTACCCCCGGCCTTATCCTTTAATAGAATTGCAGGTCGAAGAAATGTCCAACTATCATAATTCTCCTACATGCTTTACCTGTTAAAATGTGTTATGATTCTCCAAGGTGTTTTGTATACGTATTACTCAATACAAAACAAAAACATACGCCACTGTCCAGACAAATGAACAAACCTTTGACGATCTGTTGCCATGGTTTGTTATCCCCTATAGGCCAGTACAGCCTGGTCCTCTCATTGCTATGAGACACATAATTGATGCCAGGACACGCAACAATTCAGCTCACAAGCCCTTGTGTTTGTATACTTATACAGGTTTTGGTATTAAAGATGCATGAGGAAGGTTTTATCATTGTGGTAAAACCTCATTAGTAACCACAGCCTTTTCTCTCCCTCCTCCTGCACCGCTGTCCTGTCGTCCCTCTTCAGACACACTGAGTTCTGAATGATAAATGAGATCATCACACCCATCCATCAGCCTCCCACAAAAACAGAGTTTACCGGGAAAATGTGTTGGACACAACTGAGGTGGTGGCTCACAGTGAGAGGAATTGATCAAATTTGTATCATGTTAAAATAACAGCATTACACAGAGACAGCCTTAACTGCAATGTATCGAGTAGTTGGCAGTTGGCTCATCAGAGCTTTGTTGCTAGAAAACCCAAAATTAAAGGCGTGAGAGTGGCTTTGACATCAACTTAAAAAACAAACTTTGAGTCCACTTACACTCTGAGTTGTTCCTACAGAAACATTAATATTTGTCTCATATGGAACAAGCATATCAGATAAACATGCAGATGTGAAATTCAATACAAGAGTTTCAAATTTCACTCATGGGCTTACTGTGAGAAAGTAATAATGATTTTTAGTTCATTTAAGCCTTTACTTTGACAGGCAAAGAAACAAAACCTCAGGCAAAGAGATTAGTTTAGTGTAGCTCGTCAATTTAAAGGAAATGAAGTAAGCACACTGCTTCCCTATTTATGTGCTTTGCTCGAATGCGTTGCAGGTATAATAAAATCCAATGCAAGCTTTAGTATTCAATGTTATGAGCCAACACAACGAGTTAATTTTGACTTGATCACTTCTAGTTGCTGGGTAGGATTTCTTTATTGTTTCAGCAGCACTGTCAAATGTAATGTGGAACTGTTGAGAGACCGCTGTTTGCTCTAGGTTCTAGAGTTTGAGTGGCAAACGAGGAGAGCGAGTCTGTGGTGGGACGGTGCTGCAGCCCACGTCACTCAGTGATGAGCGGTGCTCTCATCACCTGAATCCATGTGGATGCTGCTTCTGTGCAGAGACACAGCAGGAGATTGATGGTGGTGGGCTGTAATCTGTCAAAGCTGCAGAACATCTAGAGGGATTTTGAGGCTTTCAGACGCTGGGATGGAGCTCAACTTTGCTGAGGAATGGAAGCTCATAGCTGCCTGAAGGGTGGCACTAATAGTTTGGAACTAGTAACTGTACAATTCCTTGTGATGTCAGGAGGCGTCTGACCCAATTTGCTTTTTCTAAACAGCCTGGCAGCGCACCAGCTAACGTAGGCTGTCGGGGACAGCTAACCTTTTTAAGAAAAAGACAAAGGAAGTCAAATTTTGTGTCTATGTTAAGAGCCTTTATCTGAAGCAGGAGGCTACGGGGAGAAATTGTGTAACAATCTCAATTAAATCATAGCTTACACTATATACCCCCAATAGATTTGATAAGCCACAAGTATATGACTGAATAGATTTGATACTGGATACATTTCTAATAAAATTTCAGCTCTAAAGAGAGTTAATCAAAAAAAAGGAAAGATTTACCTCTTGGTATGTCTCCAAATATTTTAAATAGCTAGCTTTGTTTGTAATAAGACTATGTAAACTCTAAATGAACTGCACTCAAACACAGCTATGCATTATTTTTCTACTTTGGAAAGATCAAAGAAAACAAACAAGTACGACCTTGCCCCTAATTCAGATGTAAATGTCATCTATGTCATCTATCAACTGAGCTGCGGAAGATTATATGAAAGCAATAGAATTAGTCCACCAATAATTTGTGGAAAAGACTAATAAAACACCTTTCTGAAATAGTCTAAATTGAATTATAATACAAAGCAAAGATCTTTGTTTGTTCTTTGCATATCCTGCTCATCTAATCTACACACAGACCCAAGGGAGTGCTGGACTCCCAGCACGTTCCATATTGATTGAAGTTTCAAGCCAACCCTCTCAGCTATATTCAAATTTGCATGCCACTGCATAATATTATGTATGACTAAACTATTGGGCTTCAACAACGAATCGATGAAATCGCTAAAATTCGATTATTTAAAGCTTTGGCAACAAATTTTATTATCGATTCGCTGTGTCATGCGATTATTACGTCACCCAATGAGATAAAAGGACAGGGACTTTGGATAATGACATGTTAATTAGCAATACTAATTCGAAGTTCAATATTCATTACATTACATTTAATGTAACACGCAATACTAATTCAAAGTTCGATATTCATTACATTTACATTTAATGTAATGAATATCGAATTTCGAACTTCGAATTAGTATTCAAATTAGTATTGCGTGTTTGATACATCTATGGTTTTGCACTGAATCATTCTAGGATGTTTGCTGAAGTTAATTGGATAGCCACTGACAAAATGCGATGCAGAGAACATCTAGAAAGCCGGAGAGCAAGTCGTGCTCTCCGTAAAGTTTTATTTGTCGCTTAATAAAGTTCTAGATATTTCACTGCTTCAATTGATCAAATGTGATTATGAACAATGGATATATACTGATTCTCCTATACACATTCACACACATAATAAAACTCCTTGTTCTATATGGTCATCTACATACATATGATGTATAAGCTGATACAATACATATATCCTATTCATCGGTATTAATTAAATTCCATGGGTTTGTTTTCATCTACATATTCTGAAAGAGTTGAGATCATTATTCTCATTGGAATATTCTTTTAAATTCATCTCATAGCACTTGGTTGTTGTTTAGCTGTACTTAGATGGGGTGTATACATTTACTTAACTTGCACTACAATGATGGTAATAATTCAATAAATAGGCTTCAAGTGAACATGGGGGGGTGTTTGGAGTGAGAGTTTGTGAGTGTAGTATACAAGTTCTGACTTTGAAACAAATCCTGTTACATTTTCTGATTCGTATTTTTTTTATTTTTATAAATGATTATGTTCAAGGAGCAACCTTGTATTTTTGCAATGTGAATTTGCACGTCTTTTTTAGAATAAAGGGTTGGAAATGAAAGCTTTTTAATGCTGTTTTCTTATCTGATTCATCGATTAATCGAAGAAATAATCGGCCGATTAATTGATTATCAAAATAATCGTTAGTTGCAGCCCTAATATAATGATAAACAATGCTGTTGGAACATCATTTAGAAAACTTGGACATTAAATATATTTTAATTAGCAAATCATCACATGAATGACACGCTGTAAAACAGCCTGATAGACCTCCCTCTGTCTAGACTTTTTTCATCCATTCATGCATTTATCAATCATTTATCAATCTGGTAAAAGATGAAGCCCCTCGGTGTCACCACAACTGATTTATGACTCTAATGCGCCGCTCGCGCTGGTATTGGCCCAACACAGGTTCTGAGACACTCCAGACGTCCCGAAATGTTCTGCCAGGAAACAGCGTTATTCGCCCACTCAGTCGGAGCAGCTGTGGGGATTGACTCGAGGCACTGGCGAGTGTGAGCAGTCATGGCGGAACATTCTTGCAGAGAAAACGAGTCTCAGGACCTGACTTGTTGGGCCAGGACTCCGCGGACTGGTCACACTTTGCAGAACTCGGCGTGCCATGGGGAGATGTGACAGATGGAAGGAAGAAGCTTAGATACACTGAGCTGGTTGCCAAGGTTGGAGAGTCTCGGTGGGGTCTGAACTAGTTGGGGGTTGTTGGTTGGCAACTTGGCACGTCCAGTGGTAGTTTATTCAGGGAGGCTGGGATTTGAGTTCAGGGATTATAAGCGGACTCCTGATCAGCCAGAGGCTCCGACTGAGAACTGGCTGCACAGCGACAAGCTTTAAACATTCAGATCCAAGGTAGGAGTTGGAAAAAAGGGAATTTAAAATAAGAACGTTTCAAAAGCGGCTCAAGGCAATTTTGTTGAATTAAGGGAGCTCTCCTTCAACTTCCCCGCTTTACTGTCATGAAAAGTACCACTAGTAGAACTGTTGTATAACACTAGGAGGGAGCTTTCCAAAGTTGCAAAATGAAAAGGGAGATTCTTACATTTTTTATAACAAATAACTGTGCATTAGTTAAAAAGAAGTGGGACTGAACCTGAGAACCTGTATTTCGACGTTAGACTTTAGTGCTATAATGAATCAATGCAATTCTCTATTGCAGTTGCGCCACTCCAGTAACAGCTGAGGGAATCATTTGCCTATTTTTCAGTTAAATGTCCCACTATGTTCCCCAGCTGGTCACTCTCTTGGTTTCTCTGCCGTGTAGCGCTAGTTGAGTTTTTGAAGAGAATTTGTGTAGTAGTCAAGGCTTTATTCTTGTATTGAAAGGGTTACTGTTAAACCATGTCATCTTCAAAATACTCTTGTATGTGAATACTCTTCTGTGTTGCCGGAGGCAGAACCAAACTTTAGGATGGTTTTTTGCTCATGTAGCCTTAAGAGGTTTGTTCTAAAGGCTTTAAAGTTACATACAAGTGTT